TATAAGTACTTATGGACTCACAATGGAAGAGTACTTATAAAAAAGAATCAAATGACTAACACCATCCCCATTATAACTGACGATGACCTTTCTTTAATCAAGTAAGGTTATTTGTTTATTTAATTTTGTTCATGTATTTTTATTTCTATACATGGCTTGGTCAAATAATATGTTTTCTATCTGTTTATTATTACTTTCATATAATCTTAGTCATCTAAATGGCTGGTCACTGTAGTTATTCTCAATCAGGTTTCTCCTGTGATAATCTTCTGTGCAACAATTTAGAGGTTGTAAATTTGGACTCTATTCAAACATCATCTGATTTGGTGATCTTTCATATGAATATTCGCTCCCTTCAAAAGAATTTAGATCATTTGACTACACTATTATCAAATTTGCCATCACCTCCTCATATAATTGCTATAAGCGAATCTAAATTACCCCAAAATCATGTCTTCAATACCATCGATGGCTATAATTTCCTTCATGCCCCATCTGCCACTAAAGCAGGTGGTGTTGCTGCTTTTATCAGGGATGACGTTACGTTTAATGAAATTACAGATTATAATATCGTCTATTCCAACTGCGAAAATTTGTGGTTTGAGATCAGTTTGGCAAATACTGTTAGCAGATTGGTTATTGGCATTATTTATAAACATCCTCGTAATGACATAACTTATTTCACTGATATTTTTGAAATATCTTTAGCTAAATTGGCTAAGAAACACTTTTTGATAGTCGGTGACTTTAACATTAACTTGCTTTCAACATCCAGTAATGTCCAAATTATCAATTATGTTAATATGCTCATTTCTCATAATGCCTTCTCCTTGATAACCAAACCCACTAGAGTAGGTCAAACTTCTGCAACATTGATTGACCACATGTACACCAATTTGACAAATTTGAAAATTAATTCCTATGTTGTTCTATCAGATATAACAGACCATTTCCCAATAATGTGTTCTCTTAGTGGTGTAACACCTATTCATGAAAATGATTGCATAATTTCTAGGGACATGTCAAACTTCTCGATTGACCCTTTTCGCACAGATGCACAGAGCATTTTTGATAACTTGTTTGATACATTTCAATTGAATGCCCTGAACTACAATAGTGCTTTTGAAGAATTTATACTATCAATCATACTCTAATTGATCGCCATGCTCCCCTTCGGCCACTTTCACGACGACAGAAAAGGTTAAAACTAAAGCCCTGGTTGAGTAAAGGGTTAAATAGCTGTATTCGACACAAAAATAAGATTTTCAAATCCCATTTTCTGAAAGGTAACAGCTCTCAACGCTCCTACTTTAAAAATTATAGAAATGTTTTGTCAAAAACATTGTATAAAGCAAAACAAATTTATTACCAAAATCTTATTGCCCAAAACAAAGGTAATCCAAGGACAACATGGCAGATAGTTAACCAAATTACACATACAAATAATAAATCCAAATCAAATGTTGATGAAATCTTCCGAGAGAATGGCTGTATCACTAAAGATGGTATTTCAATCGCTACCGAATTCAATAAGTACTTTTCAACGGTTGGGTCCAGTCTCTCAGACAAGTTTTCTAATGATATGACTAGCTTCAAACATTTTCTTCGCAATCGTGTAAGCCAGTCCATTTCATGAGTTTGACTGATTCAAACGAAGTGATAATAGAAATACAAAATCTGAAAGATAGGAAGGCAGTAGGTCCAGACAATATTCCAGCACGGTTCCTTAAACTTGTTGCTGACCTCATTTCGCCATGTTTAGCTGAACTTTTAATTGTTCTCTCTCGTTAGGAATCTTTCCTTCGTGTCTCAAAATTGCTCGAGTAATCCCCCTCTTCAAATCTGGAAATAAAAAATGTGTTTAAAATTATAGACCGATATCAATCCTTTCATCGATTGATAAGATATTTGAGCGCTTGATCCATAAGCGACTTATTAGTTTTTTTTACTAAATATAATGTTATAAACAGATCTCAGTTTGGTTTTCAGAATAATCATTCGACATCCCACGCCATTTTAGATACAATATCTTATGTTTATGATAAATTAGAGAAAAAAGAGTTCGTTAGCGCAACATTTTTAGATTTAAAAAAGGCTTTTGATACTGTGGATCATGACATTTTAATTTACAAGCTGAATCATTATGGCATCAGGGGACAAGCAAATAAACTAATTACTAGTTATCTAAGCGATAGATCACAATATGTCAAAGTGGGAACTTATTGTTCCTCTCTCTTACCAGTGACTCACGGAGTTCCACAAGGTAGTATATTGGGCCCATTATTTTTTCCTAGTATATGTCAATGACATAGTTCACTGCTCTTCGCTCTCAACCAAATTGTTTGCTGACGACACTAGCCTCCTCGACAGCGACAAATCCCATGCAGCTCTTCAATCAAGAGCAAACGCTGAAATTGCAAAGGTGGCTAATTGGATGAGATCTAACAAAACTAACAATAAATATAGAAAAGTCTAAAAACATTGTTAATATCACCATATAGGCGTAAATCTCTAAATGGTCTGTCAATCCAAATTGATGGTACACAACTTGAAAACGTTATTTCTTATAATTACCTTGGCATATATATTGATAACAAATTGAAATGGGATACACAAATTTCAAACCTGGCCGTTAAATTATCCAAGTCGGTTGGGATATTATATAAACTTAAAAGATTTACATCGATACCTACATTACGCATGGTTTACTACTCCCTATTCCAGTCCCATATTCAATATGGCGTAGTTGCATGGGGCTCTGCTGATAAATCTTTATTGCACCGATTAGAAATTATGCAGAATCGGGCCATTCGCGCTATTTCTGATGTTGCTTATCGCACACAACTAAGTCCTATTTATAATAAACTAAGAATTATTAAACTTGTAGATATACATAGAATTGAAGTGTTAAAGTTAATGCATCAACACCATAACAATAAACTCCCTGCAGCATTCACTAACTACTTTTCAAAGCAGAGCAGTATTCACTCCTATGAGACACGGTCATCTGCTAAAGGCTCTTACTTTGTGGATCGCTTTTCCACCAAGCTTACTCAAAACTCCATCAAATTCGTTGGTGTCAAGTTATGGAACACGCTCACTGACAGTATTCGATCAATGAACTACATCTCCTTCAAACATGCATTGAAAAATCATTACCTTGATGTTATTTTTGCCAGTAGTCTGAAAACATTGCCTTTCATGTGTCTGATCTTCTTCTAGTCTTATATTCCCTGAACCGTTACCGGTACCATACCGGGATGCAATCGTGTTCTTCCACTGTATTCTAAATTCGCATCGTCATTTACTCTGTATGTGCCAAGTTCTGTTTTTCACTTTCGACAACTTTTTATCATATAACCTAAATGTGAAAGAAATGCATGCTTCAGCATGCATCAGTTCATTAAGCCAGTAAAGTTCTGTCAAATTGAAATTAACGTTGCTGGGCACGCCGATCCAGTTTTCAAAGTGCTTAGTCATGTTAATAAGCGTTATTCTCGTTTAATTGTGTACATTGAGGTATATCGCATTCGCTTGATGGCGCCCTTGCGCTCGTCAAGCGGTACCGGTTTCCTTAATTAAAGTCCTCATGGCTCTTCATATTTCCGTATTTTATTTATCATCCGTTGTTGTTGTTGTTTCTATGCTTTTTAGTACCGTATTGTACGTGATAAACCCAAGTCTTTTGCTATATCTGTTGCTGTAATCCAGCATATAGGTGTCGCTGACACGATGACTTAATAGTCTTTCGCGACTCCTCGTCAATTGCGAAACATTGTGTATTTTTGATTTATTTAAATTTATTATTATTTGTTGACAATGTTTCATGCACGACGAAATAAAATATCTGAATCTGAATCTGAATCACACAATCAAACACTTCGTGTCACGAATCATCACAAAATATGTCAATTATACCAAGATTTCTACATTTTAGGCCATTTTTTATAAACCATCAAAAACCTGGGTGAAATTTTAACTTTTTCGGTGAAAGGAATGCAGTCCAATAAAATTCCAACGTCTTTCGATATAAAAAATACAAAAAATTACTTCCACTGCACTTTTAAAAAAATTGATGGAATTCAACTTTTGCTTGGAATGGCCCGAAATCGTTCAATTACGCGCGACATTTCACCTATTGTATTGTCATCTTTATTTTTAAAACTCGCCAGTTTTGCAAATATCGTCTCTTTGTAACCTATCGCCGACCAATTGCAGACTTCAAATACCCTGCTACTCCTTGCTTGTCCATTGTTCATGCTCTTTTGTTCGTATAAATGAAAATACGACGTTACAACTGGACTCAGCTTTCCTAATCAACAAAACTTCGATATTTTACCTGCTTGGCAAACGAGGTAAAGAAACGAAGACACGGATATTCTACTATTTTCAATAAGGCTGTCACAAAATTTTCTAACGATATTGTGAATACATATATATACCACAAGGTGCTTAAAATTTTTGAGGCTGGGTTTGGTTTTGTTGAAACAAAAGTAATACATTTTGTCGAAAATCAGACAAATATTTTGTAATGTTTATAACCTCATATTTGTGTGAATTGCTATCGGTCTTGCGATTACTTTTTGTCTGACTGTTTTTTCAAACTCACCAATGGATAGTTTAATAAAATATTAATAATTTGAAGCACCCATTCGCAGATGGTTTTTTTCTTTTAACGGACTTCTATTTGAAATGCTTATGTAAATTCTTTATTGACAAATCAGAATTTTTTTTTTCAGTTCGGCATGGTTACCTAAACCTCATCAATGCAAACAACCCATGACTTTAGGCTACAAATGTTTGGGTATGTTTATGATTCAAGAATTCAGCATTATGACGAAAGCAACCCTGAACTCTCAAATATTAAATTCACGCATAATCTCTAAGGTTTTGAAATTCCATTATTACATATAAATGGATTCTGATTCTAAACTTTTCAGAATATTCCCATTATCTAACTCGCACGTCGCACCATTACAATATGTTTTACTATGGTAATATTTATTATTATATTTTACAGGATACATTCAAGCGCAAATATATAGAGATAAAAGAATAATGAAAATCTACTTGAGCTAAGAAAAAAATAATAATTTTGTAAATCAGTGAGAATTATAATTTGTCCAAGAGATGTTTGAGTTTTAACAGGAGAAATTGTGGAAAGCCGTTCTATGAAAAACAATACACGATTTTCTGAAAATACAGCAGAAAATACATCCGAGTCATTAGATAAAGTAATTTTAGTTTACTTTACATAAATTTATTATGGGGCTCAAAACAATATATTGATATTAAGAGACAAAAATTAAAATTACGGAGAAAACACGACATTTGAAAGTGCATTAATAATAAACATTAATAAAGTGCATTAGGGTTAAATGCAACATAAGTAACTCGAATAGAATTATAATAAATCTAGTGAAACGCACAGAATCTTTTGAACATGAGATCTACGATTCTTTGTTAGCTTTATCATGGCTACTAATTTTTAAATGATGCTTGTTTCGTTTATTGGACAATAGCATTGGGGTTAGTTTGTTTGGCATTGGTTAGAGAATCAGCTAATGCAAGTTTTCTACTTGTTTATTGACTGGATTCATCATTAGCATGATGCAATTCTGAGCGCAACAAATAGTGAAAATATTCCACGCGCTTCAAATAACAAATATTCAGTGAAAAGTTTCAAAAACGAAACGACGATTTGAATTCGAAGAAAGAAGATAAAATTAATCATTGAATTAACGTTTAAATATGAACATAATAGAACATCATCGTGACATAGAGGGTCAGATCATGTCCTGACACATAGAGTCACATATTTTTTGCAGGAAACTGCGAATATTTAATATGAATAAAATACATTTACTACTATTGAATGTGCATATAATTTCTTCAATTAAACCTGAACACTTGGTAAACAACTTACTGCTTGCCAAATCTGCGGAAATCTGGCGGCGACAATAAATAAAATGCAGCAAAAGGGTGCATATTAAAATAATTTTGAATTTAACACGACTTCTCAAATATGGTTGAATACTATGAATTTAACCATACGACAGTTCTGTACATACAATATTCATTCAATTCTTATCAATAACGTAAAATTAATTCGACACATCAATTAATATAATAATATGTTATGTGCATTATAATTTGTATGGGGTTATTAATAAATGATCAAAAAATTTAAATTAACACAGATTGGGCACCTCCAACTCTGCCCACAATTTCTGAATTCGATGACGTCATGCTTTCGGCTTATCTTACCCACGGATGATCTGCGATCTGCTCAGCAAATGGTCGATCGTTCATCTTGACAAAAATTTTCAGGAGGAAACTCTGATAAAATATAACAAATAGTCTGTTTTATTATAACTACATTAAATTATGTTACTGCCATTGAATTCCCTAAATATACCAGTGTTACCTATGCATATTGCTATTTTGGTTCAATAATATTTGGAAAGGCAAATGTTAGGCAAAAAACACAGAACCCGTTCAATAATTGTTGTATTGCATTCTAGACTGAAACACCACATCTCTATTACGTTCTCTGCTAATTCTCTTAGACTACAGCGCCATTGTGGATACGCCTACCCTGTACATCTCTATTACATTTTACTAATTTAAAATCGTTGCCTGTTATTTTTCAGCCCATTAACTAATGCATGCTAAAAGGTTAAAGAACACGACGAAGTTCTCGTCAATTAATACAGGATTTTTATACAAATACAAAAATGTATTACCAAGTCGATTGGTAAATTTTAAATTGCAGACTTAATACACCATGTATTTCAAAATGTACACTTCCATTCACCTGTAATGCTGGACCAAAGTCATCTTGATCCGATACCAGTTTTCGGTGTCCAAGACCAAGAATCATTTTCGGCAATATAATTGCGAATAATATGGGTGGTAGTTCTTCTTGAAATGGTGCTGCTGCTTTCACCATTTCAAAAACAGTGCAACCAACGCTCCTGCAATATAGCAACGTGATGAATTTCGAGTGTCTATCTACATCTACTATATAATTTCAATCTTTACGTTTAATTAAAATGTATTCAAATGTGAGCTACTGTGTAAATGGGTATAAAGAAATTACCAGATATATATTTGTGTTGGTCAGAAGATGCGGCGGTAGACGGGATCAGGTTAACAAAACTGAGGAAACAGTGGCAGCGAAATATTTTTAGAGAAATTTTTCGGCACACAAATTTCATTGACGCCAGTGTATGCTACAATTCACATTCACACGCCGCAGCATGAGCATCAGGATAACGGTATCGGAAATAAACCATACAATACCAGCGCAGTAGGGGACAGTGTCTCCTCATACAATGAGAAGAAATGCATGTATTGCATCAGACCTTTTTCAAAACTTTCATAGTCCTGTCATCTCACGGTCTTTTACTATGAATATGTTGGAAAGTAGAAAGTATTAACATTTCAATATATCAAAGTATATTTTACAGGGACTGACAAGCAGAAGTTTGCATATCATCTGAAAATTACGATAGAAACGTAGCTCAGAATGAAGCAGCGTTTCACCCATACCAAGTTAATCATTCACTCACAGGTATCAATCGTCGACGGTACAGTAAATATTTTTGCTTTTACACAAATAAAATTTGCATGCAAACAGTAGTTCGGCATTCATCTGCTTAAGTCAGATTGCCTTGCTTTGCCATTTTGCGAAAAATAATGCAGCATGGATTATTATACGGCCTGGCGCAAGAATACCAACCATTAAATACGGTTGAATGCAACATGAAAACATATATTCTGAATTAATATTATTCATATTCGCAGTAAAAAGCAAATAATTATAAAATCGAATTACTCACCAAACATCAGATCGTTTACCCCCTTCCTGTCCACTTAATACTTCAGGACTCATCCACGGCAATGTTCCTGCAAAAATATTTAATATACATTTCTTTAGTCAACACACCCTCGTTGCAGAGATAACTCGTGACATCGCTATGTAACTATTTACAAATTCATATTTTCAATACCTGCGGTGTCGTCTGCACTTCTTATCATTGTCGCGTGATCGTGAATTTTTGAGATGCCCATATCCGCTGAAAAGCAAGCATCACAAAGGTTTATTGTCTTTTGAATTGCGCAAAACATTTTGCAGTGTGGATAATATGCCAGTTGTGATACGTTGAAGTTTGACCTGTATACTTCATTCAGCAAGAACACAAAGTAGGTGACGAACAATGTACCTACATATTAAATGATTCTATAATTTTCGTAGCGCTTCATAATTCATTTACAAGTGAATATCCTCCACTTTTGTGTAAATGCACAAGACGTTGCTTGCTTCTAATGAAGAATTCCTTAAAATCAAACTACCTAAAACAGATGATTATGATTTTATTACCCAATTTCACTGTTTCATTAACATCTAATAGCAAGTTTGCGCATTTGATATCACGATGAATAACGTCACTTTTGTGAAGATAGATCAGTCCTTGCAATAAATCTTTAGTATATTTCTTGGCGAAATTTTGCGGTATAGGTTTTCCGCTTTTCTCCATTTTATCCTTCACGGATCCCTGGTATTAGAATAAAAATAGTTAGAGAAAACGCTTCACGTATAGGTTGCAGAATCGGATCTAGTGTGGTTTCGTACCTCAAGTACTTCTAACGGGCGTGGCATGACAGTGACGTAATAAGGCCCTCCAAACTATACGAGCTGTCATCCAAGACGCGCAGTCGATCACCCGAAATCGAATAGGCTATTTATTTCGTTTTCTCGCCGCAACGATCCCGTAATGAGAGAGATCGCTGTCGTTAGTGAGTTCGTTATCGGCGGCGCAGATGCCATTTTGGGCGATCGTAGGTATCGTTTGGCAAGCTCTATGACGTGATTGTGACATCGTAATGACGTATTTTTTTGTATGGCATAGTCAGGTGGTGGTTAGGATTGACATGTGAAAAAATTGTCATGCTACGCCCACTAGAAGTACTTGAGGTACGAAACTACACGAGACCCAGAGAATCAAGTTTCAAGTCTCATATTATTCATTTCAATGTAGTTTATGAAATAGACTATTAGTCTACTCGAGTTTTGACTCTGAACACCGGCGACACAATTTGTGACTCATAATTACAGTGATTCAGCATGACTTTATCTTAGAAATAAAATGTTATCGAACTCGGAATTCACTAAAATGGTCAGTGACTAGACATGACAAGCGACTAGAGGTTTGGGGACTTGTAGCAAATACTAATTTTGGAATTACAATGATGCGATGATAACATTTGTTAATTAAAAATTTACCTGCATAAGCTCCATGTACATGTAAAATTTTTCCTTATCACCAGCACAGCCGTATAATTTGACCACATTTTTGTGCGATAGTTTTCCCAGCAATTTGACCTCGTCTCTTAAGCAGCTTTCTTGCACCTAAGCATTCGTTTATATTTGGAAATAAACTGGACAAGAATACTAATTAAAAGGCAAACAAACGCGCTTGTTGTTACTGTTTTATAATTCTTGGTATAAGTTAAATCAATATGTCTCATACCCCGGCCTTTGGAACTTCTTTGACAGCAAATTTCAATCCGTTTTTATCAACTGCTGCGTATACCGTACCAAACGCTCCTTTTCCCAAATCGTCCTTTCTACTCCATGGGTGTGAAATAGCTGTTTAAAATGTAAAATTTTTCCCGGTAAACCCCACGTTTTCAGTCTACAGATATATATATTACGTTCATATACTTACTTGTTCCAGATTGTGATCCCGATCTTGAAGACCCTTCGCCAGATTGTTGGTCAATAGCAACTTTCAATAATTCCAAAAACAATAGGTCAGCTTGCAATTTCTTTCATTTAAAATAAACGTAGTTGTTTATCATTTCAAAATATATATACATATATATATACTCGTATAAGGAAACCAACGAGGACACATTCAACTTACCCTTCTCAATGCTTCAGCTTGCCCTTGCCCTTTCGTCATCACTGTAAATGATATAAATAGTTAAAATTTTCATTAAATTTTTATGTGACATTAGGGACATGACCCTTGATTATTGGAAGTTCGAGTTTTTGTAGGGTTGGTTTCCCATATTGTATCACCATCATTTTGTTTTATTGGCAATTGAAAGTGGAAGTCCTGACTTGCATTGACCACTATCATTGTCATTCACACTCAAGATCAAACAGAAATATTTTTTACGAATAATTCTAAAATATTATAGAAATAAGATTACGAGGGCGCTTACTTTGCTCCATTTTTTTTGCCCTGATTGCCTTTATAAGTTCGGTAGCGGAACCTGTCACTTGTTTCTCACATATTTTCAAAACTTCCCTGGCAGCTGACTTTATGTTATTTTCCTGGATTAATGGTAATAACTGGGTTATATATTTAAAAAAAAAATTAAGAAAAAAACATGTTAATAGAAATTCGGTCCCCCTTCCGTGAAATCTAAAAAGCTTGAATGAACAAATCCACATCATTTTAGTAGAAGCACCATTATATTATCAAAATATTACAAAAAGCTGTATTGTGTTATGATTATGAGATTTAAGGTTACGGTGTTGAGAATAATCATCAAAAAGGTATATTTCCAAGGGAAATCCAGCAGTTTTTAAGGACTTCCAGAAGTATGTGCACCAAGATGGCGCACAACCTGAACATAGTATGTGTACCAGGTTAGGGTACTGGTTGTGGGCCATCTTGGTGCACATACTTCGGGAGCGCCGTTTTTTATAAAGAATAAAAGTGGATAGAATTGGATGCCTAATCCATGGGAGCCGAACTTACAACTTAATGAACAATAGACTGACTAAACTCAGAATATAGACAGGTTAAACATGACGTCAATAAAATAATAACAACTATATAAACCTCAGCCCATTCGTCTTCCAATTGAGCACACACTAGGACAGCATCTGCAACAGCCTCACACATTGTAGCAAGTGATTTTTTTGCTGCCTGTAGTTGAACAGAAGGAAAATAATCAGAACATATCACACATTATTTACAAGAATTGAAATCCTTTTTTTATATGATTTATATAATGTTTTATATCAAATATAAATTAAGAAATCAAAAATTTGTAATTACGTACTTCTTGTTTGCTGGGAGATGCCGTCGTTGACGCTTTATTTCCCTAAAAATAAAACGAATTTTTTAGCGGGTTGCCTATTTACAATCTTAGTATTTCGAAAAGAAAAGTGCTTACCATCTTTCAGTTTCAAGATTTTTTCCTTTGCTGTATTTCAATAATGGTCCCCTATGCACTCTTCTTTTTAAGGCAATTCAAAAAAATCTTACACGATCAAAAGGGATTTTTATTGCGGTGTAGCTGTATATCAAGGAATGCATTTTAGGATTGAACATTTTATATTTTAATTATTATTCGTAATAAATTTTCATGTTTTTGGCGTAGACATTCGTGATACGATTTTTCCAATTTTCTGGCCAAATTTGTATGAGGCAATGTATAAAAATATATAAGCATAATATGCTAATACAGATACAGAGGCATCTAAACTAGCAAAAAAGACACGTCATCCATAATAAACCTTGCTAAAATGTGCGGATTGTCTGCCCTCCCATATCTTTATCCATCACTGTAATGAAGAAAATTCAATGACGTGTATTATCTTGACCACTTTACATTCATATTTACGGACTGACAAGTAAGCTATCTAGTTGGGCGTTAGAACTATACTGGGATGTTTGACATAGTCGCCCATTTTATTTACACACGGTACGCGATATGTCCAGCTGTATAATCCCTCCATACGTCTGCTTCAAATTCGGCAAAGCCGAAAAACGCCCAATTGCTGCAACCTTCGTTTGATCATCAGATAATACTTCTGCTTTATGAAGGTTTCAGATACCTTGTTCGTTACGTACGAGTCAATTTATTATTGTAGTCCTATTGAAATCTATTCTCGAAATTCGATCCTTACACGCAAACATTCGCACCCACGCATATCGTCTCCTCTCAGGAATTCATACCTATAGCCAACGCAAAGTTTTTCGTTTGATTACAACTCAAGTACATTCTAGCTGTGTATGGTAGTTAAAATCTGAATGCGGCTTGAAAATCCTGTAGGTATAAAGTTTACTCATGCGCAAGTCTAAATATTTGTTCGTTGCTATCTAGCATCATATATTTGCCATAAATATATACCAAAATTGATATATTCTTGCAAGTAATTATCCATACAATATAAATGAGTTAAAATGCACATATGTATAAATGAATGAAAGCCGAAGAGTATGTAAAACACAAGTGTGCACAGATTTAAATACAGCAAATTTGGTTAGTAATACAAAAAGGCAAATATAGGCTCTGAAAAAGTGAGTATACACTTCCGTGTTAGCGCAGAGCAAATATTACCCACTCTCGTATCTCTGCAACGCTCCAAGTAATTAACGATTTGACTCCAAAGAGGAACTACTTTTGCGATGTTGGTGTATTTACTAACTCTTTTTTCTAATAACAAGTTTCTTGATTGGGCAGATGAATAGGGTGTGTACCTTCTAATCTATGTTCGGTAGATCATAGCTGGTAACCAGATATTCTGATGATCACGATGTTATATCTATTTGGTTTACTTTGTTTTTCAACCGTAACAAAGGTACGCATCAATGCGCTTATTGTCATTTTCGTAGTGCTCATACTTCTGCTTTGTGATAAAAATAGAACCTCCTGTTGTTTTGAGCGTAAGAGGAACCGAAAATTGTGACGCTTGCGATTGAGACGGCTTGTTCCGGTCCCGGCAAACAAGTGGAAAAACAGAAGTTGAATCTTATGGAATCGCTCTCTGTGAAATAAGTAGTGAAATGTGTTGGTACAACATTGTAGACTTATTTGTGGTATTTACGTGATATATTAAAATATAACATAATTGCAATTTGTCTACCCTAATCTTACAGTATGATGTAATAGTCGCGAATGCGTTGTTTTCTCTCCTACGTTATATAATTAGATTTCAACAAATACTTTGGAAACATTCTGCAGCTTCTTCGCAATAAGAATCTAAGTCTTGGACCATAACATGGTGAGTTTCTACTTTCCTTGATTCCCTGAAGTCTACATTGTATATTGATAGCATAATTATTCCAATTTTGTATAAAACGTGGTAGTTTATTGTTGTATGCTTGAATTTCTCGATCCTATACGGATATGATGCAAAATGATGCTTTGGAGGTTTTACTGCTAGTATTGACATAAATTCTATCTAGTTCATGCTAACTATAGTTACTACCTCGGCGTATAAGAAGGCGTAAATTTAGATTTCTTCTCTGAAGTATTCGTAATTTAACCACGTTCAAAACGCCCCCATGTTTTTATAAAAATTGCCCAGAAGTATAATAATGCTATTTATGTGCAAATGAATCAAACGCAAATCAACTAAGGCAATGAAGCATGCCGAATCAATAAGAAACCTTCGAAATGTGTAGAAAATCATCAGGTTTGCCTAAAGAGTTTAAAAAATATTTTAGGTACATTTTCTAAAAAAGCCTATTCGTTGGAACTTAGCAATTCAACTGTCATATGAATCATTACTCGTACGCCACTACAATAAAACGGATCAGAGTAAGATAGATCTGTCTTGGATTAGTGTTACATTACCACAGTATACCCGAGTCGTATCGGGAATACGCTGCGTATAGCAGCAGTCATACATGTGGGGGCCTCCGTATATGCGACGCATGACATAAACAACGCAATAAAACGATTACACTGAAGGAGACAAAGACATTTGTCTATAAAGTACACAATTCTATTCCATATGCGAATATTCTATGCCAATCTTTATCCGTATGTAGATATTCTGTAACAGACAAATATATGATATATTAGTACTCATACCCGCTTCGACACAGATGATATCAATTTTCAATGTCCGATTGAATAATATGACACATTAAATTTAACTGTTATTTTATAGTTAAGTTTTGAATTCACACGCGGAAATTGATGTAGACTTTATTATTATTGTTGCTATTAAATCTATTCATGAATTTTCACTAACGTGGATTGACAACATTGTACAGATATAAGTCGAACAAATTAGATTTAAAGCATATAAATGAAACAAACAATCTTTGATGCTTTAATGACAAATAAGTTCAGTACCTGTCACGTGCCTAAAATGTAACAAGTTAACTTTTGAAGGTTGATTATGACCAATATTACTTTTCATGTTTTTATCTAGGCTGGGGTAATTCCAAAACGAGACCGAGATGAAGATAAGTATGAGGTATTTTTTCAAGTTGTGCAAACATACTATACCACATAGTCTTATTATCTATAGATTTAATAATATACCGTGAACTTGAGTGACGTTTTTTTGTTAAGGAATTTATTTATTAGAATGAGTCGTCCCTCTTTTTTATTTGTGTTTCAATTTTCAGGCTGCAAAGACTGCCGTTGCAAATATGTGTGAAGCAGTGGCAAAAGCTGTGTTGGAAGTATCAAAGTTGCAGTCGCTTGATAACGTTAGTAGTTCACTATTAATTTTCCAGTGATGGGCGATGTTTCGTTGCTTAATATCTATCGTCACAGGCGATATTCAATGTACAGTCTTATGGATATACCGAAAATGTATTACAAACTAAACAACTTCCATACATGCAAACTTCACAATAGATGGCGGATATAACAACAACACTTAAATATAAGCAGGTCCAACCACATTGTGATATGCCTGTTGTTTGGGCCTTGCGATTTACCCTTTTATTTTTTGTGCTCCTACGTAACGACAGATAAAGATATTAATTTGGCTTGAATAGTAGACCTACACTGCTGTAGAATATATTTGAAAGATAAATCAAAGTCAATTACAATATTGCCATTTCAATATTGTGTTAAATTTATAAACGCAGGATGAAGCGGTTCGAGCTGCTACAAAGAAAATGACAAAGATCGCTGGACAACAAGCACAAAAAACGTGTTATAGCATCATGAAACAAGTTCGACTGAGTAAATTAAAGAAAGGTGAAAAATTATAACAGTTGTTCTCGAACTTTTTATGCCGCGCCCCTATTTTAGAATTCTCGCACCTACCTAAAGAATAACTAGTTAACAATAAGCTATAAATAACAGATAGTAAGGTAAAAGTATGTTTTGTTTAAAAAAAACGTTGAAAATACGCGGATGGAACGTCAATAATGAAATAAATAAAAAGTTTTGAAAAAATAAGGCGGGCAAGATAAAATTTAATAAATATATTTTCAATTTCAAGTATATTTATTTTCAATTAGCTTCACTGAATTATAATTTTGCCATAACGTTTTTAATCCAAGTTTGCCAAAAGCCTGAGCACAAGCTCTCAACTAATAATTAAAGGGGCGAACAACCACAGGCGACTCTAGAACTGTATATATATGTTTTTGGGAAAGATATGTCAGAACAAGCACTAGACGCACTGCCTTAAGTCGTTTAAAATTGGGAGGGTATGTGAGAATGGGAGGGTTAAATACTTAAGCTGATGTAATGCTCTTAGTCAGCATAAACGTACAAAAAGAATAAACTTGTATGTAAGTTTTATATATATGTCATCTTTATTCCACAATAACAATCCTAATATCACGTTTAGTTATAGATTCACCATCCAGTAGTACTAGTGGGACGGAGGAGGAAAAAAAGAAATTGGCAAAGGTCAGCAAAAGGCTTTATAATAACATTTCAATACTGCTATCTGTTTTATTTCTGGTATTAATCTTACTCGAGCATTTTCAACAAAATATGTTCGAGTCACTTGACCAAAAGAAAATGTTAGTAAACTCATAGCAATTATATGCTATTAAATTATAATATTTCGAATATTTATTTTCAAGATTGGTAGTATACGTATAGTTAGTTGATGTCCGAGGAATGGCAAATGATACTATATGATTATTACATTTTTGTGTTTTTGATTTTGTACTATTAGAAATTGAAAGCTGAAATACTCTTCATGGAACTTATCGAGGTTGCTATGAAAGGTCGTCCAGGAGCAGGAAATTCGCCCGAAAAAGAACCACCCAAAATAGGTAAGTATGGATGCCATACACGGGTCTGAATACTCACAATACTCCTCACCTTTTAACAATGTTGTAGCATGCATAACAAGCAAAGGTAACTGAAGTCCTTACTATAGTTCTAAAGAATTACGTTTTGTTTTTTTTCCTACTTTTTTTAATATCATTTTCTGTTTTATTTGTCAAATTCACATGTTTACAGTAATTGCTCATCCATGGAAACAAAAACAGCTGTTGGGAAGAGGAGGATTTGGAGCTGTATACTGCGCTGTTGATCAAAATGGCTTGGAATTTGCTGTAAAAGAAGTTCCTCGTGCCGGAGTAAACAAACTTATTATAATTATTATATAAATCGAATATAATCAGTTCAGTCATGATTCGTAGTCTATAATGGAATACTTGTAAACCTAATTTTTGTATTGTAACATAGATTGAAGAACAGTGTCTCAGAGATGAAGTAAAATTTATGGGTAAACTTACACATAAAAATATTGTCAAGTTTTATGGATGTTCAGGAAATAAAGAAAAGATATATATGTACATGGAGTTAATGCAGGTACGAATATATATTATGTAGGCTACTTGCTGTGTATTTCGAAAAGTAAAGCCCATTTTCTGTAATCAAGCATTTTTGCAACTCTCATATAACTAACCTAACCCAGGACTTTTCTAACAATACAATTAAAATCCACAATAAGCTAATTTTTGCGGGAAAATTAGAGATGCAATTGAGTTACATTTTGTAATGCTTTTAGTAATGAGCGTTATTCCAAGCTATCATCTTGGAGTAATTCAATTAGGAAAAAATTTCCGGTCGCTGTTTGACCTGGATCCGAAATACCAGTTGTTTATTCACAAATATATTAATAACGTTCAAAAAATGTCCTCAACGTGACATGAGCATTTTTTTGTCTCATAATGTGCAGAGACAGTTGCAAAATTCGTAATATCATGGTGGCTGCTCCAAAGATTTTACAAACCTGGAGCAAACAAAAGTGTAATTTTTTATATTATAATTATACCAGGGATCAATCTCTGATGTTATGGAAAAGACAAATTCACCAACACCTGAAATAAAAGCCAAGCAGTACACTCGTGATGTATTGTGTGGATTGGTATATTTACACGAACATGGTGTGATCCATCGCGACATAAAGTGCGGCAATGTACTTCTAGATGCTGAAGGGACTGCGAAACTAGGTGAGGATAAATTGCATGTATAGGGTAGTCGATCATTGACCTGAAAGTAAAAAAACTCTAACAAACATGTTGTCACAGTCAATATTAAGAATCAGCTGCTACGATTTTAATAACCGTAGGAGGACAAAATATTTGTCATCCTTCCGACACGGTTGCAAATTTTCTGTATTTCTGGATATTGAAGCAAGAGCGTAGCCAGCCCAAAATTTGAGGATGGGGGAAGGGACAATTGTTTTTGTATAATGACTTAATACGACGCTCAGTCGTGCATTTTTCTCAAACAAAGGCAGATAAACGTAGCCACTGATATCTAACAACATCCCAAAGAATCGGACAACAGACGTAGCCTACTTTGATGTCGAAGTTATCCAAGGCATAAAAGCGCGCATTTCCATCTAACTCGGTTGGTTCATTTCGGGGAAAGGATTATTGACAGCAAGCCAAAAAACGTCCGGTTTCAGTAAATCGTTGAAGTTAGAGCAAAATGTCGTTGGTAAAGGCATATGAATTTAGGTCTTACTGCAAATCTTGCTGAAGTTGCATTTGAAAAAGTGTTGAATTTTGGAGGGTATAGTCCCTCAAGCCCCCTGGCCACGCTTATGCATTGAACGTAATTGACGTTTTAATATTGTATAAAAGGCCAATTTTCTTTTTTAAATATATATGAAGATATGTTTCAGCCGACATGGGATTATCTAAGGTTCACGATCAGGAAACACTGATCCAACAAGCTGATTCTAAAGCAGGTGAGTGGCCGTAGATTTTTTAAGTTTTAAACAATATAATCACCCAGGAAGCACTTCACATATCTCTCCTTTCTAGGTTCAATATGCTATATGAGCCCTGAGGTTATGAGAGGAAACGTCGGTGGAAAAAGATCTGATATCTGGTGAGTTCAGTGAATCATCGTTAGAATAGGGATAAATTTTTCAAGGTAATTTTTTACCAACATCTAATCCAAAGATCTAATTCCATAAATTTGTGTAGTTTATTTTGTAAAATATATAGTCACCAGGAGTCATATATATATATAGGCTTATATATCGTTTTTTCTCATATAAATTGCATTGTTCAAAATAGGCTTACATAGGCTATATATATCATAATCACCCCCATTTTTTCATTCATATAAAAATTACTTTATTCCCACCAGGAGCGTCGGATGTACGGTTTATGAGATGGTAAAGGGTTATCCACCTTTTCTCAGAGAGTTATCACCGTTACTCATAGTATTTTTACTTCCTGGAAAAATTATCGCAATTGAGCACAAGGGGCTCGTTAACAGGGACAATGGTCTTCCAGAAGGCTTGAAGGTATATTTAAGCTCTTTTCTCATATTATTGGACACGTCAGTGGACATAAAGATCGTTTCAATATTATGTTGTTGTTCTTGTTTTTTTTCTTCGTCATGATAAATTCGCTTGTCTCTTCGAATACTGGACCAATTGCTTTGAAATTTTCAGTAGTTAAAGATTTATTTCTTCACCAGAATGCTATTACTTTTACTTATTTCAAAAATTTCTGTGGACTTCAAGAGATTCGTTTTTAATATGTCAGAATAAAAAATAGCGACACCTTGTGACGTGTTCATATATTTGAGCATAGCTCTCTTGTTGCATATATGATGATAATGAATCGATTGTAGTGGCAGGCGGCACTGATGTTCTATACCGGGGGTGTGCAACCTTCAATACAGTAGGGCCAGATACTAATAACTGGGTGAAACCGCGGTCCGCTCCTCTATTTGACATAGACTTTCTAGTAGTTGCAGGCACGAAAGTTTTGGGTATTTATCTTATGAAATGCGTTAAGCGCTTCGCACAAGCTGCAGCGGACATGGGCGAAGTATGGCCCGCGGATCAAATCCGGCCCGTTGGGTAATTCAATCTGACCCGCCTGATGATGCCACAACCAAACTGAAACCAAATTGTATGTTTAAGCTAAAAATAGCTCAAGGAATTTGATTGTGGTTAAACTTAGTTTTGGCACGCGGCTTATTATTTTCCACATTTGCTTTGTAACACTGTAAATATTGTTCATAAAATGTAACTTTTTACGTCATACTTACATGGCCCGCCAGACTGGGTTGGCAAAATTTGTGGCCCCTGGTTCAAAAACCTTGCCCGCCCCTGTGCTAGAGCATTGTGACGTTATAGATATAGACAGTTGTGGGATTCAGCCGGTTCGCACCGGTTCTATAGAACCGTCTCACGGAATTTTATAAGATCAGCGAACTGGTTAGCATTACTGGTTACTGTCAATGTTATGTTTGTAACAGAACCGGCTGAAAAATATGACTTTTGTGAAAGAACCGACTGACGAAAAATTTGAATCGCACCACTGGATATAGATAATAAATTGGACTCAAGTATGGCTTTATAACGAAAAAAATTTGAATTACTCACACGTACCAGCTGGAACTAAATTAAAAACTCGTTTGGCGGGCAGCACACTATTCGAAATTGGCATTTTTTCGTGGGCCGCACAATTTTTTCGTTTGGGCTACTTTTGGTCCGCTGGTCGCAGTTTGAACACATCAATCTTTGTAATTAGTTGTTATTTGTATCTACGTCATAATGTTCATTACGGAAAATATTGTTGTTTTTGGAGGTATTCATAAATAAACACATGCACACATTCTGAAAACAATAGGTTTTGGATTCAATTTGAGGAAGCGATTTTTACATCATTTATTCTTTTTTTATAAGAAATTTCTGCAAAGGATATTTGTCAAGATGGAAGATAGACCTCTTGCTGATGACATGGCCAAAGACCCATGGTTGGACAAATAACTGTAAACATCGTTTGGACACGCGCATCATTATTACTATATATATTTTTGAAGATCAACTACTACTGCAACACATCCAGGCACCTTATCATTATATACTAACATTTTAACGAAACTGGAAGTATAATCGAATAACTCTGCACGTGAAGGGCAGCATTTTGTAAATGAGACATTGATATTATTTTAAAAAGTGTCTGTTGTAGTCCTTGTATAAATTACTCTAGACTTTTTTGAGTCGACCAACTTATGTGGTCGAACGATTAGTTTCAAAATACTAAGTTTTTTATGGTTAACAGTTGGTCATGCTGCTGTTCAACAGTTTTCAATGGTAATTTGTATTATTTAGACTTTAGAGCAGGGCTTCCCAAACTGATGGTTGCGCAATGAATTTTAAAGGTCGCCATGAGTACACCAATTTCACACAAAGTACCATATCTATTGTACTTTTTTAGACTTTTGATTCGAAACACAAATTTTAAAACAGGTGCGTGCAACACAACCGATTGCTGCCGGTACATCTAAGCCCAATTTTTTTTTTTTTTTTTACTTTATAATTTCCTAGTTAACCAATAACGCCTGACACATCACTCAGGGCTCGTTGGAAGTTTTGTTTTGTTTTCTACATGCTAGATGTCGCTCCTGGACAATTATTCGTACGACGTCACGCTTATGCTTGAGTAAGCATCAGCTTGTAAACAAACAATCAACATTTTTCAATTCCTGCCGAACGCGTCATTCTTTATCATAACAGCAATCTCGCATGTTTGGTATCGTTGATTTCCTAGTTGTTATAGCAACAGAATGAGACCGTAAGAGGTCTTATAGCTTACGCCGTCGCATAGTGAAGACGTGTTATGTTTGGGCAGGTCGTGTCTTCGCGTCAGGTTGTGCGACATAAGAAATGTCCGATTCCACTAAATCATTTGCATCTGAATGGTTAGGAACAAATTTTTTGTTCTCTATTTGCCAGAGGACACTCTCTAACGAATAACTGCGACTGCTGACGAGACGTAATGTGATAGTATATCTTCCTACTACTGCATAGCACATTTCGTAATGTGATAGTTTATATTCTTGGAGTATTTGGTTGTATTAAGGTAGATTTTCCTTTTTTTTTTTTTTTTTTTTTTTTTTTTTACGGATCAGAGTTTTTCCAGTCTCGGATCAGCTCCTTAAAGACACGTCATATCCGAGTCATATCGGTATCACGCTTCATAAGCATGCCACTGCTTAAGCAGCGGTCATACACATAAGGCGGCTTCCGTATCCGCCATGTATTGCAAGGCAAACACTTTCGGCCCCGAGCATCAGTACATGCTATGTGCCAAATAGCAGGACGTCTGCCCGGGGCTTCCGTCAATGCCATGCTTAACACAGCTCAACTTCCGCCACCCCCGGCTTCCGTACATACGGTGAGGCGCGTAACACGTACACAGCATGACATCCACCGCGAAGCTTCCGATTCATCATATCCGTGGAATCGCTAGATGGTCTTTCTCAGAAGTATGCTACCCGTTATGGGGAGCACAATAAAAACTTTGGTTGTATTTGTTCTGGTTTGGCTATTGTTTGTTTTTTTTAATAGTCGTACCCAGCGAGTATTTCCTTCCAGTTTGGATTCAGGTCTGATGTGTAGGTGTGAGGGAACTTATGATCCAATTGTTCAATAAATTCCAACCATTTTAGAATTGTTTTTTGGATAATTTTGTCTTCATTTGGATCAACCATCTTATTCTCTATGTCTAATTTGATTTTGTGGTTGATGGTTATTAATTTGAATAATAGGAATAGTTTCGTGGTGATGATCTGATTGGACACGGTGTAGTGGTTATAAAATATATTTTCTTTGTATATTTGGGCTGGTGTTTTAAGTGCCAGGTTTAGTTTTTCAACGATTCTAGTGATGTGTCGAGTAATATATGTGCAGTGTAGGAATATGTGTTTTGTATTGTCTTGGCGGCTTCCACAGAACTTGCAGTTTAATAGCTTTTGTTTTCCATTTATGTCCCGGAGTATCGATCTTATGCGGGCTTTGTTTCCGAAGATGTATCCGTCCGTCACTATTCTGTATGAACATATTCTTTCCTTGTTTGTTAATTTATTCTTTAAGGATTTTTGCGTAGCGTGGACGTCGCTCCAGTCTATTCCAGGAGGTAGAGGTGACTCATTTTCCGGGTTGTGCAAAAGTTTTGCGTATATGTCCTTATGTTTTAAGGTAGCCCATTGTTGTTTTGTAAGGTCGAAATTTTTGGTCGGTTCTAGGTATTTTTTCCAAATTTGGGGGACGAAAGGAAGGTGGGGAGTCGAATTTGTGTATAGGTTTTGGTTGACTGTTTTGATTTTGGAGCCTAGTGCGTATATTGCCTCTTGGTGCCAAAATTGTTGTGGTGAGTCTATATTCTTTAACGCTATTGTTCTCTCAGCTATACATGCCAATATTTTCGTTTTGACGTGTGGCATATTTATGCCGCCTTCTAGCCATGGACGTTGTAAAGTACTTCTTTTGATGGCCACGATTTTTTCAGGAAACCATATGAAGTAGATTTTCCTATTATGACGCATGAATCGATATGACTCACTCGAGTTCAATCCCGTCTTATTTATATAACTAGCCAATTCCACGCGGAAATAATCCACGCAGATATAATACTATTTGTTTTTTTAAAAATTATAATTTCTTCTCAAGATAATAAATAAACTAAAATTACTAATTATAATTACTAAATATATGCCATCCGGCTGTAATGGGCTCACGATTTCAGGAGAATACAGAATCGGAGAAGCGACGCGCGTACATAACAATGCCGGACTTTGATCCTACGGCCCAGAAGCGGCGTGCTTGCATAACAATGCCGAATTTGATGGTGAATCGTAACAATGCCGATTTAGGACCACTACGTCGGTAGCTAGACATCGTTATTCGTCACCTTGCTGGTGCTACAAAAATCTTACCTTAACTGATAGATATGTTACTTACGACATCGAAATTAGATATATATATATATATAAAGTAGGATTTACCCTCCTTTGTTTTTGTTTTGTCACTTTATCAGTTTATTGTGCCTGGCAAATAATATTGCAGGCTAAATATATATTGAAAAGATATATTTAACGTAATCAATGGATAGCTGATTAAAACGATCGGAAGATAATACTGCCGACGAATAATTGTAATTCATTTTTAACGTTGACGGCGATCAAAACATAATGCAGTTCACGCATTAACAACATTGAAACAACATTAACAAACATTGAGCCACGGCTGGACTTGCTATGCAGCAAAAAGAAGTCGCACCCATCTAACTGAATATTCAAGCGATGTTAATCTGAATAGATGTGTGTTTGTTTTAGTTCTCGAGTAGGCCTTCTAAAAGTTGGGAATTAAATCTGCCAATAAAGTATCAAGAATGATATTTCGAACTATTTAACATTTTGAACATGAACAAGGGCCGCGGAAAATTTTTATACATTGTAAGGGGTCGCGAACTTGAAAGTTTGGGAAGACCTGATTTAGAGAACATACTTCTTACAATCTTACATTAAATCTTATTCTTAAATATATATAACACCATTTCATCTATATAGTACATTGTCTATTAACATTTTGAATATATAAAAAATAATAATAATACTAAATGAAGCACGAATGGAGTGGTTCAACTATCTTAGATATATATACTGGTCTAACTTTAAATAATCACATTTCCTTATTTTTTTTGTAATATCATTATGCTGTTAGTAATAAATATCTCAGAAAGTAGAAACCTTTGCTTTATTAAACAAATCATCAAACTCACATGATAAGATCAAACTAATTTTTTAACATCAAGCAGGGTACTTATTTCTATGCCCAATCGCTACTTCGCCAGGGTAGCGAGTACATTGCGGTAGTTACTGTGTATTTCCATATTTTCACCACGTAATGTTAATAGTGCATGTTATTGGCCTGAAACAAGGTCGTAGCTCTAATTCATTTCCTTTATGATTTATTTCCCTCGCTCATTGTTGCTTGTCTTTAACACCCAGAAAGGGTCAATAGCCCTTATATTTTGAATGCCGATGTTGTTATATTGAAAAAAAAAGATGCACAATCTAATTGATCCAAATAACAGATAACGAATTACACCTAAAACCTCAATACAGTATGCGTGATGAAACCAAATTTCTAACTAACAAAGAACGTTAAAGACAAGCAACACTGAGCGAGGGAAATAAATCATAAAGGAAATGAATTAGAGCTACGACCTTGTTTCAGGCGAATAACATGCACTATTTATAATCGTGGTGAAAATATTGAAATACACAGTAACTACCCCAATGTACTCGCTACACCAGCAACAAATGTCTGAACGACAGGCTCACTCAACTCGTTCGTCAAGAATTTTTTTTTGATGCTAATCAAAGACAAGAGAGATGTGCTCAAATATATGGACACGTCACAAGGTGTCGCTATTTTTATTCTGACACATAAAAAACGAATCTCTTGAAGTCCACAGAAATTTCGAAATAAGTGAAAGTAATAGTCTTCTGGCAAAAAAATCAATCTTCAACCAATGAAAATTTCAAAGCAATTGGTCCAGTAATCGAAGAGAAATTTCATCACGACGAAAGAGAAGAATAATACTAACAAGAACAACAATATGATTGAAACGATCGTTATGTACACCGACGTGTACAATAAACCTCAAATGTGTTTTTATTTGTTTCAACTTTGAAAAAGATCGTTCGCAACTAGCAATTGAGTAGCCAATTGTGACTCACAATTTGTGAGTAATAATCAATATACCATGCACATAGTTGGAAAACATCCCAGCCAAGCTCAAACAACGATGCAGTAAAATGATAGGCATTTTTTTGAAACATCCCTCGTTTCCACGTCGGAAAAGCGATGTAGCAGTAGACATTTTAGCAGCTACACAGACAGATTTGGCATGGTTGTTGAATTAACTCGTTCAAAAATTAGTCTCGGAATTGCTGTGACAGACTAGGTTAAGCTTTTTACCGATACTTTTAAATAACAATTAAATTGAGTTTTAATTTAAATTATTGTTTGAAACATATCAACCAGTTTAAGGCGCTAACTCGCAAAACCACTCTCAAAATGAGCACCAAGTATGTTGCAATTGTAAAATATAGAAAAATTTATGTTGGGGTCAATGGTCGGGGAAACATCCATTGTTGACTCGCCATCACCACAGTCAGTCACACAAGACTAAACACATAATGTCAGCTTTTAATCAGGATTAACGTATTTATCCCGGGGTGAGGAAAGTCTATTAGACGACCTAATCATGTGGCGAACCACGGCCCTCTCGTCCGGTCACCTGTCAATGTCGGGTATGTGACTAGTAGCCAGAATTTGTTTTCAGATGCATGGACATGAATGTGGAAGAGTTACCTACCGGTCAGCGATTACGTGGAACCACCCTGTAGAGGCGAAGAGTCCAGCATTCCTCTATGACAGGGGTCGGCAACCTTTTGTCGCTCGCGGGCCAAAGGTAAAAATTTGGAAGTCATTGGCGGGCCGCACATATTTTTGGAAAGTTAAAATTCGAATGGATGACCGATGAATCACATTTTATCACAGAGATCAGAAGTTAAATTTTAAGCAGCGCCCGTAGACTGATCATTTGAATATTTTTTGCGCCAATAAACCATTTGCACTTAGCATCAACTTTTCTGCGTTTTGTTGCCATTTGTCTAAATTATAATTAAATTATAGGCTCATTAAACGAGTAATTGTGAATTATATACTTGTTACGTTATAATAAAATTTAGTCTACAAGTAAATTCTTTTGCGTAAAGAAGATAATCGACAAAACAGCTATAATTTGTTACTATAATTCAGTGAAGCGTCACGGGCCGGATTATATCACTCCGCGGGCCGAATCTGGCCCGCGGGCCGTAGGTTACCGACCCCTGCTCTATGACATAATTAACCCCGCATGGGATTTGCGATCTGCAAACCCATGCAGGGTAATCATAGGTGCGATGGCGAGCGTATTCCTAACGCTTAGCACGGTGCGCCAAACCATCAACTGTAAATTAAATAAAAACACATCGAGAAAAGAACGAGTATTAACGCAAACTCTACATCTCGATTCTGCTGCCCCTTCCGCCCTCCTTCAGGCACGCCATTGACCGCCCCCGCTGTTATTTGCGCCCACGAAGCATGCAGGTCCTAAAATCTGTATGTGCAGATGTCGGTAGGTGTAGATGTTTTGGGCTGAAATAGGCTTCCACCTGCAATACAGGGCACAGGAAACAAATATACGAAAAATCGGGAAAGTGGGCAAAATTTATACGGATTCAAGACAAGCGCCCACTTACCCCACGTTCACCGTTGAACAAGCCATCCATATCAGTCAGTCTTCCGAGGGAGGAAGCATATTTTGGTTGTTTTGTGAAGTTCAAGTTTTCAAATGTCCCATGCAGTGATTTCCCTACACCCCCCCCCCCCCCCCCCCTATAGGGGGTGAACACCCCCCTAAAATTTCAAACACCCCCCTAATTTTGAGGTGCGATTCGACACTGTAATTCCTAACTCAAGTATAATTGTATTCAAATATAACGACTATGGCATATTTATCAGTGTAGATGAGGGGTTCCGAACCGCAGTCTGCGGGCCAATTACGGCCCGCGTGGCAATTTAAAATGGCCCGCCGAACTTGAGTGAAATAGTTTAACCCTTCATGTGGTACCTTTCGAGTTTCAGATACGTCTATTGTTACATCATTATCACAGTTTAAGCACGTTTATTTCGTAACAATTGAATTATACCGGTATCCTATGTATACGTGTGGGTATTAGGATTACACACTGCAGTATTTTAGATATCAGCCGTATATTAAGAAAGCTTAAAAGATGTCACAAAACGAAAACTAGGCACTGAAAACAGACGTTTTTAGATGAATGACAGCGTCTTTATTTCTTCATTGAAAAGAATCAAACTTCAGCGATTTGTCTACTTACCAACAAAATATTTCAGTTCTGAAGGAATACAGCATTATGCGCAATTATGATCAGTTGGCGCGCGTTTTTCAAAATTTAGTACATTGCTTAATTCATACAAAAGTCAAACGAACATGTTCAAAAAAATGTGAAATGTGTAACAAAACAAGCCATAAGTAGCCATTCATACTATGCCAGATTAGCAAGTAACTTCATTAGTCACTATCAGTTGCAAATTACTTGTTGAAACGTAGTAGTATATATTTACGGTTGAAAGCCGTACTTGTTATCTATTTCCCGGGAATTCTATCAGCTAAATATTATAATTATTTATTTCATTACATAACAAACTGCGATGCTAGGTATGTCTAAAATCAAGCTCAGAGCCTATTTCTCAGGGCGCTTAAGCGCCTCCTGAACCCCAGCCGTGTCGTCGCGCACTTTTCCTCGCTCCCCTTTTCTGGCCCTACAATTTCATTTTGCTGTGGATTTTGGCTCGCGTCAATCAACTTGGGGGGCCCCCCATGTACATCGTTTCTTAAATACATACCATTTTTTTAAGAATACAAATATCCTAGTTTTATCTCTAATAGCAAATTATTTACCACCCCCTGAATTTCGAAACACCCCCCTAAAAAGAAAAGCTGGGGAACATACTGGTCCCATGTGGTATATCAATAGCTGATGGGTATTGCACATATGTTTGAGATATAGTGTAACATTTGATGTATGGTTTAACCCAGGGGTGGGCAACTTCTCTAGTCGGCGGGCCGGATGTGGGAAAATGAAGTCCTCGGTGGGCCGTAATAAAGATTAATATAAAATCTAATTTCTAAAATCTATTTATATTTAGAATCTAAATATAACTGATAACAGTAGCGGGGAATGTTTACAACGCTCTCTGCTTTAACCTTGTATTGTTTGTTTAACAAGTGTGCTAACGCAATTGTTTGTTCACTAAGGCAATTGTTTATTTCATCAGCTCGCACTGACAGTGCGGCGAGAGTAGAGCGATCGGCAACTTTCAGGAATGATGTATCGGACCACATTATAGAGTGTGGTTGGATACAGTCAGCGGTCAAAGTCTCGTCGCGGGCCGGGTCCGGGTTGTATGTTGTCCACCCCTGGTTTAACCCATAAAAAACATGAAACAGCTATTGGAAGTCCGCCTTACTGTCACAAGTAACTGGGCAGCTATTCTCATACTTGAATGGCCGGAAGGCTACGTCTCACCACAGGATGAAGTTGTTTTGTCAGCTTTCCAAAAAACTTTGAATTCTTATTACAGCCAGTTGTTGCCAACAAGTCATAGTTTTTCAATTTGTTCGGACTATCTACAATTCTACATGCAATGCTGGAATATTATGGAATGCTGAATTCATTCTCAACGATTCTCAATAACCTCCTGAAGTAGTAGTACACTTTAAAAAAGATTTTTATTTTTCAGAAATCTCAATTGGATCTGAGGCGTTTGTAAGTTTAGTAATGTCTTTTTCAGTCCTTGCATGAGTGGCCAGCAATGCATCCAAACATCCAACAAGAGAAAACATTTGTCTGTGTAGTTCGGCTTCATTTTTTACAATGTCTCGCAGTTTGATGAAAAGCATTCTAACCGAGTGTGGGTGATCTTGTATTTCAGGATAATACAGATCTTAAAAAACATAAATCATGTAAATAAATAAATAAAACATAATTTATCAAAATAATCAGATTTTCTAGGTGTGACCATACATGTGCACATTCTTTTGCCAATCATGTACCATTTCAACTTTGATAAACGGGAAGATTCTTTTTAATATAACATAGAAGACATTGAATATGACTAGACTTATCCAAAATTGCAATCTATCTCTTTTCGACATCAAGCAATATGATAACGAGGTAGCAAAGTACACTGATCATCGATTGAGCACATTATGCTGAGAGTTGGAAGCACAAGAATACCCCACATTCCTGTCAGTGCACCCACCAGAAATAATTTCATCCCGCAAAAAATTATATTTTCTGAGAATTTTAGTTAAATGAAATTCACTAATACCGTAGTTGTTTTTCTGAGCATAAGTGACTTAAAACTGTTTCAAACTATTTTTCTTATTAAAAATTATGAGCAGGCGATTGCCGCTAACTATTTCACAGGTCAGTTACAGCTTCCTCCATTTTGAGTACATCTGGAGCAAACAATAACACAATTTGAGAAAAAGGAGCTACATGACTAACCTACGTTATTTTATAATCCGGTAATTCCAAGCTACCTATTGCCTAACATTAGTTTCCTAGTTTCAGATTGAATTCAGGCCCACAAAGTTCATGGGAGTTTGATAGTAACTGTAATTAGCAACAATCATCATAAAAAATGACTTACCAACTAATACATCAGATACTTCGAGAAGTGTGGACGTAAAACTTATTTTAGTAACATTCCTAAAAATAAATTTATTTTTTAGTGGAGAGTTAGTCTCTGTAACTGGGTACTAACGGTAAAATAAAGTAATCTAGATTTAATTGGCCACTTCCTAAAATTAACCAATCCAACCGCAGTTGAGTCGAAGAAGCAGGAAGCAGTTTGTACAGGGTGACCCTTCAAAAAATAGAACCCAGGTAATTTAGAATATATTATAGGAAGAGCACAACCTTTGTGCAAAGTGACAAGGATTACTGATACTGATGCTTTTCGGTACAATTACACACAAACAGAATTTCAAAAGTTAAAAAGTTTTTCTTCATTTGCATAGAAGTTACTAAAAATTTATGGGTACGGTACTTTTTTGTTTGCATCACCCATTGAACGATAGACCATTTGTGATTCCTCAATTTCGCAACATACTTACCAATGCATAGAAATACAATATTATATATACATATATATATATAGATATAGTGACATTGGAATAATTTCACATAGTAGCATAATAGTATTGTCTGCAGAAACAGTCAAAACCGAATTTTAGAAATACTTCGGGATAATATTAAAAGAAACGTGCAAATGATAGTACTTGTCTCAAAAATAACAATTCAAATCACCTTATTAGAAATTTTAATAAATTTGTTAATTTAATATTGGTTCTTCCAGCCATGGCAGATTTCAAGCATCCTCTTCTTATTAATTCTTTGAAAACAGCGACTGTAACTTCTGGCATCACCCGAGGCTGAGAAAAAAATATGAGACAACATATAACAGAATATGTAAACAAAAAACTGCCACTAATTGATATTGGCTCCAAAAATAACTCCTATTCAAGTTGTTTTCTTCAATCGTAAAAGAGTAAAAAAATATCAGCATTTCCACAAGTCATGAGATATTTCATAAATGTACATTGCGTTGAATGGTAATTACTCACAATTACTAGACTAATTATGACAGGGGTCCATCACATTTATCTTAACCTCAAGTCAAGTACTTGACTAATTATGGCAGAGAATAATCACATTCATTTTAACTATAAGTTAAGTAAACGATGACTTATTAATTGAAATTGAATCGGCCACACAGACTATTTTTTAATCAAACACAGTGGTAATCATTTGACCTATTTCGGGTTCTCTTTGATAGTTTCCAAAACCCGCGTTTAAATCAAAAAACAGTTTTTCTAGTTTTTGTTTCTGTAATCAAAATTGATCCCAATAGCGAAAACTGATTTAGTTAAAACTAGACGCCACGGCAGCTTGTTGAATATTCCACAAAACAAATTGAAACCATAGTATTATTAGAGTAAAAAGCTAGAGATCCTAATAGTAAAACATAACTTACTTGTAAGGCTTCATCAAGGGCCTTGCTATGCTGAAATTTTCTAAAGAATTTGTCATATTTTGGTAATTGCTCTTTTTGCTTGTGATAGATTACAATATCATCTTCATTCGGCATATAGTCTTTTCCTAATATAATGAAAATACCTTGATTATAAATTTTGATAAAATAAACTATTGATGGTTTAAAATACTAATATCAAATGGTAGAAACCAGCCATTACACATAATCAAAAGAATAGAAACAAAATTGTGCTCGTTGCATGAACCCAGTTCTAAACTAGACAAAATTGTCCCCAAATACTATTCATCAATTCAATGTTTTATGTGTGCAATATGCCATTGAACGTTGGTGGACTTACCCCGAATATAATAAAGACTCTCTTGTTTTTTCCGTCTCAGAGACATTTTTGATTCATCAACTTCTTTAGTTTTATCACTTTTTCGTTTCCTGATCGACAGCATCTTATCGACCATACCAACTGCTAAAGTTTTATCTTCATTCTATGCAATAAGTGAATGGTTCTTATGTATATATATATATATATTCTTCAAACATTTGAATCAAATATGTAACAATATGGTTAAAAATTGCACTTTTATTTGAACACTTTGCATATGACAAATACAACATTTCATTCCAGGCGCGGCGGTGTGGCTCAACGGGCTAAGCATTAGGAATACGCTCGCCACCGCACCTCTAATTACTCTGCGTGGGTTCGCAGGTTCGAATCCCATGCAGGGATGGTTATGTGCGAGAGGATTGCTGGACTCCTCGCCGTTGTTGGATGGTTCATGTAACCGCTGGTCCCGACTTGAAATGGTAACCGGACGAGAGGCAGTGGCTCGCCATATGGATAAGCCGTCTTATCGGCTTTCCTCTCCCCCGAGATAAATATGTGAATCCTATCCTATCCTATATATCAAGATTTGTTCATTTATTACAATTTGGTTAGTTTACACTGATTATAATAATCTACACTGATTATTCCATATAAAATATTTGAATCAAAATAAAGTCACATAATAACTATTTGCATGGCTGGCAAACCATTATTATTGAGCCATGCTAGATTTGTTGAGTTTTGCAAAGAACCAAAATGCAGTAGAAACTAAGTCATGTTTTTCTATTGTGTGCTTCATCTAGAGTTTTTTTTATATATATAAATCCTTGATTTCGATGTAACAATAGTAATACACGACTTTATGCAATATAATGACTTGAATCCATTTTAGTTTTCAACGTTCATGAATTAGCATTTAGGTCGATGAACCAACGGTCAATACTCGAAACTTCTTACTTTCTGCTGATGAAAGAAAGCCACACTACTAGATACTCTTAACGAAAATAAAATTTGATGGTATGTACTCACTGATATAGCCAAGCTTAATATTGGAGCTGGATAATCAACATTATGAACAACATTATATGAACCAACATCATATATTTTAACATGCCTGCACAGAAGAGAATATGAAAAGGTAAATATAAAAAAACTAGCAGCAAAATCATGCAGTAGACCTCGAACAATTTTAATTAACATTTTTACTGCTTTAAACTGGAATATCACTAAATATCTTCACAGATATATATAGACATCAAATCTACATCATAACTAGCGTTTGACCACAGTAGGTAAATCATAAAAATGCTATCATTTGTAAACTATAGCAGTTAACAACAATGTACCAAATTGTTGGTAATGTATAAGAAGTTAAGAACAGAGTAATGCTTGAACATATAGGCACATCTGTACCGGTACGGTAACGCCTACGTTTGCTGAAAACATCAGTGGACAAGCAATATAATATAAAGGAGAAAAATTTTGTGAAATATTGGGTCCCGTAGAAATCTTGAGGAAATTTGAAAAAAAGATAAAAGTAATAGCCCTCTAACCATCTCTCTTATCTTTAATTACGGTAAGTACTGAAAATTTGAGATCAATCGGTAGATTAGTTGTGGAGAAAGATGATTTTTTACCAACAACAATAGCAAAATGATCCACAGATCTATGAGGATAAATAAATTGAGTGAAAAAAAATAAATAAGTGTGACATTTAACCCCAAAATGTTCACGTGTAACAGTCCCAAGCAACATACAGAATATAATGTCTAAGTAGTAATTTTTTACACATCCAAAAAATTTTGTTCGCTTCAAACTATAATATATTGGGACTCACTTGTCTAATGATCCTGATAATATTTTTGAACAATTGTGATTGAATGACATGCATGTTATAGATTTATGATGATGACTAAAACTTGTCAACAATTTTCCTCCTTGCAGAATATCCCAGACTTTAATTACGTTTCCACCTGATAAAATGAAACGATTCATCAAATATGTTGCAATACTATATGCATTATAAATTTTGTATGTTGATTATCATGATTCTTAACCAGGACAGGACTGAGTAATGTTCCAACAGAATCTGACCATTTAAAAACAGACAGTTTGGCATTATTCGAGTCCAACTCAAATAATTTGAATCCATTTCCAACTTCGAGCTCTTAGTTTCACACAAAGCTGTTTTTCGAGTCCCATTTGAACCCCCCCCCGACCCCCCCCCCCCCGACCCCTAGTATGAAAAAATTAAACCCCAACCCCGTGCTCATCGTTTAACGGTAAATATCCCAGACTCTTGTTTATGTAAAGAAAAATTGACTCTGCTACGCATATCGTTCTCAGATGCCTACAAAGTCCTGTTAACTGCCCCTGGTTGCAAAGCATATTAAAGACTATGCATTTAGAATGAATATAATCTGTGATCTAATGTTATTCTACGCAAAAAATGCTAACCTGCGCTAAGCAATATACTTCCAGAAGGATATATAAGAATACTCTCGACAGGTAGACCGTGATCAACAGAAAGTATAGATGAATTTGTTCTTGTGTCGTATAATTTGACAAGATGATCATAGGAACCTGAAATTAGACTAATTTGTAATCAAGGTTTCAGAATAGGATGACACCCTGTTCCTAGGTTAAAAACAAATTCGCAAATTTCTTTTTGTAACTTTAACAATTGTCCATAGGTCTTGATAAGCATTTCCATAATAATTGATTTTTATATTTTTTCTTTATATGTATACAGTATACCGGTACTAAATATTGCATAAACATGCCGAGCTTTTAATCTAGGAAAAATGAATTATAACAATAGATGCTTTACTATATTCCTAGTGAAAAATTGAAAAATATTGAAACATACCTGTTGCAATAATATCTGCGCTCGATCTACAAATGGCTCCGGTACGAATATAGTCCTAATGAGAAAATATGAGAAAATTGAGTAAAAGAAAATATATTTAGTATCAATGCTAGTTTCATCAACCATTCATTTCCGATGGTCCTGAGCGACTCTCAACCTCAAAAAAAATGTCGTATCTTTTTGTTGAAACGGGTGACAAACCTACAGCTTGTTTTAGCCGCTTTCCGTGAATTGTTGCACGAGCATTTCACTCTTATAGTACACCGTGGATAAAAAAGAATTTCAAAAAAAAGTTTTTAACGATGAGCGAAAAAAAGGTTAAAACCTATAAAAAACTGATCGAAAATGGGATTTCAAAAACTCTCAATGTTTGTACATGAAATATAGAGCAAAAATACCAATAACTACCTCGTGTTCTGAGAATTTGTTGATTGATTTTTCTGTTGCAACATCCCACACTCTCACTGTTTTGTCGTCACCCCCAGTAAAAACATGAGTAAGGTTGTTGCAAAATTTGGAAACATGAACTGGCCTGTAAAATAGATTAAAGAAGAGGTTCATGAAAATTTCAAACTCAATGGATTTTTACTATAATTTAGGTTATAAATGTTGTAACAGTATATTTATAATTACCAATAGTAGGGCTGCCTTAGAGTAACTAAAAGCACATCTTAATCTAAACACAAAAACAGATAACAAAATTAGGTAGTTGCTGAATATGCCCAAACTTGATCGAACCACCGTCTAATACTTCTTACAGCTAGTAACTAATGCAGTGAGACAAATGCAATCTATTATCGCATGACAATATACACTAATTACAATTTATACCACATAGAACAAAAATGAAATAATGATTAAATACAATTAAAGGTGACCAAAGTGAAGCATACTGCAACAGGAATAACTAAAACTTAAATTTCATAACAGAACAACGCATGACGCATTGGGAAAAAAGCTGACTTAATATTAAAATCAAACTGCACCAAGGAAGAGTTTCATTACAAATGTACATTTAATCACTGCAATACACCAGCTTGATTTTGAGCACAAAAAAGATGATAATGTGGCTCAATCTGTGATATACTCATTCGTACTATAGTCATACTTTCTCAATTTTAGTTTTAGCAGCTTTAATTTATATTCAATTTTAACTAACCTTGTGTGACCTTTAAAAATTCTCAATGGAACACGTCCTTCTGTATCAAATAATCTTGCATTAGAATCTTCGTTTCCTGCAATTATTAATTTTCCATCCCTGCGATAACTTGCACCATATACAGTGTTATGGAATCTTGAGAAGGTTTTAATTCTTTCACTAGTTTCATGATGATATACTTGAATCTATAATAGGAAATATGCACATGTAAATCAAACCCCCAATTAAGCTGCTCGGGATGTAGCAGAGATGTCCAAAACAAATCTCACATTTAAATCTATTTGAAATTAATTATATTTAATTTTATGTAATTTAGGTTTTGGGAATAATTTAAAATAGTTTTATTTGAAAATATTATCAGTTTAGGCCATTGAAGTTTCCATATTCATTTAATTTCAAATTCAATGAATATCTGTTGACTTCTATATGTTATTCTTTGTAGATTATGAACGGTTCCAGTCAAAATATTATTGATTGATTGTCTTCAAAAATAATATTGCATTATGATTTTTGTTTCATTTGTATCTGAAATGAGGGCGTCTGGCACGAAGGCAGATGTATCGGATCGCGTCAAACTTGTCGCGGAAACAATTTAAATCAATCGTGACATGCGCCGGTCGTCACATGACCAAAATTGCGTTCTTTTCTTAGGCGCGGCGGTGTGGCTCAACGGGCTAAGCGTTAGGAATAGGCTCGCCACCGCACCTCTAATTACTCTGCGTGGGTTCGCAGGTTCGAATCCCATGCAGGGATGGTTATGTGCGAGAGGATTGCTGGACTCCTCGCCGTTGTTGGGTGGTTCACGTAACCGCTGGTCGGTTACGGCTTCCTCCACCACCAAGTCCATGCTTCCGCAAAACAAACAATATAACTAATCCCAGACCCGACTTGGAATGGTAACCGGACGAGAGGCCGTGGTTCGCCATATGGATAAGCCGTCTTATCGGCTTTCCTCTCCCCCGGGATAAATATGTAAATCCTATCCTATCCTTTTGCTAAAAACTCTCGAATGCAAAGATAAAATTTTTTTCCTCCAGTAAATTGGATTGGATCAATTAAACTGATGGAGACGTTTTTAGATTGCACTTCCTTTCACTGTTTTAGTTCATTGCGCAGCACCAGTTGGCATTTCGAGTCGATATGGAGGCCAGACTGTCTTGTAAAGAAGGGGGCTGTAATAATTGATGTCTATTAATATGGAGCTATTCCTGGAATCTGTATGCCCTGCTGTACTGTAATATATAATACTCACACGAGTTGCTGACGAAACAGCAATGTTGTGAGGATGTGTTGGTTGAATGTCAATGTGTGTAACTGCTCCAAATTCCTTTACTGTGACAGGAAACTGGAATAAAATGCAAAAAATAAGATCTACAGAACTAGTTATAAATCAAAAAATTAGTTCAAAAAAATATTCATAACGTTTTTCGGCAACAGACGAATTTGAAATAAAAAACTAATTACATTTCAGTATTCAATTTAGTTGTTCTGTTTTTACTGTTTTAGTTACTGAGTTATGTCTAACTTACCTGCAATCCTTTCCAGTAATACCCGTCTTCAGTAAGAAGCTTCCTTTCATGAACGTTAGACACGCGATCCAACCGTTTAAACCTGCTTGATGTGTTCAGAACTTTTTGCGACATGATTCTATAACGTTACGGTATGTAACATAAAATTCGTCATAAAATGACATAAAATGATTCCGAGCACCCAACAAAACGTGTGCAAGGGACTTCCCCATAAGACCGGTCAAAGGTCATATTGCGAGTACGGTACGTATTCGTTGTGGAAGAGAGAAAAACCCATACACACGGAAGAACCAGAAATTCTGCGTAGAAAACTTTTAGGCAACATTAAAACCACACGCATACACATTTGACATTGATTGATTTGAGCACGCTTATGTGCACCGACTTTTTGTCAAAAATGGACCATATCGATGATTTGTATACTAGCATTATTTGTTGTTTCGGAGCTGATGTTACAGATTCGCTTAGAACATTGGTTGAGGGTTGGGGATATTTTTCTCCGGGTCGCCGAAAACCCCGACCACGAGACGCATGTTTGAATTCCGTTGAAGATGATAATATGTCAGAGAACCAATCAATCAGGACCAACGACTAACGATCAGGACCCACCATTACAGGGTGATCCACATAGCTTCCGGAGCGCTGTTGATTTGGCTTAAAAACCCACGCCCGGCACGGACTAGAAGAAAAAAAGGACGAGCTCACGCATCTCATTCATTGCCAAGTTTACGAAACGGGGTCACATTACAAACACCCAAATAAATGTATGATATTATTTGATATTTCACGTTATATCAATCATATATATTGCTCTTTTTAGTAAAACAAAAATGGCATAAATCTACCATTACAAAAATAACTAATCCGAGAAAATCAAAAATATATAGGCTAAATTTTTATGTATTATTGGACACACACGTTTTCATGTTATAACATCAATCGCAATTTTACTGATAGCGGCGATCGATGAGCTTTCAAAAACTCCCTGACAATTAAAGTTTACGAACTTTGTCGTGATGCTCTTCAGAATTGCCTGGGGGTATGTTTTGACAGACAGATTTTTGCTATAGTAATACCAGTCGTTGATTTAAATACCAAGCATGCTCCTGCTGTTTGTCTAGTTTGAGATTTTTAGGCAGCAGAAAATATATTCTAAATAGTAAATACCCTAAATCATATTAGAAGTTAGATTATAAAATGCCATCTGCTTGGTTAAATGTAGACAGAATCTTGGCGTTGAAATGATAATATACGGGCTTGAAAGAACTAGGCTACATGTCATATATATTTAATTATTTGGTATCAGTACTTCGGCTCGAAAAACTAACTTGAACCATAGATATGGAAATGCAAAGAAATGATCAGCCTGAACAAGGAAGGAATGTAGCTCTCGCAAAAGCTTTTTCGATAAAGTCCCATTCATGTAGAATAGCCATAACATTAATCTCTTCCCTTAAAGACCCAGACACATTTGTGTCCACAAATTATAGAGTGTAAACGCTTAAGACGTAGCCTATACCCAAAATTTGTTTCTGAAGTATAGTTTTTGGAGTGGAGTATATAATATACATTCAAAGCAGATAGTTAACCTACAACGTAATATAAAAACCAAATAATAAAGAGAAAATAATATTAGATCACCAGCCCCGGCACTTACCAATTCAAATTTGATTTTCATAATATTAGCGCTAAATCTGAAAATATATGGATAGTTCGAATAAATCGTCACGAAAGGGGTTGCAAAGCAAAAAGTCAGATAAAGAAAAGGGTGAGTAACTGAATTTTTATTTGCCGTAATTACTTTAGAGTTGTTCCAATTTTTCAAGGCGATTGTAATCTTTATGGTAGCCTACATAAATGAAAACTGTTTTCTTATTCTCGCGTTGAGCACGGAATGAAATTATTGCGAAGAGAAAATAACAATTTATCAGTTATATTTACGAAAATCTATACCACAACTCTGTTCAATATAAATGCTGTTTTTTCATTTATTGATTTTGCAATGGCCAAACCATTACCATGCATGATCATGTCCCATATTCATTTCATTAGAAAAAACTCCAGCAGTTGGATGTGAAATTGACTTCATCGCTGACGGAGTAAACGAGAAACCACAGAAAAACACTCAGTCAAAGAAAATAAAAACTAAATCATCAATAAAATGGTCATCGGGAAACAAAGACAAGTGAGTGAATTGCATCTGTGATTGACTAATAAATTAATTTACAACAACAAAACTCATCTCACACCAAACTCCTGAACATTAGTTTGTTTCAATCTATTCTACAATTGTTTGCGATTGCGGCATGATTGTTGAATTGGGCCCTGTGTATCACAATAATGTGTGACGAAAATATTTATTTAAATATTATATTTGTGGGTGTTGCGCGCACGTGATTACCGCGCTTGTCCTAATTATGTTGTTGTTGCAGACTGAAGTTTTTTGATATGCCGCAACGGAAAAATTGGTTTCGAATGGTTTCCAAAGTCGATTGTTCAAACGGGGTTTTTATCAGGACTCCACATAAAAGAATAGTGTCGGTATATTATTTAAATATATAACCGTTCTAATGAGCTCACGTGATATTGTTTATTTCACACAGAAAAAAATCTGGAAGAAGTAAAAGCACCACATCTAATGACTCGAAAGTAGAAACAGCCACGGAGCTCTGGAAATCAATTCTATTATGCACCGAGTAATATTATGCTATATTGATACATTTTGTTGTAATATATATCATTCATTGAGGTAAACTCATGTGTATATATATTTCATATTTTTCAGTGAGTACATCGACCAAAAAAATGACGCAATGAACCAATTGAAGAAAGATGGCAGTATGACGCCAAAACACGTGAGATATCTTCTTTCTAATATTACAGATTGCCCATGTATGCATACTTCTTCTAATATGAAGATATATATGTAAAACATATTTATCTCGGAGAAGACGGAAAATAAAATATATATTTGCTAATACGCATAGCGAACGATGGCCTCCTTTTCGGGTGAGATAGAGATAGGAAGAATTTGTAGAACTATTGCACAAAAACCTGATTCTAAGCATAATGCTTGTAGGTGAATTAGCTTTTATAATAAGTTGAGATATGAAAATGTTTACTGTGGGCTTTCAAAATCTGATTCATCTTGATAATTTGCGCTTTGGATTTTCTCGTTATAAACACCAACACCCTTGAATACCAGCACGGCTGTTGGATTTGTCAAATAGTTAAAATGTAAATTCAATTCTACACATTCCCAGTTATAGTGGAGTAAGATTGTGATGACGAGGACCACAGAAATTCTCGCTTATTATTATCGCTCAGCGATTCAAACTACTGTCTCTCATGCAGAGTATGTCCTGAGCAGTCGTGAGTGTGACGCTGAGGCCAGGGGCTCAGTACAATAATCCAACGGTATAACCAAAATTTAGTTCATTATAATTATAAAGTGAGATTGTAACGAACTGCCGACTGAAGCCAAATCAAAGTCACTTCAAACACAAATTAACTTAGTTATTATAAAGTAGAATGAAACTATAATTATTATTTACTGTTCGTGAATAATAGATATATATATATTCTATAATTCCATAACCGTATTAATTTGCTATACCAATTAGTATTGTTAATTTTTACAGATAGAAGAAATACGAAAACTCGAGATTCTGATTAGAAGTATTAAATTTTACAAAGATTCCTTATCGGCCGCTACACAAAGTAAGTCAAACATATCAATGGTGGTTACTAATTAACATTATTCGGGGATAATCTTGAAAGATCATGTATATTAACTTGAAATATACACAAATTCAACGCAGACTTGAATGATCTCCCGATAGAAAAAAAATTAAATGTTCAAAAATTCGTTTTTGATTTTCAGACTCAAATACTTTTCAATTTGCTTATTTTAAAATACATTGAAACTATTTTGCACATGCCAAGTTAATTGTAACACCAATACATTCACTAAACATAACCGCTAATATTATCTTTGTTTATTTGAAGATATCGGTACAGAAGACGACGTGTATGTAAGTACCGATTAAATTGAAGTTTTAAGCATGTTGTATTATTTCATGTCTTTTCTAACATATTCCGAAATCAAAATATATTTATTTGCGTTTATTTGGTAAGTTATATTTGCCCTGTGTTTTTATGAAGATTATTATAGTAAAATAATTCATTTCCTTCATATGAATTATCTTTGACAATATTTCTAATTTTGAATTTGTTTTGCTCCAAGGTAGAAGATTCGCCTATGTTTGGTCAACTCAGACTGGGAATTGCAGGTTTGAGATTAAACGTTTTTTTTCCTGAAATATTTTTACTCTTTATTTTATTGTATATAACTCATTGTTTTAATTTAAATCGTTAGATCCTACGACTTAATATGACTAATGTAACCTAATGATGTCGTTATTTGATCTTGTTTCGTTTTTCACTCAGTATTTTTGTTTCTCTACACTACAGGAATAAAAGAATGTACAAAGCTAAAACACGGAGATCATTGCGAAGCACTGCTTATGCATGACAACAAGAAAAATCGATTCAAAGGACAAGTAATCTCAGAGAATGAAGTCAATTGGAATCCGAAAGAAATTGTCCTGAATCTGAACAACTGTGATGCCATTGCAATAAAGGTACAATAAGTACTACCATTGTTGGTTGGGTCGTTCTTTAACAACGCTTTTGCATTAAATTTGACATAGTATGCAACATTGTTTTTTTTTCTTGTAGATAATGGAACCTGGAATATTCGGTAAACTATCGAGCATCGGAAACGCAACAATTGACGTCATCAATCTTATATCATCTGAAAATCGGGTATTACTTTTTTACTATTTTTAGTAGAGATATGATTCTATATTTCCCGTATTCACGGTTTTAATTATATCCTTTTGATTTTTTAGATGTTCGAAGTTACCTTAGACAAAGATCAAAAAATGAGGCTCAATATTTTGCACGTATGGATGTAAGTTTGGATATACATTGATAAGATCTCATTTCATTCTCAATCCAATTTATTACTTTATGAATACATTTTCAGACCATTCAACTTTAACATGATTCCGGCCAAATATCTTGTTAAACCTGATAACAATGCCAATACTGAAACAAAGTAAGTATGAGAGACTGTGGGATAGTATCATTAACATGGCTAACAACATGAAAATAATCTACTTTTCTACGTTTCCAGAACTTCAGATAAAAGCATTGAAAATGAAGAATTTGAAAATTTGAGTAATCACGAAACAAATTTCGATGATTATGAATCTTCTGAAAGATCTCATGATACTTCAATTATGAGAGAAAATGCAAAATTAGAAGAAATTTTTCTCGAAAAAATGCATGAAAATGCAAAACATGTGATGATGTCGTCACAAGATCCAGAAAATACTGAAAACTTGGAAACAGAGGTGAATATGCGATTAATATCTAACATTTTTATTACACTAAGAACTTTCAAATGAATGATACCCGACATTTTTTTACTGGCATTCAAAAATGTCAAAATCCGTATTTTACGAGTATTTGAGGTACAATTAGTGTGCGCCACGACGATTATGATGAGTGACAGAAGTATCTTTCGTGGTACGATGCCTTGATGCTGTATATATTCTGGTGTACAAAAGCATCTTATATCGCGACAGGTCTCGCGACGGAAGCGTGCAAGATTTTTAATCAGCAAGCTCGAGAAAAAGTGCATTACACTTATATATATTCACCTACAGCTGTTGGAGTCAACACTTTTTCAACCCGAGTTGAGAGTCGGAGTAGATTGTAAATTTGCGACACCATAGCACTGCTTGATAAGCCACCGGGTTCTCATTGGTTCCATACTTGATGACCTGGAAATGCGTGACTCGATAAATACGAATGTACATGCTTCAATACAGTTCGATAGAATAATAAATACTAGAGATCATTGCTTTGGAGCTCAATACAATATGGACGATATGCATATGCATAATACATTTCGTTGCCGCGAATTGTTGTCTTCCTTAAAATTTACAGTTATTACATCTTAGTTCTTCAATTTTTATTAGGTAAATGGAAATGAAGAAACAGATAAAAATGTGTGGGCAGAAGCTCTTTGTCGTTGTATGGTATTAAATTGTTCACTGGATGATCATAGAGGAAGATACACCGAGTTACAACTATTAGAAACAATGGTGTTGGAAATATTAGAAAATTTGAAGGTATTGATAACTATGCTGAGTTTCACATTTTGCTACTCGTGGAAAAGTAAAAAATAATTTCAAAATTCTTTTTTAAACATTAGAGAACGGAAGAATATTCTGTCATAGAATTTGGTGCATGGGTGTGTAGCAACCAATTTTATTTTGCCGTTCAACATTTTCAGTATGATGTTGACTATATTCAACCGTCATATTCACTGATATTATATATTATATTTTGGGCTAGCTATGCTAAACGAAAGCAAATCTTGTGGTCATATGTTCTGTTCCAGATAAAAAAAAATGTAATGTTTGCTTTAATTTTTATAACTGTTTCAGAATTGTTGCAATCCAAACGAGCGGTATATTTTTGATGAATTATTGTTTTATATTCAATCACAAAATCAACTGGATGAGATATTCGAATCAGATGAATTGGATCCTAAGTAAGTGCAATTAAAATAAAATGTTCGTGCTTTTTGTAAGCTGAGTACATGCCATGTATAGTGACATTTTTCACAAATAGTTTATTAGTGGATTTTTATCGGCTACTTATACTTGATTCGTTATTACTAAAATATGCATATTTAAAATTGATCACACAACAGTTATATTTTTAAAATCACATTGTGTGATATAAGTTTGACTGGAACGTCCTCACCTTATCATGGTTCATTGTAGGTATGTCTTGTCGAAGTTTGCCGTCATTCAATTTAAAGATGAGCAAGAAATCGCTTACAGCGCAATATCGAGTCATTTGAAATATATCATTGAATATCTCAAGGTAAGGGACTGATGGACGTGGGGTTGTCAAAATGTGGCGTTGCACCTTTTCTGAAAGTAGAACCATCACTGTTGAAAAATTTCAAGCAATTGAGGATAACCATATATAAAATCATGGGTGCTCCCGAAGTTTTCGTACCAAGATGGCGCACAACCTGAACATAGTATGTGTACCAGGGTAGGGTTGCTCATGTTGTGCGTCATCTTGGTACGAATACTTCCGGAGCGCCAAATCATGCGAGTCTAGAATAACACCGAGCTCACATTACCAGTCCACGGAAAATGAATTCTTTTTTTTATTTTTATTGTAGATGAAGGTATATATATTTATATTTGTATTATTTGAATTCTCGCTAATTTTAACTCCAGGATGTTGGATCGTATGGTTATCTAAACATTAAAGAAGTGATAGCGGTTCACAAGTTAAATCGACAGGGAAAAATTTTGAAGCAAATTTTGGATGTTGGCTGCAATCCCGATATGCAGTTAGAAGGTGGAATTTAATTTTTATTTGTATTTTTTGCTGCAATGTAAAGGGGTGAAGGAATGTTTACTTAAAGCAAGGCCATTTGCAACAACCATGCGGAAAAAATTATAAGCAACTATCGGAGTAAATGAAAGCCGATGTAATGAATGCCCTGCATCCTATTTTACAGTGTGTTTATCAAAAGTATAACATGAACCAGCCTACTTTGTAAAAAGGGCGTTTGTAAATTGTAATATTGTGGGTTATGATGTATATATATTGTGTTGTATGATTGTATCTTTCGTACATTTTAAAGATGTACAGACGCCTATTCTTCATTTTCAAATCTGTCGTCTCTTTTTAGTTAACTTATACATGATATCAACATTTTATCTATATAGTTCGACTTGCTTACAATCCACGCGCAAGTTGTTTCCTCGCTCTATAGAGTCTATACGTATTCTTTTTATACCGCTTTACTCCAAATTATATTAAGGTTTTAAACAATTATTCTCTTTAAAGATTTTCCGGACCTTGTCAAAAGAAGAACCTTATTAGAGTTGTGGAGATCATGCTGCGATGGAGAAACAGAGTTGTGTGTTAGTTCTAAAATATTATGCCTGGAATTTGAATCAGAATTTGGAAGAGAAGTAAAAAGAAAACATCCCGATGTTGTTAACAAAAGTAAGTCAGTAATGATGATTTATTCTGCTTTTATTGACTGTCTGGTAATAAGCTATCATGCCTCTTGTGTTAAGTATTTTTTTAATTTTTCTACATCGATTATTTCTTCTTCTATAGTATTTCCAGAACTTGTACGAAGAATAATTGGACTGAATATTCAAAACACGGATGATTATTCGGTAACAATATTTCAATTATTGCTGTACTCTGAAGAAATGTCAACTGAAGGTGAAATAGAGGATTTTGCAAAAACAGTTGACAAACTTGCCTTGGAAAGTGAGTTTTTTTTTGATTATATTGAATGTAGATTGATACCATCTGTGACATATAAAGTATATTTACATTGAATAATAAATATGATACAAATAATGTAAATGGACAAAAATTATTCCGGTATTGAAGGCGGAATTGAATGTCCAAGAACATGTTAGTAATCAAAGTGGTCATCGGATGTAACTTAATATATTTTTGATTCTTTCGTATCTTTTGCTCTGATTTTTTTTATTATCCACTATTTTATGATTGCTTGCAACAGCAATTTATATTAGTGTGATTTCAAGTTATAATTATGACTATTATCAAATTTTTTTTTGTATTATTTCAGTGTTTATAACTTCAACTCTTCGATCAGATAACACTGATCTGATATTAATTGCAATCAAGAAAGTTGGAACTCTTCTTGCGTTAAGAACAAGCAACTTATGTGCTTTATCTCACTTGCTTCTTAGTCCGGAAAAAATGGTCAGAGCTGCCGCAGCCGCCCATATCATGCATATTGGTAAAGATGTATCACTTCGCGACAAGGTATGAGAGCTCAACGAATTATTGCATAACAGGCTAACTAAACGACACACTTAGCTGATGATTATATATGCTATTGAATATACTTCTAATACTGAATTCAGATTCAGATATTTATTTTCGTTCTGCAAAATTAATACGCGATATGTGCCCAAGTAAATGCATAAAATACATGTGACAAATTACAAAAACGAATCATTGCAGTCGACGAGAGGTAACGGAAGAATTAATGAGTCATCTAGTCATCGTCGCCTTGTAGATGAATTAAAAAAAAACAAAAACAAGCACGGAACAAGTCAATATTAAATATTTACTTAATTAAACATGAGCATAAAAAAAGAAACAACAAAATTTTTGAAATAAACCACGGAAATCCCACAATGACTATATGTGGTATTACCGGAATGTTTGTATATATATAGACTACTTCCTTCTTTATCAGATAATTTTTTCAAAACTCTGATTTATATGACATCAGCAACCTAAACCAGGATGTTGTTTTCAATATTATTATTTTAAATCTAATTTTGATTTTCATTTTTGTCAGGCTTTAGTGTCTTATGCGGAATTATTGGAATCGAATATCAAACGAGATAGGCAAAGTTCGTGCATTGCCTTGGGTTTCCTTGGCGGGAAAGAATGCATCCCTCAACTCATGCAATTATATCACTGTGATATCGATGCCGATGTAACAGAAGCAGCAGCTCATGCACTTACATCAATTGGTAAGTATTTTATTTTTAGGATATTTTTTTAGGACGTTTTTGACACGTTCCATTTTTTTCGTTTAATTCAACTTCTAGATGGGTAATAATAATGCTGGCAATGATTTTTAAATCATCCATGAAAAATGAGTAGTCACTTGCAGATAAGTAGTGGAATAAACCACTTCTAACATTGTAAAAATAATTGAACACGAAGTGGATCTATGGATCATTTTGCTAAAGTTTGTTGGTAATGCATGTGCTGTACCTGCTGTGACAAGAAAATCGCCAACTGAAGACTAATTGCTTTCAAATGTTTACAAGTTAAAGCGAGTGCACCATTGAAAGCCGTTACCTTTATATTTTCCAAATTTTTTCTCGACACCTTGAGCCCGTTCGATTGCTGTAAATTTGATTATTTCTTGTGATAAAAATTGCACCACTGTCATTGCTTTCTCGCAGTTCGATTTCGGCGAGCTTGCTCACACTTTTTGTTCTAATATTTAAACTGATTGTCTTTCTGATAAATTACTACAAAAACTTCCAGGTGAAGAAGGAAAATTAGCTCTAGAGCATGCTTCATCTACTTTACTCGCTCAAACAATGATACGGAAGAACACTGTGAAAATAGCAATGAGATTGGGAACGGCATTATAAAGAATTATGACATTGAGATTGAATATGCAGTTTGCGATATTGATCAACCTCAAGAAATTTTGCATTAAATGAATTTTTTATATATATATAACTAGTGTAATGAAGAGTTACTTTAATATGTTGTAGACTGCTTATGTGTCAACATCTTTATTTTCACGTTTATATCTCAACAAATAAAATTTAATGGAAGAAGCTAGCCAAGGTTATTAAGATAACACCGATGTCTCGTCTTTTGAATACCTGTCTCACTTATCCAGCATTGTTTTGAGTCAGGGTAGATATATATAGGCATATGAGGTGAGATTCATGCTGTTCTGGATTAGAGTAGATATAATTCTTAGTAGGAAGGTAGAGTAGGCATACAAATGGGCTAGAGATTCATACAACTGAGACAGGAAATTTATGAGACACTCAAATGTAACCCCAGAAAGCGCGTTGCACTCACCTTGGATTTTAGTGGGAGTTGTTGGTGTCTGCAGTATCAAATTGTAAAATTTAATGATTCGTGACATTATTTACCCCTCATAGGCATTTATTTTTACATCAAGTTTTTCGACAAGCCATATGGTAGCCGACCATGAATAATAACTCAAAGCAGCGGCAATTTCTCTAAAGCAGCGTTTCCCAAACTGTTTTCCGCGAGCGTCTTTCGAGTGTTCCGTGGAAAAGAGATCAAAATGACGACTAAATTGGTCGCCATATCGATCCCAGGATCCTGAAATTGTCGTCCAACTGGCGACCGCTCAATATCGCATCACCGTCGTCACTTTTTATTGGGTGGTGGCACATCTACAATAAAACATTTAGGGTGGATACAATAATGTTACATATATATTCAATCATATTTTAGGTATGTTTACCACAATTCTGTTAGTTTTCGCGTCGCAATTGGCTACACTAGTGCGCCGTGGCGAACCCTTTTTCTTCATCAATTTTACATTTTTTCGTGTTCCGCCAAGCGAGATAAAAAGTCTAAGAGTTCCGTGGCCAAAAAAGTTCGGGAAACTAAAGCGACATGTATGGTGTCAACTCGTGAGAGGAGATGATAATATTGAAAAATTAGATCTCCCGTATATTTGCCAATTTATGCAACAATATGATGAAACCAATATATAGGAAAATACACAATGAAATAGAAAGACTGACTACTTAATGTATTGTCCCTTATCCGCACTGTGGTAAGATGTTATAGGACTAAGCTCTATCTTAACTTTTCTATAAAAACTATTATTATTCTGCTTGGAAGACTTCAAAATTTTCTCCAAATGCTGTAACAAGACGGCTTAACATCTGTCAAAAAGTATTGATTTATCCTATCAAACTGGTATACTGTTACATAGATTTGTTATTAAGATATTAGCCAGTAAATACACATGATGAAGTGTTACATATTTTATTATTGAAAAAGGCACTTGATGCTGAAAATTACAGAATTCAGAATGACAAATAATTGCCCACTTTTCATTTAAAGAGCACAGAAGGGAAAATTTTTTGAGTAGAAGAAACGACCCATGCTCATGGGAGGTAGAAAGGTGTAGGTAAATCCATGTCAAGGATAAAAATAATGTTGTACCATCGATCAAATGAACACAATGTACATAATGTACCATAAAATGCATGCACCATGGTGAATATCAGGTATTTTCATGGTGTAGATATATTGGTTTTAGAAAAATACTTCAATTACAGAATCATGAATAGCAACCTATAACAAGAGAATGGTCCGTTTTAATAAATACAAATAAAAAAAGTATTGGGGCACTAAATGTAGGGCAAATTTTTCAACTCTTCTATAGGTATTCAAGAATATATGAAGTACAATAAAAAGGCAAGATGAGAATAAGTAAGCAATAATATTGTTAAGTAAATTGTGGTAAAGTCATATTACATACGTTAGCATGATGGACTAAACTGTGAAGATATTTTGGACGCAAAGACCATACCGTTATCATAACTTGGTAAATTGGGTAAGGCATGAACGTGCAGGACGACACACCATGCTAAGGTATGAAAGACAAAAATCATCCTCGCAGATATTGGAAAACTTGATAAAATGACAGTAATGGCTAATTTAGAATGTGTTAAACTGGATGCAGGTTTCACCTTGAAAATCAGAAATATCCTTGGCCAAGGATAATGCAAGCTTAAGTGTAGCCAAGTTTGGCCATTGAGATTAAATTTAAAACAAATTCCTCGCTTTAACATGAAACATATTTTGTTATTTCTGCTAGCACTGAATTAGGGATAGCAGTAAGCATATTTCAATCCAGAATCCAAATCCTTCGTTCTGAGCTCAGCTTATATTTTGTTCTCAATTAGGCTATTTCGGCCAGTAATTACAGAGACACATTTTCGGCTACTTATGGATGACCCCGGTATGAAAAAAATGTTGCTTACATTGAACACTACATAGATTCTAGTGACTTACAAAAACATGTATAATGATGTGACATATTTCATGATTTTGTACTGATATCTCAAAATACATAATGAATCAGCACCAAAGTGGAAAAATACAATATCTCATTGTAAAAAAAGGAAAAATACTGTCTTTTTTATAACAAAATACAAGACGTTAATAAAAAATGATGAAAATTACTTGTAAGAAATGTGTTAGAATATAAATATGATGACAGAGCACCAGATATAATTTAGCAAACAAGTGAGAGCTTATATTTCATAGGTATAAATAAAGCACACAAGAAAAGATGAATATGAAAACAGAACAAGACTCAAAGTTTAACAAAGGAAAATTTTACTCTTGTTCACGTTATTTACACTTTCATTCAACTTAAAATTCTTATAGATGGTTTGGAATAATCGAAAACTTACTTAACCCTCATGATTCGTTAGATAATAACAGTACATTGATTTCTAACTCATAAAACTATGTCTTAGTAATTAGTAAATATGTACTGCCGTGTTTTGAATATGATATATAGTGAATATGATTCGTTGAGGATTGATGTTCGACTACCAACACTTTTTTTACCATGAGTAACAAACTAACAATGGTAATTAATTTTGGTCGACTACCAAATTGTCAGAGTATCGAGTCCTTCGGCTTCTGAGGTATCACTGTATTGGTGAACAAGGGTTGAGAATTACAATATGTACACCAAGGGATGATTCAACTGACTTCCAAACAGAAAATAATTACTATGCTGATAGAAAAAATTTAGTTCAAACACAATTCAAAATTGGTGTTTTCAATTTAGATACTAAAAATACAATTTGTTTTTCTTGTTAAATTTGTCATTTTATGACAAATCATTTGATTGATCAATTGATCTATCAAATCATTTACAAAATATACCATGATTTTTTTCGCAAATAAGATTCATTTAACCGAAACAAATGGCAAGGCAGAAAACAAGAAATTCAGGTTCGGACATGCACAATGAATATCAAGACGAGGGCTTCAACAAAAAGGGCAAAACTATTTAAAAAAATGAGGAAAAACACATATTTTTGATTTTTAAACTTTTTATTGAAATCCTTTGGAGATGAATATTGCTTGAAACTATGATCAGAAAATTGATATTTCTCTAATTTCTTCAAAATTTATTTTTTCAAATTTCAAGAATTCGCCCTTGTTGAAACCCTCGAAGAGTTATTTTCCACTACCTTTAATAAGAAAAAATTCCTTCTTCCAACAAAACATTCAGAATTGTTCAAAGCAATTTTTAGGCAACTGATTTTGATAAAAAGAATAAGAATGTAGTATAAATCAAACCTATCCTCAATCTACATAGTTTCAAAAGCACTAGATCTCATGGCACTTGTGCTTGGTACATTGACAGGAGGAGCAAGTAATGGCATAGGATGAGATGAGACTGATATTCCAGTATTTTGCGGATGTCTTGCGATGACTAGAACTATTCTCTTTCCAGCTTGCGCTATTAAAGGTATAGCTTGACAACAATCAAAATCTCTTGTTCTGACTCCATTTACCTGTACATAAAAATTTTATATAAGATTTTTTGAAACAAGCTTGGAGTCGTGAACTAAAATATTTAGTACTGTACTGAACTGATAGATGAGTTGCAAGTTTTTAAACAGAGTACAGACATACTAAGCGCATTACTATCATATAGAGACAGAGTAGCGTATGTCATTTTTTTATAAATGTGCCATATTTTGATTTTGTATTTCGAAGCTATACCTGAACTAGTTTCGATTTTAGTAGTGTGTTATGTTCATTTTGCTTTTGACAGTTAGAGCCGTGAACTATCAGTAAAATGTGATTTTCTCAAAACCTTAAAATGTGACATAAGCTAATTTGGTTCTTCCGATATACAGTGACCGAAATACCAGCAGATAGCGGTTAACACAAGACTTGAAAGAATCAAGTAAACAACGTGACTATGTCGCAAGGTTGATTGGATTTCATAAAATAAAGCAGAATTAAATTACAAGATCTGTTTTGTAATCTTTCCATTGTTTCAGTTACAATATGTGGTATTATATTATTCAATTGTAATTTGCAATTATGAGACTATCGCAGCGCTTTGCACTACACACTCCACTGTTTACAGTTTTGTTAGGTTGTGGTGAAAGTGTTTTTGAAAGACAAGCAATGATATCATTTATAACCCCCTAGTAAAAATTGAACCATTGTGTATTTAAAGCAACGAATGAGAAAAATCTCGTTTTAAAGAAGTTCAAGTTGTAATAAGGTTTTAACTGAAATAGGACCATCGTTTAGTAAAATATAGTCAACTTGTACTATGTGGGTGAAAAGTGAATACATGAATTGATTTGAAAATATTATATGCCGCATTTTAAATTCTTACTTTGGAAAATAATTTAAAATAAAGCATTTACCCTATTGAGCAATTTACAGTATGACCAAATATCCTTAATTTAATTTCTGGGAAAAAAAACAGAACCAATCAAATAAATCTTTGTTCATTTCAATTCACCTGCATTTTCAAATTCAAACTCATTAAATACGCAATGCTATCTATGTGTTATTTTTTGGAACATAACATAATTCTAGTTACTTTTAAGTGTAAATAAAGAGTGGTAGCCCAGTGAAAAATAAATATATCAGATCATTCAGATGCACATCCATCTAGAGCTCACAATTTAAACACATTAAAAATGATACCATTAAAAAAATTTACTATTTTACCTGCAATAACCTGTCATATGGCCTCATGCCAGCTCTATCAGCTGGTCCATCAGATCTCGTAGAATGAACATAAACTCCACGTTCTAATTGACCATCAGAAAGTGAAAACCCAAAATCTTCAGAATCAAGATTCTTTTGCAGAGTTATCTATATAAACAAAATGTTATTCGAAAAATTCTAAAGTCAAGAGGTAATATAAAATAGACGTTGAAACTGAAACTATATTATAACATGCCTAATTTCCCTTTATCATGTACGTAAAATTGAGGCGAAGTTATTTTAACCTGCAACTTTGAAACCAACAAAGTTTAACCTATCAATTTTGCCTCGTTAGATGTCAAAATGTTTTGACTGAAATTCCAAGCCCTGGTTACAGTGAAAACTTCAATGTATCTATTTTTATATATAAACCAAGCAAGTTTCAAATATAATCTCACCTTGTGTAGTTGAACAGCTGGGCTAGTTGACACATTATATGATAGCTGATTCATAGATCGAGGTTGATACATAGATTGTGGATAGTTACTGACACTATTAGCTGTAGAATGAGAATGCTGTCTGAAAACGTCATCAGAAATATCCAACTTTCTAGTTGTCATAATTGATTCCTAAATGACAAATTAAAAAAGTAAAATATATTAACTGATTGAATATTATAAATATTGTCTTTTTCGTAACACAAGATAAAAAGGCAAATAATTTTACATAAAGATTTTTAATGAAATACTATCCATTGAATTGCATTACTTAATATTTGCCCAGTCACACATTCTTAGATTCTAATAATTGATGATATTTTCTCAAGAGAACTGTAAATATTGATTCCCTTTCATAACAACATTACTGAAAAGCAAATACGAAGAAGTAGGCCTAATGAATAGTATTTTTTCTTTATTGACAAGACCATATTTGTAATTGCCAAATTTAATGAACAAGCTACAACATACTATTTTCATACAAAGCTTTACGAAGGCATGATTCTTAATGACAATTGGCCCAAATGTTCAGATCCACCCTAAAAAAAGCTACAGTATCCTATTGATTCTCTAACAAACATTACTATTTAATAGAAAGATCTTTATTGAGAACGAAACATTATGGAAAAAGAATCAATGTTATTTGGAACATATTCTAGAAGGAACATAAATTTTATGCAATGCGCCCCAGAATATTGAAACTTTTATGTGCAATTATGCTACGTAAACAAAAGTTAAATAAATTTTCTGCATTTTTTTAGAAGTAGGAAATTTGTGGATATGTTTCTTTTTCAGTCACTAAGTGATCAGCTAACTCAAAACCTAATGCTGTTGAGTTGATAAAATGTTAAAACAGCTCCAAACATGTGTTTGAATATGTTGGCTGGAAATAATAAATGTGAATGAAATTTTGACTGATAGGATGCCTAGATCAATCAAATATAGAATGAAAAGAGCTGGATGCAACACAATGTGTAAAGTATAGATTTAATTTTTACATTTCTCTGGAACAATTTCCGTTGAGTAATTTTCTAAAAAAAATGTTTTTCACAAAAATACACAACCACAATAATCTTTAAAAAATTTGTTCCATTGTCTAACTTCTAAAAAGTGAATTATATAACAAAAGGTAGCAGATGAGCAGACTAAATTGTTCTCTATCCCCTACATTTGAACATTTAATCACACCAAAACAAAGTCTATGGAAGAAGTAGCCAAACAAGCATGTCGATATTTTGAAAAAAAAGAAAATACAAGCAATATATAAAAAGATTCAGATTTTTCTACAATAGAAAACTAAATGTAACTAAACTTCATTCTACGCCGTTATTCTAACAAAGAAGAATACATATACCAAAACCATAGATTCTTAACCATAGAAAGTTACATTTTCTGCTCAAATCTGATTTTTCCGAATAAGTTGCCATGTTTTTGCAGTAAAGATTTGATGAGACAAATATTGCCGAGATTTTCGCATCAATGAAATTCAGCCATTATAATGTTTTATTGTATTGATGAAATAATATAAAGAAGCGGATAAAAATCATGCAATCTATGTCACCAATATGACGATATGATCGACCAACCAACCATAAATCGACTGTAGGACTTCCATCGAGACTTTGCACGGCGCTTTAAAATCAGAAGTTATTATGAATATTATTAAGTTAAACGAAACCGAATCCAAAATAATATTTCTACCCAAATGAAAAATTCCCATGTGGTTGGAAAACGCTACTCTAGATGACCAGTTTGAAAATCAAATTTTACGTTGATAGTCTGCAAATCAACAAGCCACAGATAACAAGCCGAATTGGCACTCAAACCATTTGATAATATACCATACGGTTGAGTCCCAGTCATTCTCAGTTTCAAGTCAAATGTCGTTTAAAAACTTATTAATCCCATTCAATTTAAGTCCAATTAATATATCACATAATAAGTCAAAACAGCTGACAAGTCAACAAGAACAAAATAGGATTTTCGAATAAACAAAATTGGGACATCGAACAACCCTGCCAGAAATTTGTTAATTCATTTCCATTCAGTAAATATAATTTCTGTATGTCACCAATGACCATACCCACATCGAAAAAATTGATGTAAATAATAGGAATTGTGACTGTAATGCAGCCACTATCTTTATTATGCTCCTGATTCTGACAGCAGTTACTTTTTCATGTGAAACTTATTAGTGCTGTACGCCCCAAACAAGAACCTGTACAAGCAGCCACAGATATAATCCAGAGGAACAGCTTTCAGAAGGAAGATATGAAAAATCATTTGGCATTGCAAATCATAATAAAGCATACTACTACTTGCAGACATTGAAGAAAGTGAAAAATCAACAAAGCAGATAAATGTTATGATTATAAAGAAGTTAGTAAGCAGCCACCGGTTACCTCTAAATCTCTTACAATATCAGTTGATTGTCCAACAGACTGAAGATCTCTCAAAGCACTCTGCCAATCTGATCCAGCTGAATTTCTCCTGATATATAAACAAAGAAAAACAGTAAAATTTATTAATTCTATGAATGTTACAGTAAACTGACAAGAATCAATTTGAAAAACTGAAAATTCACTAGAATAGGAACTTTTCCATTTATGCCAGAAAATCGATAACACGGCTTAATCATATCCCTTGTCTGGTTACCAGTCCATGTCAGGTTACTTGACTCGATGGTGGAGGTAGCCATAATCGGCAAGCAGTTACGTGAACCATCCTACGACTGCGAAGATTTCAGTAATGCTATCACACATAATTATACCCAACAGGATTCAAACTTGTGAACCCACACAGAGTAACCAAAGGTGCAATGGTGAGCGTGCTGGAGAGATTCTTGACCTTGTAATAAATAGCAGCTCCATACATATCCTTAGACCCCAGTGGGTGCTTGAATAGGGACTTGTTCTGACCAAAAAGCGTGAACAGGTGTCATATGAAAAAATTAAATCTAGAGCATTGCTTGTTCAGGGTCCTATTCAGAGCAAAGATGAAACCAACCCATAAAATGAATACTTTGCATTCTGGATTATACATGAACAATTTATAATTAGGTCATTTACTAAAATTTGCATTAAAATTTGCTCACGTTGAGCTTGGTCTGGCAGATTCAACTCTTCTATGTTCGAGGGATGAAGCATTCCAGGTATTAGTTGGATAATTTTGTGTCGACTCAAATCTTAAAAAGTTCAGTAATTAGAATCGCACAATATTATATACAATATATTGGAAAATCAAATTCTGTGTTATGTAGTGATAGCAATAATGTCTAAAACAGCGGTTCCCAAACTATTGGTCGCGACCCACTGGTGGGTCGCAGAAGGAATCTTAGTGGGTCGTGAAAAGATGTAGGAAGCTTTGATTAAATTTGAATGATTGAATTTGAATTCTAATCTGTGAAAGTTTCCTTTTTACAATCTTCTCAAGGAACAAAAATTTGCTACACAAAGAATGACCATGTGGCTTTTTACGCATAGCAGTTTTGTACACTGTACAGCACTTCTTACCGTGTTTCCCCGAAATTTAGACCGGATTCAGATTTATTTTCTTTTGAAGAATAACGCTATGGTTTTTTTTTGGAAGAGATATTTTGTGTTCATTTATCAAAAATAAAATTACATTGTAGAAAATCACGAGATTTTTTAATGAACATTATATAGAAACCGACATCCATTGTTTTTATTTGTATTTCCTATACAAAAATCAAGTGACATATATCATAATTGTGATAGTGACATAACACAATCTTAAATGGTGGTGTGATCTTCACATTACCTCAGGTCATTGAACCTTTTTTCTCTCACACATTTTAAATTTATTTTAAGGGTAGTGTTTATTTACAATCATTTTTAAAATTCAAATTAGGTTTATTTTCGAGGAAACATGATAGTTTTTTGCGATGATTAGCCGTTGCTGTGTTATGTCATAAAAAGTTAAAATGGGTCGCCATAAGCTGTGGTAATAAATAGTGGGTCCCAACTCTAAAAAGTTTGGGAACCACTGGTCTAAAATGAATCGAAAATTTGGAATGACTCAAACAAAAAATTGTATTCAATGTTTCAAATTCTTAACTCCTAAAATCAAGAATTAGTTTATTTGGAAAATTATCATTGCAAGCATTAGAAGTCTTACAGTATGACTGAGGAAGCATTCGCTTATTTCTGAAAACTATAGAAGTTAAAACCAATCAAAAATCTAGTTTTATTTCAACTTTCCTATAATTCCAAATGCAAAGTTCTACATATGTACACTTCTCAGGTCTGAATTTACCGAATTTCATATTCCAATATATAATAAAAAAAGTTGAAACAAACACATAGCTATAGATAGAAAAAGAATCAAGCACATATAAACTCGAAACTAAAACTTTACACTTAATCTTGAAGTCAAAAAAGCATATACCGGTATATATATAATGCATGATTCATTCAACACAGTGTTAAACCTTCAGTTTAAAATGTAGGCTCAAATATCCCTTGTACACCAAAAACAGTATTCAACCCAACTCTCCAGAAAATAGAAGATAGACTAATTAACAAACGCTTCATTAAGCTTCTTCTAAGCAAATATGAATAGATATATTCTTACTTGGCACGTAGACTGTCAATTCTTCTAGGCACTGAATCACTTCTTTTTAAAGGTTTGCTTTGAATATGAGGTTTTGGTTGAGATGCTAAAAAATATGCACAGGTCTATGTAACAAACAATTCTGATCAAGCCCAGATAATATGGCATTATGCATAAAATCAATCTAAAAATATTCCAAAGGGAATATTTTTCTCGGGTAAAGATTCTTGAGAATAGAATTTTAGGGGGTGTGCAGGACACTGCAGGTATTGTGTATAAAACCGCAGATCCTTTTTCTTTGTCCACATCCTACTTTGGATCCATATATCTGTTGCCACAGGGATGCTTGAACAAGATAGTATTTGAAACATAAATAAAAACAACACATTTTTTTTGAAAGAGATTATGTTATCCTTATTTGAAGGAATTTTCATGGTTGGAATTTTCCTATTGCATTAACCAACTACTAAAAATTGGAAAAGATTGTCACATCAAGAAAATCAAAATAGTAGGATGGATAAGTGCTTACTGATTTTAATCCTACGTACCACTATTAGTTGGCGAATTACGTTGCTGAGCATCCGAAGCAGATCTTTCTAATGAACCTACAGCACTATCAACACTTGCTGCTCCAGCAGGTCCAATCCTGGCACATTCTGTTGTCTCTGGTTCGGTTTTTGTTAAAAGCGGTGGTGAATTTATATAGGATGGTTCCGGAGCAACAGAAGCCTGAAAATAGTTTTACATAAAAATTGAAAAAATTTAAACTGGAATAGTTTTGTGCACCAGAATTTTGTTATTTCTCGTTAGATGTTTAAATGCTTGTCTCTGCTACAAGGACATATTCTATGATTTGAGAGGATAATTCTGGAATTTGTTAACAAATTTGTAATATTTACGGGACAACTATTTAGTTCTTTACAATAATTAATTAAAAATTATCTTGGGAGGTTATAGTGGAAACATCATATTATAAAGTGTTTCGGTTTCATTTTCCAAATACTGGCATATAACGATATTGGTTTCAGTCAACCATAACTTTAATTGCGGGCCTTTATTACTACTCAGTGGGTCTGATCGGTTTTTAACAAGATCTGTTAAAAAAGATTTTTTAAGAAAGTAGGATATTGGGAATTCAATCTATCCCAATGAATGTTAAAATTCAATATATCATTGTAAATAATAATTTAACAATCCAACCGACCTCTTGCGTTGTGTATGTTGCTTCACTCTGAAATGTAGCAATATCATCTTCTGGATCACTCAGTTCTGTGATAGGTTCTTTCTGTAGAAGGCAAATATCCATATTAGGATAGAATTTTCCTATATATATCCGTGAGGAGGGAAAAAAGTTGATAAGAAGATATAATCATATGACAAGACTGGCCCCTTGTTTGAAAGCCAAATCCAAGTCAGATTGAATAAAATGAAAATGGGAATGAACTGTTAAATATTATAACGCATGGTTGTAACCAGAGGAAGAAGCCACAATCCATTGTCAATCGATGTAAACCATATTACGACTGCGAGGAATCCAGAAATTCTATCACACTCACACAATAGTTATACCATACAAAATTGTATCAGCTATTGTTTAGCACAGAGCACCATTTTTTACAAACTGTCTCCAAACAAGGCTCTAGACTGGCAGCTACTGATATATGCGGACAGCCAATTTTCATACTGAGCAGAATCCTCCTCGTTCAGCATTGCCACCCGGAGTTAACTACATCCCAGAAATTGTCGTATGAATTTGAAAAAACACTTCTAGCTGCGGTAAATTTAAAAGACATTTTATATCATTCAATTTAGTCTGTTCCACAATAAATGAGACAGAATTGAATTTCTAAGTTTTATTTAGACTTTCAGACAAAACAAGTTATAGATGCATGATAAGGCTAATTGCTACAGATATAATTACCATTATATTAGAACTTCTTGGCAATGTAGATCTTGTCATAGATTGTCTAGGTGTGCTTGTGTATGATGAATGTGTAGGTGGAGGTGCTGTGGATTGGTCATTGAAAGCCTTCTTTCTTATTTTCAAAGTAACCGTCTCTCCTGCAGTTTGTAGCAATCTGATTGCTTCACTGAGAGGTTTCGTTCTCAGTTGAATGCTATTGATGCTCAAAATTTGATCACCTTCGTGTATTGCTCCAGTTCTGAAGAAAGGAAACATCAAATGAAACAGGATTTGAATGATTTCAACTATAAAATTGAGAATACTGAACTTCATAATTACATACACATGGTAACTTCTGTTTGTGTATGATTGTATACAGAAGTTTTAATAATCAAGGACGTTTTATTATTTTATATAATGGGGTTGTAAACACTCACTCAAGAGTGTAATTGAGTGAGGTCATTTCCAAACTAATAGCCCCCTAGTGGTGGTGGCTTGTCCAGAGACATGTTTAGAGGAAAGATATAAAAATGGCTCATGAATTTAATTTGAGGCAGAATTATTTTCAGAATAACTTTGCTGATAAAAGAGAATTCACTAAAAAACACTAATCTCGATCCTCATCAGGTTTACTTTGGAACAGCTGAACAGCAAATAACTATACAGACAATCATTGAATAAACCAAATTCCGAAATTAAATAATTTATCATCTTAATTATCCCCGTTTTGCCTTAGATATATGCGGCCCTTTGATAAAGCCTCGATAATAAAGAAACAAACCTGTGTGCGAGTCCACCTGGAGTGAGTCCAGATATAATGATTGGATCAAAAGCATCTTCAGTACCAGATATTGTGATTCCCAGTGGACCTCCATATCTTTTCAATTCAACGGTAAATGAAATAGCACCAGTCGATTCTGCATCATCTATGAAAAAGTTGGAACGTTGCCAAAATATGATATCACAATTCACAAGTAATAATAATTCAAATGCATAATGAATGGATGTCAGATATTTGTTTATTGAATTTAGATATTCAGCAATAGTGTCACTTGAGGCTTGTGAACAAAATATCTGGCATATTGACTTAATTATACAAGTTTAATTTACCCAAGAACTTTGTTCAGAGTGAAAAAATGTGAATGAGCGTTATACAAAAAAGTTATTGATAAATACCTGAATTTTCTTCATCTTTCCTTATTTTCAATCTGACAACATCTTCTGCACTAAGCAATAAAGCAAGTGCATCTTCCACTGTTGAATTCTTATCCAATCTCACACCATCGATAGCTAGTAATTTATCACCAGCTTGTATTGTACCAGTCCTATGTGCTGTGGATCCTCTTTTTATATCAGTTATAACAAGCGGTTCATTGGGCGTCATCATTTCTAAAAATGTTGAGATTGAAAGCTATGAGGAGTGTAGGCCAAGTTCAAGTCAAACCTAAAAGCTAGTAGCGTACAAGTAAACGAGTGTCAAAATAAGGAACAAATATTACAAACCACAGTGCAACTATTCTATTTTCGCCGATATCGACATTTGTTGCTGTATTCTTTAAAGCGATTTATAGCGTTGAAGTTGGACATTACTCCTAACTAGAAAGTTCAAGACCTACTTCCCACAACAATTCCCAAATCAATTTCTCTTCTCTTTGGTAGTTTAACATGAAACGTTCCACTGCTTGGCACCACAGATTCAGCGACATCAAATTCAATTTCAACATATACCTGTGAAAATAATTGTATTCCATATGACATTGTCTCGAAAACTGAATTTGCTTTGTATTAAAAATATGGGTATTAATAATGAAGGGTGATCAAACTTTTATTTATATTGCATAGTTGTGACTGGAAATATTTTTTAAATACTGGCAACATTATTCCGCACATCACCACAGAATCATTTACGATTCATTGATTTTGTTTAGTTTATTTCAAATCAGTGAGGCCATGATGTTTACAAAATTATAATCAGCCCCCACCTCCCCCAGGAAGAACAAAAAAAATTATGTCTGTTCATATTTTTGAAGAAAGTTCTTTGGTTACAACTTACAAATGCAAGTACAACTTACTTGTCCACCCTCCATAGCTTCTGATAGCATTCCTTTAACTTCTTCTAAAGTTTCATTTTCAGTTCCGCAACCATTTACTGATAATAATCTGTCACCGACTTGTATTCGTCCACATCTTTAGAAGGTAAATTTGTTTGAAAAAGTTGTGAGGATAACTACTTTTTACCATTTACAAGAGTATTTAATTCTTATCAATATTTGAGTTTATAAAATATAATCCGTGTTATGCAATATACAGTATGATTCGATAAAAAATGTAAAATAGGATAAATGTATTTTTAATAGTTCAGATTTGGAAGATTCACATAGTGGGCTTTTATTTCTAAGAACACAATAGCAATACTCATACATAAAATGGCTATGATATCATGCAAAATTTTCTGAGATGAATAAATGAGAAAAAAATCTTAAGAAACTAAATCCTTGACTACTGAAAATTTGAAAGCAATTAGTAATAGAACGGAAATGTCTTTAAAAAAAAACGATTCAACAAAATAAAACTCTAATTATAAATAAACAAACTTTTGACTTCTTCAATTCAAAATAAAAATAAACTGAATAATAAATTACCTTTCTGCAGCACTGTCACTTTCAATAAAAGCAATAGCAGGTGAAGAAGTGAAAACTTCAGTTGCAAACACTCCTCCTTGTAGTTGAATACCAAAATACATTGCAGATAAACTTCCCGGTGGACAATTATTATCGGCAGCTAACAAACAGATTTCGAGGTTTTCAGACCGAACAACTTGATTTCCACTTAAGTAGTCGACTGAGGCCAGTGACACTGAGATGAAGTTAACAAAAGTTTATATCAAAACTTTCACGTCCTATATGCTAGTTGCTAGGCACGCCACTGATTGGTATTGATTGAGATGATTATTATTAACATTTATTAAGTTAGACTAGGGTACAAGTGCAGCTTTAAGTATTTTGCGGCATCTGAAGCTGATGCAAAACCATGGCAGGATTTCCAAACCATGGCGGCTGACTTTTTAGCTGCCACAAATCAATGGCACGAGGTGGGGTACCCGGCAGCAAATTGAAAACCAATGGCGAGTAAAATTTTGCTGCCACAAACCAAGGCTTTTAGGGGGTAATGGCAGGACTGCCCCTGATGGTGACAAACTTTGGGTAAGTTGGAACATTTTCCTCATGGATACAGTTTAGATAGATTTGAGGTTAGGTTTCAGGTTTAGGTAGACATAATTCTGAGTGAGTGGTTATCATACTAAGTGTTTGAGGTGAGGATTTTTTAAGTTTCTTGAAAAACTCAATCAATATTGAATTTTTCAACTTTTGAACTACTTAATTTTCTCTCGGGGCAGTTGCCACTGGTGTCTCTAGTTTAGTGAAAAGTTTCACTCTTGTGGAAATTCATTTTAAATTGTTTTGAGGGAATATCTATAAAACGACCCTAATAACAAAACCATAACTCAAAAAATCAGAATTAGAAACAATTTATAATAACATTTAACACCATTTATATTTTACATCAATACCACTTTACTTAAAAGCAAATTTATAGAACCAAATAGGTGAAGTGGACTGCTGAGTATTGAGCATATGAACGAAATACAAAACCTAAATTGACATACTAAATACAATTTTTTCTCAAATTTTAAATTTAAATAATGCGGATAGTTTATTATCAGAAAATGTAAACATACTTGCACTGGCACTATACTTTGGTCGATGCATCTTTCTTTTATGCCAAGTACTTGTGCTTCCTCGTAAAGTAGATGTTGCGAGTGATCGATGTGAATGTGGATATCGAGGAAAATGATTCAACGCAGATAACGATTGTGCACTAGTTATCGTTGGTGCAAATCTGTTGACTGGTAAAAAAGTGATCATTGTAAATATAACATGTACGAAACTAAGCTAAGAAAATACAATAATAGTTTGTATTTGCACAGCTGTCAATAGGACTTCGGACTTCCTTTTGCATTCTATCTCACAGTCAAGTGATAAGTGCTTCTCATTTCTCCACTTATGAGTGAGTTTGGAAAGTTACATTTCAGTAAGAGACATGAAATATTTATTGCAGTTTGTGGTATAATTAGACTTTTTCAAAATAACTTGCACAAAGCAGGGTGACACACGCTCACTCAGAAATATAGAAGACTCATTTACCAATGGCTACTGAAACTATAAAAATTTATTTGTGGTGGTGTATTACGCAATAATGAATCCCAATTGACACAAGACTTGAAGGCAGTTCAATTAAAGACAATCATGAAAAATGAAAATATGTATGAGACAGTGAATTCAGTATTTTTCAGCAAACTAGCCTATTGGTATATAAGTAACGTAATTTTCAAATTAAAGGGATTATTATTCCGAAATCTTGCTTAATGTAAGTTACGGTACTTTTGTGTTGTTTCGTCTGACAAAAATGGGGAATTCCTTGGCCAAACATGATCCAGATTTGAAAATGCAGAATGTAAGCAGAAGTACGGTATATAAGAATGATAAGTAGTCAGTTGGTCCACAGAACTCTAATGGATAGCAGATAATAAAAAATAATTATGTTATTTTTACTGAGAAATCTATTTAATTGATTGCCGAATCCCTAACTGAATATAATATGAAAACATATACATAACATAATATACCGATATGAAGTAAAAATACTGGAATATAAAAGTAATGTAATTTAGTTGCTTGGCCTCACTAAATATATGTTATTCAAAGCCTCATTTCAGTCATCCATGCTCGGTGAATGATAAAATTGAATAATAGCTTTATTAGATTATAATCAAATCAGTTCATTGATCACATGAACCCTGTAATGCAAAAGCTCATTCAAAAATGTTAATTTTATAATCCAACTTCAAAATGTCAACATTGTTAAAATAGCTTTAAGGATTATGTTAGTAAAATACTGTAAATCGAGTGGACAAAAATCAACCATCTATGAAACATATTTGATAATGATATAAGCCAAAGCTCTGAACTAAATTCAGACTTACAATTTAAATTCTTTGGTGCTTCAATAGAAAGTTGGGACAAATCGAGCAAATCGAGCGGACAAAAATCAACCATCTATGAAACATATTTGATAATGATAATAGGCCAAAGCTCTGAACTAAATTCAGACTTACAATTTAAATTCTTTGGTGCTTCGATAGAAAGTTGTGCGATAGGTAAAATTTCAATTCTAACATTATCCGAATTTGATAACAACATCTTGCTTGCATCTTCTAATGATATTGTATTGATATCCAAACTCACTCCATCAATTGATAATAACTGATCTCCAATCCTCAATGCTCCACATCTATTAAAAGAAGAAATATAAAATTAACAAAACAAAGATAAACAGATATCAATCAAAATGATTAGAAATTTTGAAACACTAAATTTTCATAAGAGGTTTCGTGAACCGAGGATAAAGGAAAGGCTAAGAACTTGGGTAAGCATGTACTTATGAAGTGTTGGACTCTCAATAGCCTTTTCAAAATATCCATAGGCTGAAGTCATTTAACCGAAATGACTGGATTTAAACTATGACTATACTGAGAATCAAAGAGACTTGCCACAATAATATAATGATATGGTTATCCATTTTATTGTATTAATGAAATCCACTATTCATAGTAGGATTGATTTGAGTTAAGACAGTGATTCGACATGATTTTGACTCCGGAGTGCAGTAAGTGACTCATCTCAACTTGAGACTTGAAATTTCTCAGACATTAGACCCGAATCATATGCAAATCATCTTGACTCGCAAATCTTGAATTAGGGACTTTAACCCACGTCACAAATGGAATCCACACATTATTTGATTTTACCCAATTGATTAGTGGGCTTGGGCCCCGAAGCTGACAATTGAGACAAGGGATTGAATATTTAATTATCTTAAAAAGTTACGCCCAACATACCAACTGAAGTGAGTTAAGAAGACAAACTAAATAATTGTAAGAACCAAAAATTGAAATATAAAAACTTATTAAAACACAAATGTACCCAATGTTTTCTGTGGTAAATGCAACTGCGAATAAAGACTATTATCTATTCTGATATGAAGGACTTAATCCAATTTATACCTCAATTTTGAATCTCATTATACGACACAAAATCTGGTCATGAAATTTTAATGAATTCTATTTAACAAAAATCACACAATAAGATCTTTTATTCAAAATGGATAGGAATTAGGGACTGAAACAAAGGTTTTTAGTTAAAATATTTAATTTGAAATAAAAAAAAGTGCTCGATACATGAAATCAATTTTTTAATTCATATTTCATGACTTATAAAAAATATTTCTTTGCATGACTTTGTTTAACGAGTCTTAACTGTACCTGTCTGCGATACTTGCAGGGAGGATTTTTTCAATACAGATGACTCGTTTTTTCCTTCGTATAGAAGTAGTCAATATAAGTCCCAAATTACAGCCTGGAGTCTTTGATATTTCAACCAAAAGTGGACCAGATGCATTGTTTACTGCATCTGAGAACAAAATTACAATTTGATTACAACTAATCTACATATTGGATATGTGTAGGTACTGTTAGGCTATTAAAGTCTGCTAGGTTCGACAATCAAATAAGGCATTTGAAAACAAAATAGTAACTCTTTGAAATATATTTTAAGGTATTTCGTAGTGTGTGTGCCAGGTTAGGGTTGGACCATAATTTTATTCCGATTTTCCTTATTTTAGTTCTATTACGAGTTTGGATACATACCCCTTTTGACTGAGACAAGATTTCCTCCACGAAGAGGAAATTGAAATTTTCACTTTCAAGAAAACTGAATTTGTAGTAGAAGTATTTAAAAGAAAATCTCACCCATGACAGACACATCATATTCGAAAGTAAACGTAGTAGACTTGGGAGTATTTTTTAACATTTCGTTTACTTCTTCTAATGTAGCTTGATATAAATGCATCGAATTTATACATTTCAATCTATCTCCTGTTTTCACCGTTCCATCTCTGAAATGAAAAAAATGCAAATGTTATTGATTTCAACAAAATAGCAAGGCACAATAATATTCTGGAAACACTCGTTTTACACCTGGCACCTGCACTGTGAACAAGACTCACACAGACATGGATTTAAATTTTTTGAAATATCTTGAGACTGATCGATAATATTGTCACACACAAAAATTTATGAGTATTGGATTTTTAACTGCACATCAGAAAGGTGCCCTCTCTTCAGGACACCAAAACACCAGAAACTAGGGCTGTCGGCCATACTAATGCTACCCCGCTTTGACTGAAACCAAATTTACCACAGAATCCAAGTTGTGACACTAAATATTTAATAACAACTGGGCAATAAATGTGGGTGACCATAAAACGTAGTGTACGATTTCCTGATAGGATTTGTCATTTTTTGCATTGCCGGGAATTCTTGATAATACCGCTCCCATATTTATATTGGTCCGACACAAATTCCTTTCAAGCACGTTGTTAGGTTCACTCAAAAATCAAAATCAGATGCGAACGACCTCTCGAGATGTGGCGATTGACCAGTCGGTCGCGATTGGTGTGTTGGCCACCCCTGTACTATAGGAAATCAACTACTATTGTTGGAAAAACTGAAATCTTACAGTTTGACATTGCAAACCACAATTGGCTAAGGTGATGAGCATTTGAATCTGAGCTCCAGGAAAGACTATCAAAAAAAAATTATCAAAGTAATAATCTCCTCTGAGTGAGAGACACTTCTAATTTCGACTACTGGGGTATCACATCATGTGTTTGCTCTATGAAAGTTTCTAAACAAGCTGTTGTTCAAATTACTTATATTCTGCATGGGTGACTAGATAGACCTGGCTCAAAAAACAAAAGCTTGATTACTTTTAGACAATATGCCTTTCTATTCAATATTACTTACAATATAAAGAGAAAAGCCATTAACATGATATGAATGCTCTTAATAACAGTTAGATGAATTAGGTAAGCTAAACAACATGATAAATTAGCATTTGAATATAATTTGAGAACACGAACTTGTCTGCGGCACTCCCAGGACGGATGTGTGTAACCACAAGTGACCGAGTTTTCATTTTATCTTCATCGTGTCCTCCTCTCACCACAAAACCGAAACCAGCATCTTCCTTTGTTAATATAATATCAATTGTTCTTTGTGAGATTGTTGGTGTCTGGACATCTTCACAGATATAAAGATATTTGAGAGTTTTGAAAAGAGTATATTTGATCAGCAAATTTTTACATAAAATGCTGGCTCATAATGTAATATAAAATAATGTGAATAGCAAATTTTTGACTCAAAATAATTTGAAATTTTGTAAATTCCTTTTCTATTTGCGAAAGTGGGCAGCTGATGAGAATGAGTTAGAAGCCACCATTGTGGTTGAAAGTTAAATTATTTTGAAACAATATTATACTTTATATATCTGAATTTACGAAAATTTAAACCAAAATACCAAGGAAGCTGTTTTATTTTTTTGAGCATGGCTCAATTTAAAACATATTGTTTGCTTCATATTATTTTCAAGAAATTGTTATTTCAAAATTTATTAAAACGGTATAGTACATACTGCATTATCTATCATTCCACTTACAAAATTTAAATTCAGCATCTAAATTTAAGATGCATTTATTTTTAAATGGAGCTTAGCAATGTACTTCACTCTGAACAAGTCTCTGCACAAACAACCACTAATATGATGATATATACGGCGTTATTATTTATTGGAATGGTCAGGATCTTTGTAGTACGGCATGGCCTACTCAATTTATTACACTGTGAGTGAGGTGGTCAGCATGGGATTTGAACCAGGGATAGTTAAGTTTATTGCCCTAATAATAACCACTAAGCCAGGATGTAAATAACATGAAATATATATGAAAACTGTTCGATGTATGATAAAATCTGCCTACTTGTTGGAGGAAGATGATATTCAATTTCCAAGGTGACAGTTTGTCCAACATTTTTCAATAAACTTATAATCTCTCCGTGTCTCATTTTTCCGGTCTTTATACCATTTACAGACACTATGTAATCACTCGTTTGTAGCAAGTCACTCCTGTAAGCCAATTATGGAAAAAAAATTAAAAAAAATTGTTAAGCGAGGAAGATTGAAACATAAAAAAAAAACTGTTTAATTTTGTACAATTCTAATGTGATTTTATTTTAATCTACTCTTTTTAACACAAAACATGATTTTGTTTGGAAGGTTTTAAAATTCCTTTATATCTGAATTCTTGTTTGTAAATACAGGATTCAAATATTCAAATGACAAAACTACGAAAAAATATAACAATGCAACCCAATTTTACACATTTGACAAATCAAAACAGTTTAATCGAATAATGATAAATCATACATTGCAGCTATCCCAGTAGATCGCATATTCGATATCTTCGGTCTGCCTCCCTTATCAGATCCTCCAGAAACTGTTAATCCCATTCCCACTCCCTCACTTTTCTTTAAAACAATCGAACAAGTTCCTTTTTCATTTTCTGAAGACAACAAATTTTATTTAATTTTATATTTCTTAAATGATACAATTAACAGATAAATGATATAACAGATTTGTCACACATTATAACATTATATGCTAGCATTTTTCTCATTTATGACATATTTAGTAAGACATAAAACATCTTGTATATATTTATGATGTTATGGGGGGATGAAGCTGTAGGGCGGTATCCAAACAAAACATCAGTTCAAACTTTAAAGAGCCATGTATCAAAGTGAGAAGTTATTCAGAGGTTTTGGATATGTCAATTTCTTCTAGAGATACTGACCAGGTATTTCAGGTTCTTTATCAACTGGAACAATCTGCATATTTTCTTCTGGCAAAGGGCGCCGACCTTTGTGTCCTAAACAAATTAAATAAAACAATGAAAATATACAAGTTAGGAGAACTGATAGACATATTGTTAATATTCGGCTGGTTTTCGTAACAAATTGACTCAATCAAATTGAGAGAAAACTTATTTTTGTAATTGGTGTGGAATACCTGAATAACTCTATTGCACAACAGAACTAGACTATAATACAGTAATACACACAGTATTAAGGAGAAGCCATGTTTTCATCAAGCTGCCAAATCTGCAAGTGCAGACATGACAGTTTCGGATTGCAGGAATGTGTTCGTATCTCTGTATCTAGACATCTGCCAGTACAATATACAGCAGTATATTTGTCTGAAATTATCTCAAATCATAAATGTGTTAATACTTAACTCTTTGAACTCTGACGGCTCTGAGCGAAGTTACTCGCTCACCCTGAAGGTTCGCGGCGCCGTATTGGTAGAACAATAAAACAAGTCTAAATACTGGCTATTTGGCACGCTTATAACTTTTTACCAATTATAGGTAGCACGTTGTGTGGCATTTCAATCGAAAGGAAATTTTATCGTGCATTCAGAATGTATTTTCCATTTCGAATTACATTTTGTCAAAATTAATAAAATTGACTCTAATCTAACAGTGATTTTTCAGCATGTAAGTGAATTATGGCTCCAAATTTTGTTATTTCGGTACAAAATATACTGCAAATAATTGATGTTCATAAAGAGTTCTTTATAAGCTTTTTGTTGATATTCGAATTATTATTGTGGCTGCCGTATAACCAATTTTATATTTAAATATCCAATTGTGTATCAGTGTGCGGGTGAACAACTTCGATAAGCGGCCATGACGCACTGATTACGCAGCTACGCAAAAGCCGATCACGTGACTAACGTCATAAAGATGCTGATACGTACGTTCGGGACGTATTGCGTGGCAAAATGCGCAAGATAACTTTCACGACGACGTTCTCAGCGGGACATCGGTCGCCGAGTTTCGATATGATTTTAACCCTGTATGGATTGAAGCACCGACGAAACACACGAAATAACATGCCCAGCAGCAGTGAAAGCTTATAATTCATTCATGGGAGGTACTGATAAAAACGACCAGTTGACACGCTTACAAAAGTGCATGAGGCATTATAAATGGCTAGAACCAATATTTGAAGATCTCGCTGGAAAAGGCAATATGTTGACGAAAAAATGCAAATTTGTGCAACCACAAGAAGATTTAACAGATATCAAAAGACTGCAACTAAACGTACGACACGACATATATAAACCACAAAACGCCAGTTCTAATAATAGATGCGTCGTATGCAGCAAAATTTACAATATGGTCAAAAAAGCCAATCCAGCTGCGAAAGACAAACCTTCCGAAACGATGCAAAACACTATATAAATGCAAATACTGTAAAGAGTACCTATGCATAGGTAACGAAACCAACAACCATTGGTATGACTGGCACAACAAAGTGCAATATTGGATTTAGGCGACTTTTATCTGCATAATATTTTCATGTTCTTCATTGTTCCGAGCACAACAAAGTGCTATATTCAATTTAAAAATGTTAGCAAGCAGTCTTTTATGCACATACTCTTTTCATGGTCTTTATTTTTCCGTTATTTGCTAATAAAATCATAATCTTGTTCATATTGCGTATACGTAACCACAACGTGATGGGGCTTGAGCGGGCAGTCAAAGCGTAGTGCGAATTTTGGAGGCGTAGAATCGGGTTAATGGATTACTTTCTGCGGACATTTAAATAATAACATCTCGACCTAACGTTATTGCGGATATCGTCACGCTTTGTTGGATTTCCGTAATATACGTAAAGTTGTGAGTGACGACACGTAGCCTCGCTTCAATGAGAACGTCATTTTGACGCAGCGTCGCTGTTAAATTTACAGAAAATCAAACATATTTGGCCATGAAATTTGAATGGCTCATCATGAAATCGTTGTGGATACGTCTTTAAAAAGCTATTCAAATTCTCTAGAAATATTGTCGATTGTATATTAGGTTTTTCAGGCAGAAAATAGTCAATTTTTGATATTTAATTTTTGTTTCATTAAATAATTTTACACACTCTTTTTTTGCCAATTATCCTCAGATAATTGGAAAATATAGCAGCAATATTTGAGGTGTAGATAGTTCTAATGACCAGCTTTCATACAGTATAAGACTTACTTAAATGTCTATCATGGATCTTGAGATATGAGGGAATGAAGTTGATTGATTTTCACGCAATAAACTGGCCGGTAAACCGGCCAGCAGGGTTCAAGAGGTTAAGGGACTTACCTCCTTCCTCGGGCGAGGCAAGACATGTTAGTCGCTTGAAAGGCATTTTCAATGCAGTAAATTCACAATTTCAGAATTTGGAACTTCCTGAGATATTCTGTATTGCTAATTCTTTATTGCTTCAAAACAATTTTATTTCACATATGATGCGTATAAGAACAAATGCTAGAGTGTAGCCCATCGTCCTCAAACACCGCGGAAAGTCAACCTGAAAACAGGACAAATCTCATCCACAACCCTTAGAATGGTTTCCGACAAGACACAGTTGTTACAGAATGGAGGTCTCCCGACCCTTGACCCTAGTAAAAATGCAAATTTATATCAAATGGATGTTTTCGCGACCCTTGACCCTAGCAAATTTTCCCTAAAACATCCATCTCCATACCGGTACCTTTAAAGTTTAAATTCATGAATACAAACCTACATGATTCCAGAACGTAGCCAGTTCAAAAAGGGAAGGGGAGGGAGGGACAATTTTTTGTTGTACACTCACTCGCGTTTTTAGCTCCGAAAAAGGCCAGATAAAAGTAATCATTGATATTTAACAATATCTTAAAATATTTCTCCACAGACTTGCTTTTGTTGTCGAAGTTATCCAAACTATAAAACCGCGCATTTTCATCAATTTCGGTTGGTTCGTTTGAATGAAGGATTATTGACAGTGAACGTACACATATCGGGTTATCTATGAATCGATCGAGAATAGAGCAAAATGGTGTTGACAGAAAGGCGTACGAATTTGTGTGCTACTGTAAATGCAGCAAAATCGCTTTTTAAAAAAAGTTGAAAATTTCGTGGATCATGGCCCCCCAAGCTACGCCTATGCTACATGCACCCTTTTCAAACAAATTTACTCATAGCAAGGACACGGACACTCACTCAGAAATAAACGACATCGATTTCTGAGTGAAGTTATGGGCTACCACTAAAGTGCCAAATGTAGGGGTGTAGTTTACAGAATTTCGAAATGAAGATATTCGAATCAAAGTCAAACCGATTTGAAGCAATTTAAAAAATACAGCTTGATTCTATAAAAAATACAGTTGATCCAGATAATATATGAAACAATTGCTTGACGCAGTAGCGTTGTTAGTTACCATATCAATCAGGACGCTTCTTAGATGATCTTCCCGGATTTTGCAGCTTTCCCAATTCGTAACAAACCTGGGTTTGTTGTATTTAAATGGTCACAGTTTTAGAGGCATCTTTGGTTTCGCTCAATTTTTTCCACTGCTCGGGATGTTTCGAAGTTTATTTAATATGTTGTTATGATAAGCAATATTTTGAGTATACCAATGGATATCATTTTAATAAAACATCATTGCATTATTCCTTATCAAACATAAAACTGCGATGGTTCCTTCGAAGTCATTGGTACTTTCAGAATGAAAGCGTGACTAAAACACATTCAACAAACAACGTAACATGGAGGCTATCTGGGTGAATTATAAGTCAATTTTGGAAGAAAAATCACCATACAACCGATTTTATCAGCAAGCCATAATAAACTTGTCATGAATTTGTCTCGCCCATGAGATATTGATAAATTTGAATATCCAAGCAAAATATTTCTATCTTAGAAATTTGTTCATTCTTTAGTTCATTATTATTACGAGAAGGAGAATCTTTATGTGGTGGTCATTGGTCAGGTCGGATCCTCCCATCTACCCTTGATCATATGAAGATCCAATTCACTTCCTTTAAAAATCTTATTTATTCAAAAATAATGGATGTAATTTCTGCGTCACTTGGCCAGAATTTCTGTCTATTGTACGCAGTTTGAAATTAAATTAGTAAAAACAAATATGGCTATGAAAATTACTATCAGTACATTTTTATGCTTGAAAATAACTTTAAGTATTAATATATCGACAGAATTTGCTAGAACAAATTGTGTGATATATTTGCAGTATACATGAAAACTGCGGTGGAAAGAGAAACCAAATAAAGTAAATGATGGATAATAGCATATATTAATATAGTTAAGTTGGGATATTGGATGAACATGCCTCAAAGGGTGCTAATGTAAAATGATTGCTGTAAGTGGAGTGGATTGCTAAACTTAGTGAAAGTACCTAAACATATTTGCTTCACTGTTCATAACACATTTGAAAGTTGTCCTCAAGGAGTTGTGTTTCCATTTCCAATTTCTGTAACAACCATGACATCGAATAGGAAATATGTTGACGACGAAATTAAAGGAAGCTGGCGTAGAGCAATAACATTGGAGCATCGACCATCGAAACTGAGTGTCAACGGACACATTGGATCAAATCCAGCTGAAAGCGGTAAATAGATTACATATTAGAATAGATCAATTAGTATACACAAAAGTTTGCATATAGTCAATCGAAATGCAGTGTGTTATCGATTGCTGATGATAAACTGCTGTTTGTTCATTGTGCAATACTGTAATTACAAAAGCAAATACATTACATTTAAACTATATGATTGTTGATTCGTTTATCAATCTATTTTATATATAACTGCTATGCTATTGTGTCCCATACTGTCATCGTACGCGGTCCGTTGAGCTTTAGCAATTCAGAGAAGTTGGGACATATTTTTCGAAACTTACAAAATCAAGAAAGATTGTTAGGAGACACTTACTTACATTTTTAATTGTGTATATACAATGACTTCGAAGGAATTCATTAATCAGGTGAAGATAAAGACGAGCATTGTTCAAAAACAATATTTTAGCAAGACTGTACGGAAGTCAAAGTTGTTTCCAAAAAATACAAGACTATGATATTGTAACCCAGCACTTTGACTAATAAAAATGAACAAAGGAAGAGAAGTATGCACGTTTACATTTTATTTTTCATTTGCTGAACTTGATACGTGCATACCCCAGGGAACAGAGACAAAACTTGCTTTATTATTCGTGAACGTAAATTCAAAGTCAGTTTAAATTTCACATTTTCATGTTCAGCCTTTGATACACATGTATATGCAATCGACACAATATCAAAATTAGCAACCTTAATGTTATTCGTAATTCAACAAAATTTTTCAGCATCGAAGCGAAAAAAGATCGTGGTTGGAGTAATTATCGCACTGGTGCTAGTGGCCGTTTTGATTGCGTTGTTGGTTTTTTTGCTTCCTAAAGGAGAGGGTGGTGGAGCTGTAGGGGCACCACCTGACTTGTCAGGTAAGCGGTATAACTACATTTTTTTATGCAATTCCATGGCTTTGGCGGCAAGGAACAGCATGCGAGAACAGTTTTATTTGTGAAAAATGTACATTCTGCAAAAACGATCTTCAGCGCGAATGTTGCTGCACGAAATTACTTTTGCAATGGTGGAGATTTGAGCAAAGTTATACTTTACTGAGTACAAATATATTAATGTTTGCATCTCAAAGTGTTTTAACGCTTAAGACATCAACCCATGTTCAATGCCTTGCTGATGGTTTTTAACATTAAAATGTCTGCCTATTCGCATCTGAAACAGGATTAGTTGTTGAATTTCTTTCCTTTACTTAAAAGAGGTGATCAGTCTGACCAAGTCAGTTTGAAAAACTCTAATCACCAGAAGGAAAAAAGATTATACGCCGTTACTCATATTTGATCTTGAAAATATCTTTGTTTTGGTAACTAAAACAATAACTTGGTATCGCGAAAATGCATAGGAGTAGATATGAACGTGATCAGAATTTCCATATGAAGTACCAAACCGTTGCCTAGTGAAATTTTCATTGGATATATAACGATAAGAAAACAAAATCGCATTAAGTAACAAGAGAGTGATGCTCAAATATATGGGCACGAGAGCAAAAACGTATTACATAATCCTTCACATTACCGGTACGGTAGGCTACCGAAATCTTCTTGACTTCGAGTGATCACCAGTACGCAACGATCATGGACGAAAACGCATAACCGCCCAATGGTGTGCATTTATTTATTTTATGACGTCATCGCAAGCAAAGGAACGAATCCCATAGAGCCCACAAAAATATCTGAAATAAATAAAAGTTGTAGCCCTCTAGCAAAAATTAAAACCTATAACCACGAAAATGTCAAAGCAATTAGCCCATCAGTAGTTAATGACAAAAGAATTTTTTTAATAACAACTAGAACATGGATAAGAATTATAACGTCACCGTAATAACAAGTCGATCCATGTGTACATTTTGTGTCCAATATCATCTTGGAATATCTGCGCAGCTTACAAACTACAGCTTATTACGAAAAATCCAAAATTGAACTCGATGTTCATTTTACCCCTGAAATAAGTTGCAATTGGAATAAATTGAATTTTATACTGCTTCAGTCGAAATTATATAAATCCTATCTTATTATCCTCTTCTATTATTCTTTTTACTTTTGCAATTCCTAACACACCATCTTCAGACCTCTGTATTTTCGATTTTTTTCTTCTTAGAGTATTGCATAACCAGTTCCAATGGAATTTGCTATTGGGTAGAAGTTCGTCGCAAACAAGAAGTTGACTATTTCAAAGCAGTTGATATTTGCAAGCAGATGTCAATGCAAATAGCTGTCATTCCGAATGCCGACATAATGTTATTGATATCAAATAAAATCCGCCCGAGAGAGCCTTCTTATCGAAAGTGGACTAGCGTGTGGATGGGAGTGACGATCGACCCAATGGTATAAAATTCGTTTATCAAAAATTATATCGTTTGTTCATATATTTTTAACAAAGGTGAAAAAAAAATCGATTGGCCTATGATATACAGCCTGGAGGGGCATTATTCACTTTTTCGATGAAATTTGAATGCGTTTTGTGATTTTACTGAAAATATTCAGACAATGGTTTCACCATCGTAAGATTCATTTTTGTTTTCAGACCGGCATACTAACTCCGAGAGACGCGTACGGTAGTTTTTTTTATTTTGGATTATTGAATGCACCTTACCAAAAAAACTGGAACAAAGTGTATCTGTACGTGGAGAAACGGCACGTATTTGATTATGTGAACGCCGATGCGACTCATCTTACGTATGGTGTGGTGTGTTCTTTTCCCGAACCATAAGCATTATGCTGTAATGTGTGCATTTGGTGAATAGTCGAAAATATATTATTATCACGGATAAAGCCCAAAATTTCAATTAAATATCAGACGATTAAACGCAGTAAAAAGTAATAAAACAAATCAATAGAAAAATTATCCAGATGTTATCACATAACGGACTGGTTTAAAGGTGATAATTTTTCGCATTTCATACAAGTTTCATTATTTTCATGGCTAATCTAACTTAATTCTGAAAGGGTATGGCAAATTCAAACGTTCTATATTGTTGACAATAAATTTGTATCGTTTACTTTACTGTATTATTTCATCTGAGCTTGCCTTATTTCCTCACAAGATGCAAAAAATCTGACGAGTAAGTTTATTTTTTTCATATGTCTATCTGGAGGGGTGCTTATTTAGAATTACGCATAAACTTCGTTTGAAGTTTTGAAGCTTGAATTAAGACACTGCATGCTTGTTGTCAGTTTTTTTACCATGGATGGATTTGACCACAAGGTGTGGTTTTCATCTCTCAAGAGTGTAAAGCAGTGGTTCTCAAACTTTTTTAGTCCCAGAGCCGCATTTCAAACCTCAAAGGTATGAAGAGCCGCACACAAACAACGCAAGGTAAAATAGCAACAAACCTTCAGCGCGTAATTAAAATACTAAGTCACCGTAACAACAACACACGTAACAACTAGGGCTGGGCAAAATTTTCGAATAATAAAATATTCGAATGGCATTTTACGATTCGGATATCCGGTACCACGTGACCTGCGCCGCTCTGCTTGGACACCGAACTCGAGCGTCTCCAACTCAATCGTGAATTGTGCGATATTTCCCAAAGGCGCTCGCTATCAGAAAAAATTTGAAAAATTTGAAAAGTCGTCTTTGCGTTATGGTGTTATATGCTTATTTTTGCACCTAACGTATCCTTTCAATTCATCATTTTGCAAAAAAAAAAAAAACGTACCGACCGTTCCGTAAATTTAGAAACGTCAAACCAGATTAGGTATTTAAAATAAATTTCCCAGATTTACACTCGGCATGCTTGGTGGCATGTCATTAGCCATTTCTTGCATTACCGAACATAAACTTGCTTAAAATTAAATGTTAAAATGACTTTTAGGCGTTTCATTGTGAAAAAGGCGATTTTAGGTCGTTAAAACACTCTAGTTATGTAAATAGCATGGGTTTAAAAATGACCAAAAGTTTTTCCAAAAGCTGGTATGAGTTACTTGTATGGAAAACACTCATTAAGTTGTAACCGGATAAGAAATGTCATGTCCTACTTAGAAATGTACCGATGTATCGGTATCGGGTATCGGTATCGGCAATATCGGTCATTTTTTCGGTATCGGCCATGTATCGGTATCGGTTAAATCAAGGCCGATATTTCCGATATATTTATCTTTTTGATATGGTCCAGAATGTTTTAAAAGATAAGTTGGAATACTACTTTTTAATTTATTTTTTGTCTGAACAGATCGTGAGCTATGAGCCATACATGTCCCCACCCCCATGAGAGAATAGGATTCACGTGTTTTTAGCTATTCATCAGCCAAACTAGCTCAACTAATTTGGCCATTTTCGCTGTCAAATTCTAATATTGACATTTTCAATATTACATAGTAATTATGAAGAAATATATCAACACAGCACATGACAAAAAGCAACTAGGCGCCCAGTTTCAAATCATACAGTGGAATTGAGGTCCTTATCAACGGCACATGGACTTTTGGCACGGGTATAAGTTCTGACTGTTTGTCGTCAAGTACGAGTGTCATTTAGTCCGTCGACATCGATAAACTGAATTCCGAAATTCAAAATATATGATAGCAATTGTAAAATATTTTATATTACAAAATAGTAAAGTAAAAAAACATCCTCGACGGTTATAGGTAGGCCTTCTTTTTGTCGGTGCTGATTGATATTCTTTCATTTTGGCTTTGACTTATTGCGTCGACGATTACGATTAGCCACGAAATAAAATATTTGTAAAATGCTTTTAATTTGAACGTAGGACGGCGGCGCTAGAATGTGTGGGTGATATTCGATATTCTTTTAAACACGAATAACGATATTCGAAGGTCGCGATATTCATATTAAGTTCAAATGGGACATCCGGGCTTAATGAGTTTTCTAATTGAACCCCGAGATTACTAGCGTTTCTGTACAATGTATCTTAATCAGTTGAAGCAAACACTAAACATTAATTTTATTATGTGATATATCTTTTTTTTCGATCTGAAATAATGTGTACTATGAACAACGCTCAAAGACCATTGTTTTAACCCGTCTGCCCTACACAGCACACCTAATTAAGTAATAATTACATAGTATCGGTATCGGAATATCGGTAATATCGGCCTTTTTGTAGTATCGGCGTATCGGTATCGGTATCGGCGTTTTTAGCTGGTATCGGATCGGTATCGGTATCGGCGACAAAAGTGGTATCGGTACATCTCTAGTCCTACTCCCTTTAAAGCACTGACTCGTTCACGAATTGTTGCGTCTATTATCATCGAAAATGATTACAATTGTTAAATTTTGAAGCATTTGGGCAGTAATAATTAAGCCTCAAGGTATGACATAATCGAAATCATTAAGCGAAGTGCTGAATTTGCAAATTCCGTAAAGAAAATTGAACATTACTCAGTAAGTATTTTAGCTATAATAGCCATCGGGGTGTTGTTTTGTTGAAAAAAAAAACGATAAAACTTGAAGGAATTAGGTATAATTAGAGTCTGACCCTCTATTAGGCACAAAGGCCTAGAAATGCCTTTATTGCCAATTTATTTAATCGCTATTTTAAATCAACATGCAGGATTCACGCAATCGTAAATTTGCTAGGTTTATCTATCTAATACTAAAATAACACGGACACCATCGAAAAGCATGAGAAACTCAAATATCATTATAATAAATATCTGCATCTCGGTTACCGTTCACTTTAAACATGCACGGTTAATTTACAAGCGGTGATAAGGAAGATCGAATCCAAGGCAGAGGATAAAACTCAGAATAGAATTAATTTGGTTCTAAAATTAGTCCTTAAATGTATTCAACAGCTGTCGCTGATGTGAACGCAAGGGTATACTAGAAATATGAAATTTTGATATTCGGCGACCGCTTATTCTTGCAAAAACGAGAAAGGGCGGAAATATAGAATACCAACTTAAGGATATCGCCGCCAAAACGATCGCGGTGACAAAGACAATCAGCAATTATGATAAAATTACCCATTAAAAAACGCTTTATTGCCGACTTTTTAATGTTTCTATTAATTTCCAAATGGAGTATCGACCTCCGAAGTTCTGGATCCCTGTTATGTATAAAAAAAATATTCAAATTATTCGATTCGAAAAAAATTCCATTTTGCCCACCCTAGCCGAACAGCTATTTATTTAGGCTTTGATTTCTGATAAGTTTTCAAAGCGGGTCGTAATCGTTGAGGATGTACGGTGCAGTAGCTGCTTGAGATGATCGCCACATTTTTCGAGACTATTTTCGATTACTGGAACAAAATTAAAATGCTATAGAAATTAAAATAATCATCGAGTTATTTGATTTATACATAAGATCTGGAAATGCGACAAAAACTGAAAATCCACGAAAGCAAGCCAATGATTACAGCCATGTCTAAAAATCTTTCCAAGTGAAAAGTGTCCGATTGGCCGCGAAAACGCTCACTGTTGCGTCACTATTGCATCTTATAGGTTAGTCAACGCTACGCAAATAAACACGGGGGAATCCATTCGACTAATTAATAGACTTCAGCATTTTAATTTCGAGTCAATGATTAGTTTTCAATGAAAAATTTCCTTTGAAAATAATTAATTTTTAAAACATTAACGGGAGCCGCAGGAAAAGTTGTTGAGAGCCGCATGCGGCTCTCAAACCCTAGTTTGAGAATCACTGGTGTAAAGCGTTCATACATTATATATATAGAAAATATTATGTTCAACAATAACATATTTTTGCGCGTAATTTGTGAATACTTTTTGTGATTTGTATCTTTAGCGTAGTCACAAGGAGGCCAAAGAAAATTATTATTAGCAACTCCTGTGCGTAATGGCGAATAAAATAAATGCTGGTTAGTCACATTTGCGCTCAGGTACTTCCGATCTGTTATTCAAATCGAAGTTATTTGATGGAGCCGTTTAGCTAGAGATTGTTGAATACTTAGGTTGCTAAATAAAGCGATAATTCAAATTCCCGTTTCGCACAATTGAAAAATGCAATATAAGACATGCGCATCATCAAATTTATACAGGCACAAGCGTGGGCCGATTTACTATTGCGCTGTCGACGCGGAAATTCCAATAACGTTAGCACCTTTTTATCTCCGGAATTTCTTTAATTTTAAAGGCTTTCGATAACCTTCTTTCCCATTCATTGTTAATGCCACCTCCCAAGGTTTATCATAATAATGATCGGGATAAAACAAAATCTCTTGAAGCATCTTCTCATGAAATAGCAAGTCAAAATTGACTTGATATTTGACTTTGACATCAAAATAATTACATTGAATTTTAATAAGCTAATGCATGCCACGCTACAAACAAGGTTGCAAACAATTAGTCAATGATGTGTAGAGTGTCACAGGGTTTTTGAAAGTGCCGGGATCTTGCCTATACGCAGCGCCAGATTACCCATTAAACAATATAAGCACGTGCTTAGGGCACCAAGCAAATCGGAACAATGAACTATTTACACTATGTGGCGGTTCCACGATCGCATTTCAACGATCTAGTGGTCAGCGAAGTCGGGAATTTTTTGATAAGGTAGACCAGAGTGGTCCAAACCCTGTCATACTGATACATTCCGTGCGGCTCACCGAACAATTTTAGCGTATGTTTGTATCTAATGGAGGAACGTTTTGGAGTTTATTTTAGCTATTCCAACTGGGGTTGGGATCCCGAGATTCAAACCCTTTTTCTAACGCTTTGTGCCTTTATTGTAGTAAAAACACTCCTCTGTTTTTAGGCGTCGGCCATGTGGCAGTAGTGTCTGGTTTGATGTCAAGTAATATCTGTCACGAAAGAATATAATTTAAAGCGACATCAAACGCGAGATGCGCACAGTACAACGGTAATTCTCGGGAATTAACTTTAAAATAACTGAAGGCTTTATATTCTTTAAAAGAACGCCTCCCATGCAACATAATAATAGTCTGATTAGAACGGTAAACACTCGTTGTTTATTAAATTTGAAGTAAGTAAACTCCTCAAAAGTTCTTGCGGTCCTTCGACCTAGCAACCCTGAACCACCCTGAGGTAGACTAGCAACCCTGAACCACCCTGAGGTAGACTACAGGTATACCGGTAAAATTTCAAACTACAGTTGTGACTTGTATACTTTGGTATTTCGATTCACGTGGAGACTGGAGGCATGAATCTTTATTATCACACTCCCACATGATTAGAGCTCAACCGATATATCGGCCCGATATTTCGTGTTTGCCGATATATCATTTCGGCAGTAAACGGCTGTTATATATATCAGCTATATATAACAGTTAAAAAACCTAAAAATGTTCGTAAAAGTTGTTTTTTTTACTGTTGATTGTGATTATTTCTAATGGATAATACACTTATGTGGTTTATTGTTTTTATAATTAAATTACACATGAGGGGGGGACCAAAATCTTCAGTGCTTAGGGCACCAAAGGGGCTTAATCCGCCCCTGCCTACACGACATAAGGCTCTTCCAATTTATTGCACTCTCGGCGAGATGGTAGTGGATTGAAATAGCTGCCATATTCAAACCAATATGTCACGATATTATGCCAAGAAGTTGACAAATCTGTATGAATTTTAACGCATAAGCTATTAAACCGGAAACGGTGGCTCGTTATTGCGTCATTCATAAAAGAAACATAGGATGACTACGGCTACGTTCGTGCATGTCATTTTTTTGCCTAGCTGGCAACGTGTATTGCCTTCAGCTAAATCATCAAAACAAGTATTTCCCTACATGGGCTGTATCGAAAATGACTCTTAAGCCACAAGACTTGTAAATGGTCCGGCATTGGAAAATCTCGGAATAATGAAGTTTCGATTTCCATAAACCATCTAACTGACACGTACTCGACGAGGTCGTGTCTGATAATCGATAACTGAATTCAAATCAAAATCAAGGCACTTACACGCAGTCAATAAATTCAATGCAACAGGGATTAAGTTAATTTCCGTGACATTAATAGTATTAAAAATTCACAACAATCCATTTGTCATTTTCGAATATAAGGCAACATGTTCCATGTGCTTTCGATTTAACCATTGAATGAATAGGTACAAAAGTGAACCTCAACTCAGTAATACTAATTCAATTCAAAAGGGCGCAGTTTGGCGAAAATTATCTCAGTCGCATCGCATGCAGTTTTTTGGGCTTATATTCATAGATGCTTCAAGCCTTCAAATGTGCAGCGAAATCATACTTGTTATAATGTTGAAAATAAATCAGATTTCAAAATATAAAATCAAAACACAATAAAATAATATGCATATCTGATCGCAGATACAAAGCCAATACCAAAGAAAGATTTGGTAATAGAGTTCGTCCGAAATGCCACTGGGCGAGAAAAATATCACTGGTCGACGTTTCTAATGGCGATCCTATGCTGACGTTTTCTTGTATAACGAGGTTGTAATGCCTTTAAACAAACATTACTAGGCTTGGCATTACTCGCAAGTATATTGATAGGATATTTAATAAGTAATTATAAATTTTCTATCTTCTTAAACAGTAAAAATTGAAAACAAAATAAAAGAATACATGAATATATAAGGAGAAAAAACGATAGACTATGTTAATATATTTGTGACGCGATCCCATCCATATTCGGTCGGATACGGTATTTCCCGTTTCCATAATATGAGAAACATGGCGAGAAAGACGCTCAGATATTATTCAGCACATTTGTTCTGTACTATCTGAGAAGCTTCATTTGCATTGTTTTTGAGAGTTATTGTAAAGAACATGAAATAAATTTAATATTTGGATTTGAAGTTAAATGTATCCTGTTTACACTTTTTACACAATATTTATAATGGACGGCCTAAGTTGAACCTGAGGAAGTTGTAATGATATATATATTTTAAGGCATCAATAAATCGAACATTCATATTGAACCTTTATTGGTTATCCAAATACGAAACAAGGAAATAAAACCATCTTGAAATTAAAATAGCCTGGTGTGATATTGCTTCATCGGTGACGCGAGATTTTTTAATAGATTATAATAAACCGCAGTCATTGCTGGGAAAATACATCAAGGAGTCACAGACCTGGTCGCTGGTAAAGATTGATCTGACAAAGAAAAAATTGAATTCGCTTTCAAGTTCTTCCGACAGATGCACCATTGAATCTATAAAACTCCGATTTCAAAATAAAATCCTAAAAATATTGACTATCTATTTAGCAACCAGTTGTGAACAACTCATCATTGGGCAAGCTTGGAACGTGGTCAATTTATTTTCAGCGACAGAAATTATTTTTTAATATCCCATTCCATAATGAAGGTAGCTAAAACCATTCCCTGCTTTGTTCCAGTAAATACACTGCTTTTTATCAAAGCATAAGATAATTTAATCAGCGTGGCCATAACAGTGGCCCAACCTTGAAATCTCCTTAACTGTGAATGACCGGAATGCCCTTGTTTTGTATACGTTACAAATCCGGGATCTCGCCTCATTTTACGCTCGACCGCACATTTGAAATAGCTTGTACCGATTTGACTGCCCAATTAAAATGTTCATCAAGAAGCTTCGCCGACGCCTGGCCATCAGAAAATGACATGAGTGAAATTTGGAAATGTATTTTACGTTATGTTTAAAACACGAATACACGAGTTAAATTTCTAAATATTGGATCAATATAAAGTTACTACAGACACATGTTCGTGACAGCGTTTTAAGTACAAACTTAGTGACTGACTTACATCCGAAAAGACCAGCCTGGCTAGTCATCATTCAGTACAATATACTAAAACCTGCCGTGGTGTGTAAAATGATCTAACTGAAAATGTTTACGTTGAAATATAAGTCATGTAATAAATAACTAAAAAAGTAATGTCATTTTTTGACGCTTGATACCCAATCCAAAGCATCGTAAAGTCCCACACCCTTCAGAGCGCTGACTTCAAATGTTTTCCACTCTCTGTCCTTGAAATTCGACAATTGCAAACCCGAGGAAATTTGGTCCGAAGGCATACAATTTTCCAAATCTCTTTTGTTTGCTAAAACGCATAAAAACGCGTCTTTAAGGTGGATATCACGCATTGCTTTTTGTAGCTCATCTCTAGCTTCGTTAAGTCTACCTTCATCAGTTGAATCTACGACAAAAAGTACACCGTCCACTTCTTCATAATAATGTCTCCATAAATCTCGTAGTTTGTCTTGACCGCCAGTATCCCAAATATCAAACGTTGTGTTTTTGTATGCAAACGTCTCGTAATTAAATCCAATGGTGGGAGTGGTGCTGCCGGCTTCTCCAAACCTCAGTCGGTTTAAAACCGATGTTTTTCCGGCTAAATCAAGTCCAATAAGCACCATCTTTACTTCCTTTTTTCCACCGCATAACCCTGCTCCCATTTCTGCGAAATCTTATTTTACGACATAGAAAAATATATAACAATACCTGTAGCATAGAATAAGACGGTTACAAAGATACTGAAAAATCATAGAATTACTTATCAATACTAATATCTCTTGTCTGTACTGTCTGAACTAATCCACAATCTGAAACGAACGCACTCGAGAACACGACTTTTCGATTTCCGCTTTCTTGGTCATTTATGCCAGCCGTCTTCTCGTGCCATAACCAGCAGATTAACACTGTTTATGCGTCACGTAGCTACTGTGCGGCAAGAACATTATTTCGAGGCATAGAGTGACTAGGAAGTAATAAACGTTTGTTGTTTCATGCATACGCAATTTATAAAGGAAGTCGTGGCTTGGTGAGTAGGTTGCATGAAACGCGCACAGCTTGCTTATAACGGTTACGCACACACGATGCACCTGCTTGAATGTATGACCAAATTATTTTCGGCCACATATTTGCGTCGTTTTCGTTTCTGCCACATTGAAAATTGTAGCGTCACTTTAAGATTTATTGTATTCAAAATGCTGACGTAACATCCCAGGTCGGCTGACTATATAAAGAACAGGACGTATGCATATGACTCGGACTTACACGCGCTGTGAGCGAAGCGCACAAACCTGCTCTTTGCTTCTGCGTCATGTTGACAGACCTGTCCAATTATGCTCGTTCTTAGTATGTTTTACTGCTATATTTCAGCACATCATATGTGTTATATTAACGTATATAAATATATACTGTATATCGGTTTTCATATATTAAATTTAAACTGCGATATGCTTTGACTAAGCTCGGTGGTCAACGAGACAAATATTCTGTAATGAGTAATCTTGGTATGGACTCCTGTTGGAAACTTGACCACGTGATTCAATGCGGTTAAAGTTTTAAGCACTTAAAATTCATAAACTGACTTATTATATAGTTAATCTTTTTGCAGCAAGTGTATTTCAAACGTTGGTGATTTTATAAAAAATTGTAAAATTATGTACGCATGTGATATATACAAGTTTTCCCTTACGAGACGCTGAAGTTCAGATGTCTGTCTGTATTTTTTGTTTTTTTTTATTTCGCATTCATTAATATACTGGTTCGCGGATTGTATACCACAAATTTTCTCCAATTTATTAGCAATTCAATTGTGCTTAATTACACTACAAAAACGGCCTGCCACATGTGGAAACTGTCATTGAAATCCTATAATAAGCTACTCTACCTGGTTATGTAACAACGGCTCATACGAGTCCAAGTATGGTTCTTTCCTCATAAAATGTCTTTAAGGCACATACTTGCCTGCAGTAACTAACACGAGATCTGAGTTGCATGTACTTCGCATATATTTGTGAAAATCGTGTTTTTGCTAACGACCTAAATCAATCAAAATTCTCGACGTCAATTCATGCAATTATTGATCCGTCAACCGCAGTGATAAAATACAAAACTGACACAGACCATATTCCATCAAAAATAAAGTAGAGAGAAGGTTTAATGCTCTAAAAGTCTCACGAATAATCGAAAGCAAAAGTCTACTTTTTCATACATCTAAAATCCCTGCCATTGACCCAAATGTGCTTTTAGGTATCAGTTAACTTTGTCTTTCAGTTCCTTAGAAATGGATAGCGATCTGAAGAGGAACTAATTGCTTTGCGCCAATTTATAATATAACCATCTGGAATATAAGCTGACAACCCCGGAAGATATGACATTTTACGTGTCATGAAGAGATGATATCGAAACTTGAACATATTGATAGAATTCATGATTCCATTTAAGGGAAACTGAAATGCGAGTTATGACTAAAGTGTTCATGAAGGGTTTAATGATAAGTTGATGGATACGAAATTAAATTTAATTTTTCGCACGACTACAACTAGGTAGGCTAATGTAAACCAACCGGAACATGACAGATCGTCGCATAAAAATGTATATATATATTGCATCACGATTCATTTGTCGTGTATCCTACTCATGAGTTCAAGCAAGAATACATAAAAAAAATGGCTCGTTCTTGGTATTTTGCACTGACAGCCGTAAAGACTGCGAGTGACAAAACGGTTTTGCACGGATCCTTAGGAAGCTGGAGGATGCCGAATATGCCGAAGTAATCATGGGGAATGGAAGTAGTGAAAAAAGGGGGTAGGGGAAAGGTTGGGACACTTTTTTTCTTTTGCATATTTTGAGCCGTTCATTCTGCATATTCACTTAAGTTTGCGGGACTAATGCATAAAGGGGTAAATGTAGTTTTTATTCAGCGACTAAGAAATTCCCTTGCGACACACATCTTACTACCAAAATGCTTTGAAAAACGTCTGTCAAGTGTCCCACTGTACCCCACTTGTGGGACACATTCGGACAGACCCTGGGGCACAATGGGTCAGTCTGTCAAAATTCAACGAAGTATGCCCTTAAAAATAAGCAATTATTCAGCATAATCGTCTAAAGAACAGGGAGACTTTTCAAATTTGAAGATTTAATATTTTTAAATCAATGTTCAACTGAAATAGTTCAGATATTTGACAAAAAATTTCGCAACCAAATTTGATTATTTCCTTCCTCTAATCTGAATTTGGAAATATTATTGATTCTCGAATATATTCCATATTGGGCCATGGGTCGAAAGATACCATAATATTACAAAAAATATAACGCATCTCTAGGTCTCTAAGCACTTATTGTATCAAACACTGTCGAATTTTGCCCTGTAGGGCATGTCCCACTGAACCCCGGTCCAGTGTTCCCCATAGGAAACAAATATTTTCAGACCATCCCACGGCAAAATTCGGAAGGCACATCCACTCGCCAACGTTACGAATATTTTACAGTGAACTAAAGCTGAAAAACATCAGACGGTGTTTTGTCATGTTGGAAAAGTTAAAGTAGAAAAAACTGGAACGGTGAAATTTTAGTTTCAACCTCCCAAAACCAATTTCGCCTCATAGCTTGCGCCGCTCTACCCGTCCGTTGTTCGTTCGCGGGGACGTTGTAACTCACCGAAGGGCGGATTGAAATATCGAACCGCGGATATAGTATCAGTGTGAGAGCTGATTTTCCACTGTGCCCCATGTCCCAACGTGCCCCACAATTACTACTGTTGGTCATTCACCCACAATTACAAAGGTGGATAATATGGCGGCGAAGTCGAGTGGCACCTCCTATTTTAATTTTGAGATATTAATTAACGGCGTGTGACATATTTTTGACAACATTCATGACATCAATATCAACTTCTGAGCGGTGGAACGACAAGGCAGCTTTATAAAGTGTTCCAATGGGGCGATTGTACAAATACGCTTGTTTCTTACTCCTTCCGTGGGTGAACGCGTTTAATATGTTATAAACTTATTTTTGGGTTTTGTACAGATTCCAGATTCTTCGCCTTTCTCTTTTTGTGTGTATCGTTATATTTTCTTGCTAATGAATCAAAATAAAATGTATCTATCTAACAACTTTGACTAGAGCATAGACTTGGGGCGAAGGAACCTCGGTTAACGATAAGTGCTTAAGTTACTTCGTATTACAAGTTGAAAGGTTGGGCCTAACATTTATCGCCGCGATTCCCAATGAGTATTTCGGACACCAGATCCATATCCCATCAAACTGTCGGAGATTGTTTTCAAATTCTGATATTTCCAAAATAAATACAATTCATATAAAATATTATAATAAGCTAACATAATTTCATACCAGAGAGTAGAATACTGCTGAAAACGAAAACATTTCATCAAATTTGCTTTTAAAACACCACAAACAATTCTTTTATAAATTAGCTTGTGGTTTTGATAACACAGAATAAAAACATGTCTTGTTAAAATAACACATTTTCATAGAAAAATAAACTTTCTTGAAATATCCATCACTCCATACTTCAAGAACTATTTCGATTGGCAATAATTAAATTTTGGTCTGTCTACTGATATGGTCTTCTAATTTTAGCAAAAAAACGGATTCTTTCCGGTTCGCACTAGGGGTGGGGGGTCGTGACATTTAAAACGGAGAATACAACATTTTCGAATTGTCAAGTATTGCGGCATTTCCTTCCAGCAATCAAATAAACCTAATTTCACACTACTTTGCTAACTGTGGTAAAAAAATAAAAAGGGAATATATATATATAACCTGTCGTTGCACAATGCTACATTTATAGAGCGTTACAAATGATTAACTAGTCAATACTTATGATAGTACCAATTTCATAAATTTAAATACGAAATGCATAGTTTTGCAATATCTCATGGTTATTGTAAAATACATTAATTTCTTATTACAAATTTTCATTGGTGTAATATCCACGGTTAAATGTACCAAGCAAAAATCTGTTTGAGGAGTTTTCATTAAGAATTGGGTAGAAAATGGGATGGAAAAAATAATAAAAAATCATGAATCACTGAGTGGGCATGAGAAGAGATAATGGGTATGAACAAATGATGAAAACATTTTCATGGGTAAATATTTAAAATGGAATATGGCTCATCTAACAAAATTTATGTTTATTGTTGTTATTGTTTGTTTATTTGTTTTTTTGTTCATGAAACCTCAGATAAAATAAGCATTTTTCAATTCCAGTTCATAATGAAAGTGTAAGGCTTCAATGATCAGGCAACAATAAAAATATTAAAAACAAAACACATAAAAAGACTGCAATTTCAAAACATGATTAGCTTAAAAATATTCTGGCACTTTGGTCCTTTTGTTTGTAAAAAGTTCAAATCTTCTCTCACTCTTCTTTGGTATCCTGAAGTAAGCAAAAAATGTTGTAAATTTAATATGGCAATCATGTTTCACTTTTAAATGGAATAATGTTGACTTTGAACAGAATAAACGAATGGAACAAAAAATCACATCACGGCCTCTCACATCTTTTTACCTGGCTTCATGGTTCCTGATATTATTTTTTCAATATCATTCATTCAAGTTAATGCTTAAGCAATCTGACAGTTTTTTTATTTTGCCAGTAATACATGTTGCACAATATGACTTTGAATAGGTAGCCCATCTTCTAACCCCTTAAGTCTTGATGCCTTTATTTATATATGACGTGGACAAACTACGACACGCAGGCCAAATCCCACCCGTTGGGTAATTCAATCTGGCCCGCCTGATGTTCCCACAACCAAACTAAAACCAAATACTGATGTTTTCGCTGAAAAATAGCTCAAGAATTCTGTTGAGATTGCGATTAAGTTTAGTTTTGGTAAAAGGCTTATTGTTTCCTACTTTTGCTTTTGTAACACTGTAAATATTGTTTATAAAATGTAAATTTTTAAGTCACACTTACAGGGCCCACCAGTGTAGGTGGGCAAAATTTTGGGCCCCTGGTCCGAAAACTTTGTCCACCCCTGATTAATACCCTTTCTTATTTATTGGGACGGACATAAATACATTCATGGAACTACTAATTTTTTCAGCTGGTGGATATAAATTAATTTTATATTATAGTTTTTTTGTAACAAAATTAGAACAGGATTTTGGTTACAGGTTAATTAGACAGGTCTTGTTACTAGTGCCTAGTATGAGAATAACCAAGCAATTGACGCAGATGCATATGTTTGGGTCATGGCAGAATCTGCAAGACCTTAATGGCAAATAGCAAACTATTTAAACCTTGCAAAATATCCTCAAGACCCTATACGAACTGAAAACATATAATTCTTACTTAAGTAAACTCCTCTTTATATTTATTTTAGTTAAATTGTTAGTACTGCAGGAATAGCATAGTTAATATATATTTTAAAAAGCAACTACATGTCTCCATAAATAGATAATCTCTGATAAATATAAAGCAAAACATACCGCTTTTATATCCGGAAGACGTCTCAGACACATCAATGGTATAATAAGTAACAACCCTCCTATTACATAAGTATATGTGGCCCCAACCAACCAGTATGATGCAGATGCACAGATAGGTCCTGTAGCTCTTGCCAATGCACCAAGGGAACGTAGGATTCCCATGACACGACCCTTTTCAGATTCCAATCCTGAAATAACAATCAAGTTGCTATCATTTTGAAATCATGTGGAAATGTTGAAAACAAATTGAATAGTCAAGTGATATTTCAAATTCCTGTTTTAAGAACAGTTCAGAATAGAGTCAGCTGAAAATTTGTTATTTCCAGCAAAGGTTATTAATTTATAAAAACTGTGAGAAATCCAATCAAACCACTGGTAATCTGAGACCTCCATGCGATTCCAAAACAGATCCATTAATATACAATCACTTTTTGTTGACCCAGTTAAGAATATGTTCAATATTCCATATTCAAAAATAATATTTTTAGAATGTATTTGGAAAGTAGATATTTGAGTTGGCCATTCCAGATATTGTATGTATGAGAATAAACAAGAAATTGTTTTTTGATTACGGTGGCTTTAATTATGAATACATAGATGCTCACTGCCCCATTCTCATCAATTTTATTGAATTTCTGGTGCTTGAAACTTAGCAGGTGGGATATATGACGAAGAAGTCAATTTTAGATTACCAAATCACAACACAATAATTTATCAAGTTAAAATCATTAATAATGCAATTTTGATGCATTTTCACATTCAGGTTATTCAGCATAAAACAAAATCATCTATAATGCACTAATAGCACTATTCTAAGATTAAATATAAAAAATAATATTGCATAGAAAACATACCATGAGTAGCAGTCAGTGATGACAAGCATGGGACAACTGATGCAGCAGCTGAGAATATGATAGAACACAACATAAGAATTATAAAAATCAATTGTATACAAATACAATACAGTACCAGGTCATGTATATAGAAACCAGGGCTGGAGTCAGAGCCACAGAGATGTGAAATTTTGGTGAGACTGGCCACTCTTATCATATATTAAATGGAGCTAGAGCTATGAAAAATTTTAGTGGCTCCAGTTTCTAACCATCTTATTATTCTTTTTAACATTTATAATTTTCTAATACTTCATACAAATTATAAAATCTATCCGTTTCAGCTCAAATTTTTTTATAGATTTTAATTCATACTATTACTTTAAAAGTTTCAATTTCAATTCTTATATTTATATTTTGATTTTAAAATTTTAATCCCTCATATCATAGTTTTGAGTCCCACTTCCATGAACTGCATTTGAGCAAATTTTTCATGGTAGTGATCATACTTAAAAACATCAATGGGTTTTAGGTCTAAGCTGGAGCCCAGTTCGGACGTAAAAAAAAATGAAGTTCCGGAGCCCGGAGAAACATTCTGGAAAAACACTAAGATTCTAGCACATAATCATCTTGCTTTCCATCTTTGCTATTTAAAGTCAAATCATCCAGCCAAGTTTTTCATGAAATTTTAAGTTGAGGCAAAAATTTGTCAACTGCATGAAAATAAATCTTACCAAATGCAAACATAAAGAGACCAGCATATAACATTGCAACACTATTGGACATTCCAACTACAATGAAACCAGGAATCAAGATAACCATGCCCTGAAAAGGAAAAAATTTACAATTAAATGTAAAATACTTAACTTAAAACAGAAATCCATAATTTTTTGACAGTGCCAGTTAGACAATCATTAGTTGGTTGCTGACCTATTTTTAAAGAGAATTTATCAAAGTAATACCACCCGAATTCACAAAGAATTAAAAAAGGATCATCTCTGAGCAAAGGGTGGCCACTTTAATACAGAGCTACAGAAACAATACAGATTTATGGTTGTGCATTTCGACAAATCAAATGCAGATCAACCTGAGGCAGTTTAAGTTAAATGAATATCTAGGCATTGTACCTCTCAAACAGTAAAGCCAAATATGATTTTTTTATGACTAGTGACTACCCATATATTCATACATTAAATGCCATTTTTATTTCTTTGTTTTCCATTTTTCTCCTGACATAGCCACCTTGTACTAGGGCCATCGTAATACCAAGACATGCAAACATTTTTCCTTGGTCCATATGAGTGAACTGAAATCTAGAATTAATAGTTTTGTTATTCCACATGTAATTTGCAAAGCATGTCATAGTTCAGGATATTTTAATAATGCAAGTTTGCAATAGATCCCAAATTAATGATATTCAAATTTTCCCTCTGTTGTATGAATGCTGCCAAAATTCACTAAATATAACCAGTTTACAGTGTTCAATACAAGACTATGCAGATATGAACGTCCCTAGGCCGAATTTGGATAGCCTCGTTGCTATTGGCTAGGTACCAATTCATTTGCCTTCCCCAGTTTATTCAAATTTTTCAATGTTCACCAAAACCCATTATACAGAATAAAAATACTAAAAAAGGTAGCATTCCCCAAGTGGGGGAAGAATTGCTCTCTCCCAAGAGAGAAATTTTATTGTTGATGGGAGAAAACTTTACTTTGTATTTGTGGTTAGTATTACTAATATCATTTATTCATTTGTTTTATTCTGATACATATATATGTGGACTGCATGTGACATGATGATGAAAATATATAGAACAAAATAGGGTTTCCTGACTGTGAGATAAAGTGCCATATTGCTAATGATTCTACTTCCTGAGTCATTGGTATTTCTGTTCGCATCTGGAATATCCATTCACATTAGAATGTATGGAGCAAATAATCATTAATCAACCATACTGGATTTCAATATTACCTGTGATGTCCCAGAAATGTTAATGTAAATTCCAATCCAGAAAACAGAAAAAGATACATGAAATAAATTGATCCCAGTTGACGTAATGAAGAACCTAGATAGAGATATGAATCAGATGATATCAGAGGTATGAAAGTTTAATTGAGATTACATGAATTACTACTATTAATCTTTGACTCAATCTGATTTACTCTATGAAGAACTTGGAATTTTTGGTTATCATATTAACGTTCACTAAGCAAGTAGGCATAAAGACATATATGATATAATCACTAAATATTTCAAATTACCGGTAATTACTCCGTATGCCTTAATATTCATTGTTCCTATTGTTTCCAAGTTTTAGAAGCAGTTTAAATTATGCGTCTTTGGTATCCGGATGAATACTACCTATTTTTCCATAAAATGACAATTTAATGAATGGAAATAGCATAAATAAGAATTCGTTATATGGTGAATTATTAATAATTTCAAATGTACTCTAATATTTCCCTATTTCTAACACCTAAGGACAGGCCTGAAGTAACAAAAGTGATGGTATCTTTCAAACAAAAACACACAAACCTTTAATTGGATTAGTACGAGTCGATGGAACTGCATAAAATTTAAATAAAGCGACAGGATTGATCAAATGTGTTATTTCCTTTATGCTTGTGAATACTGATGATGCCTGAAATCAGGAAATGTTTTTATTAAGACAAATTGAAAATTATTATATTGCATTTGTATGAATGTTTTAGAATGATATGAAATGTTTCAAATATTTCATTCAATAGCAAGACATACAATAGAAACAATAAAGAATTAAATACATCATACACAACTACAAAATAATAAAGATATTTAACAAAGTCGTTGTTCGAAGTTGAAATAAGCAATACACAGTATTCAAGATCTGCGATTTTCGCTTCAAATATTAAAATTTTTCTTAAGGACAATGTCAGTGCGGTCACAGACCAGACAAATTTGGTTGAATAACATTAGAATGAATTATCATATAGTGTGCTTTAACTCGAAATAGATATGCTAAATAAATAATTTTGTAAAATTACTCACCCTCTTGTTTACAGGTAATGTTTCTGGTAAAAATCCAGACACATAAACTATGTCGGCTAATGTAAGACAGAGGCTGAATAATGCTGGTCCAATAAAGAAGTTGTTTCCCTTCAACATAGTTTTAGTAAAACAAGCACCGACAAGAGGACCGAAGACAAATGCAATTGAGAAAGCAACACCGATTACTGCCTGACAAAATGTTGAAAGAAAGTAAATCATAATAGTAATAAATTATAATCACATAGATCATATGAGTTTACTTGGCAGGCTTCTTGGGCATTATTTATTGTATTCCATGCATAAAATGATTTCATATTTCATGGTGCATGAAGCTCTTATTATTAAAAAATGTAACATTACAACTTTTTTCATTTTAGAATTTTAGATAAAATATGATAGAATTGATAGGTACCCATTACTGAGAAAATGACTAAAGTTAGAAGACTATCAGATTTGTAAATGGACCCTAAATTAAATCAAATAATATTAGGAATAATACAACCATAAAAAAGTAGTAGGTGATTAGAATACTTTACGTACAATTTCACAAAAATATTTGGCATAAATCATGAATTTATTTCTGAATGAATCTATTCACTTTATTAAAAAAAATAAATAAACAATTCGGTTGAAAAACAACAGCTATATAAACTTACCATTCCTTTTGATCTTGCTTTCTCACTTTTCAAATCAGCAATAATTGCAGTACTAATACTGACATTAGCTTCACTTATTCCGGCTACAATTCTTGCAATGAGAAAAAGTAAAAATGAGTCAGACATTGCCCATAACACATAAGAAATTGCACTTCCGCAAAGCGAAACTAAAATTAGCGATCTTCGTCCATAAACATCAGAAGCTGCTCCAAAGAATGGTGAGTTGAGAAATTGAAGGAATGAAAACAAAGATCCAATCATACCTAAATTAAGAAAATATATAAGTTAAGTAATGGAATTATTATAAATTTCTTCTTTTATTCAAAAGAGTAGTCTTGTGATTATGATCACATTTCATTTAGGCTATAATAATTTTAAGATGCTTTGCCACATATGAGATCTCATCTTATGACCAACACCGAATATGTTTATCAGAATTCAGAGAATTATCAATTTCAAAAGACATTGGATATCATTTCCAATATAGCTGTATGTGGCCATGCTTGTTTATTATAGTAGTCTTAGTTTCAAAAGCAATTATAGGGTGTGATAAGAAAACATTTGGCATAACATTTTAGGGAGTTTAGCAAGATTAGCAAAAAATAAGTATCTGCTCTTGAGGAGTATAATACAATTGCTTGAAACTTGCCTCCAAATAAAACAGAATTAACATCCTCAGTTTCTGGAATTCCGATTAACTTTCTGAACGAAGTCACCATGCTTTCCATAGAAGAATACAAATTTCCCTGTGATATAAATTTTGAATGTTTAAATACTCAAATCTCTGATTTATACACAGTAAGTTGTATTTCAAATAGACGCAGGCGTATTTAATCAACCTCAAATATGCACTTGCAATTCCGACAAACTACTTGAGAATTTTTTATGTAATTGTATTAAAAGACGATTATCACGCCTCCACTTTGAAAAAGGCTAGGTACCCCTTTAATACATAAGGTGGGTGGTGAGAATCGCCATTAAACCGATAATCTCGACCTATAATGCCAACATAGTTAAGAGTGGTCAAACCGCTGGGCCATGGGGCGACAATTTTTTATAAATATTAGGTTGAGTGAAGAGCACAAGAAGTTACTGAGATGAGAATATAAAGCTAAAATGTTGTCTGGAAGAAAGTCACTGGTGATGAATTCCTCATTGATATCATATCTCATGTGCTCTTAATTACAGCAGATATTTCTCTAGGCTACTTGCGCATGTATTCCCAAATGAATTTGTAACAAGTGCCAAAATGCCAGAACACTGAAGTAGTTCCTTATCTAGCAGTGGCTGTTTGTGCAAAGCCTTGTTTGGAGCAAGAGACAGAAAAAAGGAATAAATATGTGGTATAAAAATGAAATATTTCATTCCGAGACAGTAACAGCTACACAGAGTTAACTCGGGAGACTATTCCTGTATTCCATGTATTCTAAGGTAAGCGAGCCCACCTTATCATTGCTTTTGTAAAATTCCATAAGTGAAGGAAACAGTGGTAAAATGACTGTAAATCCAAACAAGTCAATGAGAAGAGAGATAAATATCACTTTGAGAACGGCATTCGTTCCATCCTTTTTCCCTTCCATTTGAACTGCGAAAATACAGAAATAGATAATTATGGTGTAGGTACGTACGGTACCTAATGTCTGAATGCATGGAATGTCTGAATGTAACTTACAGGATATACATATAGGATAGGATTTACATATTTATCCCGGGGGAGAGGAAAGCCGATAAGACGGCTTATCCATATGGCGAACCACGGCCTCTCGTCCGGTTACGGTACCATTCCAAGTCGGGTACCGGTGGCGGTATGGGATTATATTTACTGTATTGTTTGTTTTCGGAAGCATGGACTTGGTGGTGGAGGAAGCCGTAACCGACCAGCGGTTACGTGAACCACCCAACGACGGCGAGGAGTCCAGCAATCCTCTCGCACATAACCATCCCTGCATGGGATTCGAACCTGCGAACCCACGCAGAGTAATTAGAGGTGCGGTGGCGAGCGTATTCCTAACGCTTAGCCCGTTGAGCCACACCGCCGCGCCAAGATATGTCAGAATGCGGTGCTGCTATATTAACAGAATTAAACACCATTCACTATAATAAACTCACCGATCAGCAGGACAAACACTTAATATAGCCGCTAACTACAGAAATAGGCCTATCACACGAACTACCGTACAGCAGACTGAAAGTCCCAACAATCTACCGATCTATGCAAAACTCCAGAAACAATCCTGCTCGTGGCGGCCTTGGCAGATCAGCTGGTTTTTAAAACGCGTACACGCTTCACGCTTGAGGCAATAAGTGCCCCGTCATCTATCTCTAGCATTTTTCCTTTTTTTCTGCGGTCAATATTTCATATTGCTTGTTTGTTGATAGAATCGGTGTTATGTAAAAACTAAGTTAAGATATGTGATGAAAGATGGATATTAAATAACACAAGCAATCGGTCTGTTCACAATATTAAGCAATAAATGGGAATTTATTAATAAAAAATAGTGACCGATGAAGTTAAAGGGTATGTTAGTCGTTGGTTAGAGAGAATATAAAATTCAATTTACGCCGAGCACTCAAAACTTCCGCTCCTCAGCCAAATATAAAGAGAATCAAATTCCCCGTTTATTTTCGTAACAATAACGTATCGTGCTAAGAACCGCATGTGCCAGCTCACCAGCTCACACAAAAAAAAAACTTGTTGAACGAGACTTGGGTCAGAAAAAAACACACAAAAAATACGAGAATGTATTGAACTTTCGGACTGTCGTACATTCAAAATTCAATTCGATACTAAGATAACGTGTGGATGAGGTGACGAGAATAGTCAAAAGCCATGAAAAAGTACACTGGTGAAAAGTGGTTTAAGATACTTACAAACTCAAATCAAAACTATGCTGGTAAATTTGTGCACGTACACTCATAAAAACAATTATCAGGAAAAACACTAATCAGGCGTGCACAGGTCTGTAATTAGTTAAGCCAATATGTTTAAAACGGTATGCACACAGAACAAAACAAAAAATAAGCCACTAAATGAATGTTCAAAAGCATTGCGAATTGACATGGCCATATCATGTTGTATTACAAACTGTGTATGCATATATAGCTAATACCAAAGAGATTATTTGAATTTTCATTCATAATTAAAGTAGAATATTTAGTACCGGTAATAGCTTTTGCAGTATCTGCTGACAGTTGAATTTCAAACACATACTCATCTTCATATTCGTGATTTATTATCTTTCGATTCTGTTATGTTGTCCTATTATCCTTCTCATCTTTACATCGCCTGTAAGCTCCCTGTTGGTATTCCTTCAGTGCTGGTTCATTAATCCTTCTGCTACACAGGAACGCGACCACACCGAACGATTTATTTAAATTGTAACATGCCACTCTTTTCATCCTAGTGAGTTTGTGATGAAACATGTGTTTCATCACATGTTGGATTCTTGTTTTCAGTATCGGTCATTTATGGTTCTGGAAGGCCCATTACAAGAAAAGTCATTCTGAATTCATCCGGCATTCGAAAATGTCCAGATCTATAAAGCACCATTTGAAATTTAGGTAGACACATAATATTTTTAGTTTTAATTACCAAATTTGAAGACAAATCAGATAACTCAGTGTCATTTTATCCTTGAAAGTGATGTAGTATAGTTCTTAGAAACGACCCCAACAAACGGGTACACTAAGTTTCCAAAATTTGATGTTTTAGTACACTCGGCAGCTTGCTTTCGAACCCAATGATGATTTTGAAGATTAAACCAAGTTTGCACCCGCCATTTGGTAAAAAGATTCCACAATTGTCAGAATACCATCATAAATTCGAGGGCGTAACTAAACATCGACTAGGTTTGGACAGTGGAAGAATAGGGTTTGAATAATGTGGACAACCCTATTTGGATAATATTGGTATTTTGGTGAGATTTTACTGTTGTTTTTCAAATTAATAATATTAATCGGAGTAAAACTAGTCAATTTAGACTTTTTAAGAATTATAAACCGTCATACCTTGTTTTTTACTGGACTTAATTGAATTAAATAACCCCAAACTGTCGTCCATCACCAACACATCAAACCAACAACAAGCCAATATATACTTTGTACGCCTAAAACCCGTCTATCAGTTTTTATGTGACTATATTGGTATAATAGCGCCTGTTTCCGTAGTTGAAAATATATTGTAATCTGGTAATAATAATCAACCTTGTACGCGTACACGCTCGCAAGCCTTTTGGCTTCAATGGAAAATTTTGAATTTGCTCAATGGTTACGGTACATGTTGTCACTTCAATGCCATGTATGATGTAATTCATATGAAGCACATGATAACAGAAAAATGTGTCTTGAATTATTATAAATAAAAATATGATATTAAAAATGTTATTGGACATACCGTGTTTCCCCAAAAATAAGACCTAGCCTGAATTTTATAAATAATTTTAATATAAGCCCTACCCTTAAAATAAGACTTAGACATCTCTTCTACACATTTTAAATAATTGATAACCTATGTTTTGCAGTTATTTTGAATAAAAACGTAGTATTTATAGGTAAATTGATATCGGTTTTCATATTTTGTGTATTTCTCTACTTTGTAATTTTGCTTTTGATAAATCAAAATATAAAACATCCCCCGAAAATAAATCCCAGGGTTATTGTTCGGAAGAAAATTTGAAATTTTCGGGGAAACACGGTATACATAGTTTCCTCGGTATGTTGCTATACTCCTCAACGTTCCAGAATTCACGTCAATCAATCAATCATTTATTTTGGTTCTCTGACATAGAAAACAAAACGGCGCAAAACGTAGACGAACAAACAAAATGCAGAGATACCTGGAAGGCGAGCATAATGTAAAAGTACGCGCCCGCCCACAAAAAAAAACGAGAATATCGGTCAGAGATCGAAGACTTATCGATCGAAAGTTAGGGGATCCCCCAAAACAGCGCTCTTACTCCATAGTGACACCTTGTGTTCAATTACTAATTAATTAATAACTCGCTAATTATACCACATAATTCATCCAAAATCAATAGGTCCGCTTCTGGTCCGAGATATGATGAATGCACATGCAAAATTTGGAGCAGATTCAACCACGCCTTCGTGAGATATCGCGTGCATCTAACAGACAAATAGACAGACAAACAGACAAATACCTATCAACATACTTGCCGATCTAAATATCGATAAGTAATAATACAAGCATACAAAAAAACACGATTTAGAATCGGGCAATGCTTTAATAAAGGTAAAATTTAGGTAGATAAATTAAATGTAAGACTTCTTCCGTCCAATTATGGTAATTGAAAGATCACCGCACTTTACCCTACATATCATATATATAATTGAAGCTGCTTTTAAATATTTGAATGCAGCAAAATTTGGGTCTGAGATTCTAGATTGTGTATATATAAATAAGTAAATAGCTCAATCGGTTACCAACTCCTGTCCCCTCTGATACATATGAAAATTATATCCCCTTTTCTACATTTTAAAAGCGTGGCATAAAGGAAAGTCTGTTAATGTTATAATATAATTGGTGTCGGGTTATTCGTATTTATTATTATATATTATGTTCTTCCTGAAAACCATACTTAAATTAAATATAAAACGTTGAAATTTTATCTGATTGTCTAATTGCTCTTTAGCGCTACAAGGTGACTGAAGAATAATGCTACGCGTCAGCATTGTCGTGTACCGTACCAGATCACAACAATCTGAATAAGGATACCTACATTACGGTATCTATTTCAAATATAGTGCACAGCTTCAGCCAGGAACTTATTCCGACTACAAAAATTGATCAGACAAAACGCGAAACATGGTAAGTTTTTTTTCTTTCGTAATATGTATAACTGCGGAACCGTATAACGTAAATAGGTACCGGTACCGTACCGGTACTTGTACTGAAATATGTTAATATTGTACCGGTATTGTCTTCTTATGTCAGTATGTCTAACTTACAGGTTTTCGGACTGTTTTTGTCTGTTTTGACATTTTTAGAACAGTGAACAGTATTTTTACAATCACACAATGCAGCAATACTATAACATGGTATTCATGTTATCAAGGTCAAGTAACCAATAACAGAATAATGCAAATGCTGTACTAATTTTAGTATGCTGATTTGAGGCTGTGGTTCGCCATATGATTGAGCCATTGTAGCGTCTTTTTTCTACGCCAAGATAAATATGTAAATCCAATCCTATAAACATTCAGACAATGCTGCATAGTGTGAAATGTATTGAAGTTTTGTACAATGTCTGAGTGTTTAAACTTTGAAAAGGATAAAATAAAAAATATAGAAGGTTGAATCCAATTTTATACCCTCAAGAGCAATTATTTACAACAATAAAATGCTTTATTTTTAGCCTCTGAGACTTGACATCAAGAGGAAGTTGAGTGCTCGATCTGATCGTGTCAAATGTGTTGATTTACATCCTACAGAACCATGGATGCTTGTTTCATTGTACAATGGTGAGTAACCCATGGATTGTGTGATCAATAATCTTGTTAGTGACACCATAGAAAAAATTTTGAAAATTCCATTTTTTTTTCTGAACATGAAACGAAAGAAGTTACCCCTTTATTTTGAAATAAGGTTGTATTCTATAGAAATTATTAGAGCCTTAGACTCCTAAATCACATTTTTTTAGATTTATGTTGTTTTGTCCATGCAACTTTCAAGTGTAAGAATTTGTCAAATATCAAAATGGCCATTGATTTGGTTGTTAGTTGCGGTTGACAGAGCGCTAAGAATACGCTAATCATCACATCTCTTTTTATCCTACGTGGGTTTGCAGATTTGAATCTTGTGGGGGATAAATATGTGCGATTTGCTGGACTTGACTCTGCCGCAGGGTGGTTCATGTAACTGCTGGTTGGTTCAGGCTTCCTCCACCATCACTTCCATGCATCGGAAAGAAATAACTGGCCAAGTAATCCCATACATGACTTTTACTGGTAATCTGACGAGAGACTATCGGTACCCCATATGATTAAGTCATCTTATTGCTTTATTCGCACAGGAATAAATAGAATTAAGACTGTGCTATTCCATTCATAAAAAATTAATTGTGCAATTGAATCGTTATTTTTGATTTATTTTACTGCCTTCTGATCTTCAGGTAATGTTCATATTTGGAACATCGAATCTCAACAACTTGTAAAATCATTTGAAATATGTGAATTACCAGTGAGAGCTGCAAGATTTGTTCCAAGGAAAAATTGGGTTGTGTCAGGATCGGTAACAAAAATTTATTATGATTTATTGTATTGTTGGTTTTTTTGCTATTATACTCATTTTTTTTTCTATTCGCTGGATTGATATGTAGTATTTTATATGGTAAACGAAACGATCATTTTTACAGGATGATATGCAAGTTCGAGTGTTCAACTACAATACATTGGAAAGAGTTCACTTATTTGAAGCTCATACTGATTATATAAGATCAATTGCTGTTCATCCAACACAACCATATATATTAACCAGCAGTGGTAATGTAATATTTATATTTAAAGATTTTGCATCTTAATTCTACACGAGACAAGCATGAAGTTTTGGCATCTTATTAGATAGCATATAATGTATTTATTAAACGATGCACCATAACTTTTTGAGAATATTTTTTTGAATGTCTAATGCATAAGCTGTGTTTCTCAAGCTTCCATGATCCCAGGGCCCCTTCCAAAAACTCTAAACAATTGTGGCCCCTTGCTCTTCTATAAAAATTTGAAAAAGTTTTCCTTTCAACGCATTTTATCAGATATTTTTGTTGTCACATTTGAGAGAGTAAACAAGCCAACAAACAAAAGCAATAGATGCAGTACATTTAAAGAATTAAGCAAAGTTAAACTCAATGTGCTTTAAATTCATGTGGTGATCTCAAATGGTACATAGCTAAGGCCTTTGCCTGTGGCCTTCTTGGTGTTGGGCGGTGGCCCAGTTTGAGAATCCCAGGTATAAAGTATATCATTTTGAAGAGTTCAAAAACTTTAAACCATATCATTCTTGTCCGTACTCTTGTTATAAGTGTATATACGAGTTAAGGTGGGATGCCACTCACTAATATTATTTTTGATATTTAGCATGTAGGCCTATAGCCTACTAAGTTGACACATCTTTATTTTAAAGCTAAAGTCAAAAATGAATAGTTAATTAAGTGTATTAGCAACAATGTTTTGTAATCCTCAAGAATTTATAAGATTTGAGGAATTGTTTTTTATAGTATTGTATATTTGCAGATGACATGATGATAAAGCTCTGGGATTGGGATAAGAAGTGGGCATGTTCACAAGTATTTGAAGGACATACTCATTATGTTATGCAGATTGTGATAAATCCAAAGGTAAGAATGACACTCATTTAAATGGTAACCCAAATATAACCAGTTTGAATGCAATAGTAAATTATAACACAAATATAATTCATATTTATATTTTGTCTGCAGTCGAGCATTCAGCTACTTATTTCTAGATTCCCTTCGCTGAAAAATGCGGATTCAAATGGTCTACCATGGAATAACTTCTAGTTAATAACAATTGTTATATTCTTATCTCATTATGACTTCACTGAGCATTCTTCTGAATAATGTGGTGTGTGGTGCTGCGGCAATGCTTTTCATATTATAATTAAATCATTGTATCAGAGTTGACTAAATATAAAATATTACTATTATAAAATTCAAACTTAACTCAAAGCAAAGTCTCGATTCTATCCTCTATTAACCAAACAAAGAACCAGTACTGATAAAAGTTGCAAACATACACAGACTTGCTATGCGCTATAAAAAGGTTGATCCTCAGAATTGTTAGTAGTTAGGGGTTGACACAAGGTGTTCAAGCCAACATGCTTATTATGATGTTCATCGACTTAGTTTGCATTTTTTCCCCTAGGACAACAACCAGTTTGCTAGTGCATCGCTAGACAGAACGATAAAGGTTTGGCAGCTTGGTTCACAAACTCCTAATTTCACACTTGAAGGACATGAAAAAGGTTTGCACCACGTTGTTCCTAACAAATCATCTCATAGCTTTGTCTCAGAACATTTTGTGAGCCAGATATGCACTATGTTGTTGTGATCAAAAGTTCATTTAACGTACTTCAGTTATTGTAATCATATGAATAGCGTGATATTCTAAAGTGTTGCCTTGACATTAGCTCTGTTTTAAATTACTATTTGCATGAATTCATAATGCTGCTAAATACAGTATGTGCTAAATTTAAATGAATACATATTTTATTTACAAAAGTGACATATTTTACATGAAAATTGTCAATTTTGATCTCTTGTATTTGAGAAACTTCCTTTTATTTAATGGCAGATTCAAATTTCATTTTGAGCTATATTCTTGGACATTGGTCTATACTGGCAGATATCCTTAATTCTCTTATATTTTTTTCATTGTCAATGGTTTTTTGAAAAATTTCAGGAGTGAATTGCATTGATTACTACAGTGGTGGAGATAAACCTTATCTAATCTCTGGTGCTGATGATAGATTGGTAAAGATATGGGATTATCAAAACAAAACATGTGTACAGACATTAGAAGGTCATGCACAGAATGTTGTTTGTGTCAATTTTCATCCAGAATTGCCAATTATTATGACTGGATCAGAGGATGGTAAGCAATCGGTCTTTCATTTCTACAATTTTATAAGGAGATAAAATTATCAATGCGCATGTCGAAAACCTAAAAGTTTGGTAGTATTTTCTACTCTGATAGTATTTTTCAAGCTGTTATCATTTATCTGTGTCCTATTATCTTGACTCAATCATGGTACAGTTAGTTCTAAATGTTTATGGGGGTAAAGAGCGAGAATCAGGCATGAATACTGCTAGCTAAAAAACCTCACCACAAGAAAAGGTAGAGAGTAGGGGCCTGCTATAATCATGAATCACGGTAACATTTGCGATTTTTTTTAAAATACAGGGACAGTAAAGATCTGGCATGCTAACACATATAGACTTGAAACAACACTCAACTATGGATTAGAGAGAGTTTGGTGCATTTCGTCTTTGAAGGTAATATTTTATACATCTCGCTCATCCTTTATATTTCTTTCATTTGTTCTAATTCATTAATGTTTTCATGCTCACAGGGATCAAATAATGTAGCACTAGGTTATGATGAAGGAAGCATTCTCATTAAACTCGGAAGAGAAGAACCAGCAATGTCCATGGATGGAAATGGAAAAATTATTTGGGCAAAACATTCTGAAATTCAACAGGCAAATTTAAAAGCCATGTCAGGTAGTGATAATAAGAATCTTAATTGGGTCAAATGTGCTATGTGATAGACATGGGACATAGTATATGAAGTATAGCAGCAACTGATATCTATCTCACAATATGTAAGGACTTACTTTTATTTGGAAGGAACTGAATATTTCTGGTTTTTCATTGCTTACCCAATTTATTACACCCTGGGTAAGGTGGGGCTCTATCTGCCATTGCGCTGCTCAACACAATAGCAACAGCATCCAACGTAGTTGCATTTTTCTATCGAACTTGGGTGAACTATGGTTTCTTGTACGATCAAGTCTTTTATAGTCGGGGGTGACAAAAATGAAAAATAACTCATCATTTCGGATGCAATCTAAAATAGTAATTTTGAATATTATATACTGGTATATTGTAATTCAAATCATAATTAACAGATAAATATTAATATAAATATATATCATTGTAAATTACTAAAAGTTAAATTTGCTAATACAGAATGGTTATATAAAAACTATTGTTTATGTGACCATGATATATTAATTGCTTAAAATGACATTTTTCAAATGGAACTATTGTAAATTTTTTCCAAAATCAAGCATTCACTGAATCGAAATTCTATAGCATTTTTCAATCGTATTAACTCCTTGATTCTGGGCTATAGCGCTTATTGTATTCTTTTCATCAGGGTAAATGTTAAATACAACTGTTTTCTTGCAGTCTAGGTTTGTAAAAATTTTGCTTTTTTAATTTAGATATGGATACAAAAGATGGTGAACGATTGCAACTTGCTGTAAAAGATATGGGAAGCTGTGAAGTTTATCCCCAGAATTTAAGCCATAATGCTAATGGAAGGTAAATTCCAATGGAATTACATTTACTTTTAATATACTTCTTTTCATAATGAGAGGCATATCTATTCAGAGATTTTGAATATTATATCCTGTGCTCACTTTTGATATCCAACTGCAATTGAAATCCCACTGATATGACGGAACCATGTTTGAGAATTTAACCAGATTTGACATGATTAGTTTTAGGATTCCTGATTATCAAATTTTAGAAATTTATTTTTGTAATGTAATTTGTTTATCTTTTCATTTTCTATTTTTATTTTATGTTCCAGATTTGTTGTTGTTTGTGGAGATGGAGAATACATCATATACACTGCTATGGCTCTTCGCAACAAAGCGTTCGGTTCAGCGTTGGAATTTGTTTGGGCTAATGATTCATCAGAGTAAGGATTACTTCACGATTTTTACAAAATCAACATCGTTACGTTCGTTTATCTAATTTTGAATAAACTTTTAATCCCTAGATATGCTGTTCGTGAAAGTGGGACTTCAGTCAAATTGTTTAAAAATTTCAAGGAAAGACAATCATTTAAACCTGACTTTGGATGTGAGAATATATTCGGTGGATATATGCTTGGTGTCAAAACTACGCAAGGCCTTGCGTTCTATAACTGGGAAAACATGGAACTCATTAGAAGAATTGAAATTACTCCGAAAAATGTATGTATATTGGTTGTATTTTATATCTTGTAAAAAAGGGTTACTCTTAAACCCTATTACAATTATTTTTCAAAAAGAACCAACTAAAATATTTTATCTGTTTTATTCTGTGTTTTTCTACCGCCTCAGTATTGCTTGTCTGCCACTCCTTTCAGCAAACTTATTGGTCTCGGACTTGGTACTGGTAACGGCTCATGACTTTCTTGTCCATGGAGTTGAGTAATGCTCTCGTGTGATTGGTTCAATTTATTCATAATTAAATTTAACTTTGTTTTTGCTTATCTTTGTCATTCACTTCATTTCAGATATACTGGTCAGACAACGGAGATCTGGTTTGTCTTGCGACAGATGAATCGTTCTTTATTCTGCGATACGATCAGAATAAAATTGCAGAAGCTCAAGAAAATCCCGATCTCGTTAGTGAGGATGGAATTGAAAATTCGTTTGATGTAAGTTTTTATATGTCATAATGCGATTTGTTAACAGATCTTTGAATATTCTTTGCTTATAGTTGTAGTATAGAAATATTTTTTACTGGGCATTCGCGAGAGTTCGGCCACATTTGTTTCTGTCCGTCAAATAGGTAGCTCATTTATGAAACAATGAAGAGTGAACAATGCGACATGGTTACCGCTGAATATGAATTAATAGTCAACAGAGGCGTGCATATTTGCAAAATATTCACCTTATGGCAACGTGAATTCGCTCTTAGCGCACTGTTTTTTAATTTCACGTCCCTCCCCCCCCCCCAAACAATACAATATCAAAATTTGAATAAGGGTATTCCTGCTTTTATCCTTCATTCTATAGTTCTTCATTATTATCTCTAAATACATGACACATTTATCTATAGGTTCTCGGTGAAATTGAAGAAATTGTTAAAACTGGAATATGGGTCGGTGATTGCTTTATTTATACAAATTCAGTGAACAGACTCAATTATTACGTCGGAGGAGAAATTGTTACCATTGCACATTTAGACAGGTAATTGGGCTTTATGTGATACTGTCATTTTTTAAATTAAGAAACTGCAACCTTTGATTTGCCAGCAAAGTCTCTACCAATAAATCATCTTTTATATTCAATTTTTGGCGCTCCAGAAGTGTGTGTACCAATATTGAGGTAACTAATTTTTTTTTCGCCTACTTTGCATCAAGTTTTGTAAAGGGACCGAAACTTATGAGTAGGGGGTATTATATTCACTTGGCTAACACACACAGTCTCCAAACTCGTAATAGAACTAAAATAAGGAAAATCTGACTAAAATTATAGCCTAACCCTAACCTGGTACACACACTATGAAAGTACCCAATTTTACACCTTCAAGTTATGCTGAATCATTGTATGTAGGGAAATAGAATAAAAACAACTTGTTTGGGTCATTCACGCATGTTAATTTCAATTGAAAGAGTAATATTTACCATACAGAATTGTATAGTATTGGTGCTTTGAAAATACATCCATTTGCATTATCTCAAATTGAGATTGAAATTATAGAATATCAATCTGTTCGGATATGGTTCCCAAACTTTGCGTCGCAGTCCCACATATTTTCCTATAATATACCTATGCTGTGGAAAATCTGCTATTTATGTGGTTATATGTTTTAACATTTATTGTTAGCATATCCCATTGTCCTATTTGTGTTCAGGATTCTGTATTTGCTGGGTTACATTCCTCGAGATAATAGATTGTATTTGGGAGACAAGGAATTGAATGTGGTATGTATTTTATTTATGCAGTGGAGTTGAATTATTCTATGGAGCATTTAATAGGAGTCGCATTTCTATAATCACGGGTGACCGCAGAAAAACATTACCCAGATCATTTGTGACAAATTCTAAAGAGAACATAACAATTGTGCAAAGCGTCTTAGATTACTGAAACTTTTTGGTACAATCACACACACACACACACACACAGAGAAGTTCATGTGTTAAATAAATTTTCTTCATATTTTTAGAAGTTATTAAGAAATTTACGGGTTCTATTTTTTTGGGTATACACCAAAATGATTTGGAGGATTTCTGAACGCTATTTCATTTTTATAATGATTGATGAAAATTTTTTGACATACAAATTGCACTCCTATGTTTATTGTTTATCGTCTACAGTCTAGTAATACAATAGTTACTTTAGTTTTTTATTTATAATTTTTATGACATACTTTAAATCCAATAGGTGAGCTACTCCCTGCTACTGTCCGTACTTGAATATCAAACTGCTGTCATGAGAAAAGATTTCGAAACTGCAGATAAAGTTTTACCGTCCATTCCAAAAGAACAACGCACCAGGGTCGCACATTTCTTGGAAAAGCAGGTAACATGTGACTTAATATGAGATTGAGTAAAGATATAGCGTATACACTTAATAGGAGTGCCTGGCCATTTGTTGTCTATTGACGCATACTTTCAAATGTTTCTATATTAAAACTATTTGAAATGAATAAATCCTGATATTATGACCTTGTATTTATACTGTTGATGTATCCAAAAATCTTTTCATCATATGTATGAGAGTGATCCCGCCAAAATGGAAAGATTTAAGTCTTTGTAAAGCAGTGTATCTTCTTTCTCATCAGTTGTTGCTTGTCAAGAGACCTATTCAGAGATACACGACAATGTAAAACTTGAAGTAAAAAATTCAATGTGCACGAATTTATGGCATTGCCATGGAAGCCAGCTTTTGGTTTCTAACTCTCTTTTGGATTTATACAATTTCAGGGAAAAATCTGTATTCTGTAGAAAAGTTATTTGATTTGTCAATCAGAATATAAAATCATGGTTTTACGGTTACTTGTTTACTTTCAGAATTTCAAAGTTCAAGCTATGGCAGTCACATGTGATCCAGAACATAAATTCGAACTTGCGCTGGGACTCGGTGACATGAAGGTCGCCTACACTCTTGCTAAAGAAGCTGAGGTCAGTGGCATATTGTGAGCACAAGCACAAAATCACCATAATTTCCACATTCAATAAAGACATTAGTTTACCAAATATCTGTGGTGAATTCAGGTAGAGATTCCAGAAATAAAATCAGTTAGTTTGGACTTCCACTATTTGATTGCATATCTAAGTCTAAGTAGTAAAATGGCTGCCTTATAGTCATAGAAGATTAATCTCAGCTTGAATGGAAGTTTTATCCTCAGTATTGTTACATCATAAAACGGAGAATCAAAATCCTGCTGGAAACATCTGTTCAAGTATGGTTGTATTTGTACCCAAATATTTCAGTAATCTAGGATGCTTTGCTATTTATCACTACAGTCCGAACAGAAATGGAAGCAACTTGCTGAACTTGCAACATCAAAATGTGAATTTGGTTTGGCTCAAGAATGTCTTCACCAAGCACAGGATTATGGTGGATTGTTGTTGTTGGCAACAGCTGCAGGAAACTCAAACATGGTGAAAAAATTGGCAGAAGGCGCTGAATCTGGGGGTATGGATATACATAAGTTAGCATGAATGTAATCGACATTGATTGAAAGCTAATGTGCATTGTGTATAGGCTGGCGCAATGGCCTAGGGCAGGGTTTCCCCAAACTGTGGCCTATGATGACTGCACAGGGTCCACAACGATATGGAAAAAGTCTTTATTAAACATATACAAATAGATCATAATCTTATCGAATTGCCGTTAGCCTGCCAGTATTCAACGCTAGTATGTATTGATTTAGACTTCCATGAGTTTTTGATTCCGCGAAGGGAAACCTTATCCTTTCTCGTTGGTTGGGCACACAAATTGATACGGCCTAGGCTGGGAATTCGTCAAAAATAAGATTCACAGTGATCTACAGCTGAAAAAGTTAGGGAAACCCCGGCCTAGTGCTTGAAGCGTTAGATGTAGCTGTGATGGCATTGCAGATTGCACATCTCTGGTTTAAGTTCTATGCCCCCTACCTCACCCAGGGTATAATAAATTGGGTGGCTATGCCGAAAGGACAAGCTTCCGGTATTTCCAATTAAAAAGTAGATTGGTACGTATCACCAGATGCTTGCTTGTATAGGCACTTGTCAAGAGCGAAAGGTGTGAATACTGTATGAAAAAAATTGATTGTCATCAAAACCGTAATAAATTAATTCGGTTCTAACTAATTTGGTGACATTTTGGCTCTTCTATTCTTTGTTTGAACATTAAGATTCAGGGGAACGATGTATCAATTGTGTATAAAATGATAATTTTTGTCTGGATAAATCCCATCTTTTTATTGTATTTTTGTATATTATTTCAGGTAAAAACAACGTTGCTTTCTTGTCTTATTTTGTTTCGGGACAAAAACAGAAATGTTTGGATCTGTTGTTAAATACAAACCGTCTTCCCGAAGCTGCTTTCTTCGCTAGAACGTACATGCCAAGCGAAGTACCAAGGTATGATAGACTCTCACATTTATACACTTATATACCAGTATTGAGTACAAGTCCCTGAATCTTGAGTATAGTCATAAGTCATCAAAGACTCAAGTCGAGTCATATTACCTAGTTGAGTCTCACTGGCGAACTGGCTTGGAGTTTTTGGTATATGGGACTAAAGTCCAGGGCAAAATAAGTTTCTTTTTCGCTGGTAGAAAAGCAAAGAAAGTACAAATGGCCCCTTTATTGCAATATATCTGTAATATAAATACCCAATATGTGCCAAAAAAAGGTAAAAGGATGAAAAAAAAATTGTTCTTTCGTCCAGATTCAACATATGAGTTGCAATATGCAAAACTGCCGTGCCGCATGATGGAAAATTACTTTGGGGTTTTCAGATACCTGAGCTAGGTTGTTTAGAAAAGCATAATAAGAACTGTATAATGAATAATGATGTAAAAAGACGGATATTTGAATTCAAATGTCAATATGAATAATAACAATGCCTCCGCGATATCTAATCATGGTTTGAATCAATATTCACAAAGTTTTTTTTTTAAGTAATTTAGGACGTTTCCCGACATTTTCTCGGAACAGCCTTTCCAGGGTTCGCCATTTTGGGTTAATGCTGTCGGAAGCATGATAACCATTTTAATTTACATTCTATTCTATTTAATTAAAGAGTCTTCAATTAGTCTCACATAACCCCAACCGATAGTTATATTCTATTTGTGTTACGTTTTTCAGAATTGTTGGGTTGTGGAAAGAAAATCTAGCGCAGACAAATAAAAAAGCTGCCGATTCACTCGCTGATCCAAAACAATATGAAAATTTATTTCCACAAATGGCTGAATCCCTTGTTGCTGAAAAATATCTTCAATCCACAGAGAAAACAAGGCCAGCAAATCATTATTTACAGACGCCGGTAAGAATTGAATTTTAATGTAATATTTTTTGTAGAAATAGGAAAGAATCTGATGGTGCCTGTTGAAACTTGCCTCATCAATTTTGAATTAGAACAAACATATCACAAATCAATGCGTTTTTTTTTTCAGAGTGAATTTTCTTACCACAAAACTACTTTTGTGTATAAATAATTTTCATCACTATTTATTGTATGACGCTCATTTACGCCTTTAGCTTTGAACAAGTTGCCCTTTATATCGAGATATATAGGATTTTTTTCAGTTTTACCTACCCAATTTGTTACACCCTGGCACCCTAGCATGTGTTTAGATTCTAGATGGGGAAAAGTTTCTTTAGCCAGAGCTAGTATGAGTTTTAGTGAAAGATTATAATATTAATTTAGGCCGACATTGATTTTCAATCTCATAAGAGATCTCCCTTTGTATCCATAATATATTTGAAGCAAAATTATACAGACACGTCATACAAATATATATACCAGAGATGATATCGAAATTCATATGAATGATACCATTTTTTATTTAGAGTAATGATGAACGTAATATATTGGAAGAATCAGAAGGATTTGTAGATGTACAGGGTGAAATTGTGCAGGTAATTCCACACATTCTTATTACATTAGCTTGACTCATTTCCATGTTCGTTATATGAATTCGGTCATTTCTTTGGTCATATTTTCTTTGGAATTGTGGTCATTGCATTTTGTGTTGTCCTTTTGTTTGCCATTGATGATTATTCAATATGTTGTTCATTTGAAAATAACTATGTGGACATGCTAGGTATTAAGTTGATTTGGTTCGAAGTGTCATGTTGACAGGTTATGTATAACACCTCATTCATTACAACAGAGTTACTATGTAGCTTTTTGTGCAGCATTGGCTGCTGTGGTTTTTGGTTTACAAACTTGATATTTTACGCTGGGGAATCGCAACTTTACTTTTATCAAACTCGTACACAAAGGTTAATGGGACTGGATGCAGAGATAAATTTTTTGAGAGGTTCAGTAATTGCTTGTTTTGGTATGTAATTAACATTATTCATAAAGCATTTTTCGATTGCCAGTTGAATGATTCAAGATCGCTAGTTGTCCATAGAGCATTTATTGCAATATCTAAATATAATTGTAGCTGTTCTCCTACTTTAGTTGAATATTTTTCTGTAATCAGTGCAATTATATGCTGTTTTTTAATTTGGATTTAATTTAATTTGCATCAAAATGTCAGGAACCAGAAATTGAACCCAAAACAGATATTCCATTAATTGAACCAGATGAAGATGAACAGGTAATATATTATTTCTTTTGCTTTACCTCTTGGTATCTCACATTTTGGAATGAAAGATACCATAGTATGATGAATGATTTAGGTTTGTTTGTTATGGATGATTTATGAGGGTTTTCAAACTTGGCCATTATAGGCCATTACTCTGGGTTTCATGAGCAAAGGCTTTTACTTGATACCATTTGTCATGAGGATGACATATCAAATTAAAGTAAATCCTCCCCAACTATTATTCTTTTGATTTTGTTTGTTGGCTTTTTATGATTGAATGTGCATGAAATAACTGATCGAAATGCGCCAAAAGCAAAACTAAGTATTTTTATTGAAAACCAAGCGGCCACAATTGGAAGGGTGGCCAGGGATTGTGGATATTGGGAAACCCCTGATTTCCATCATCTCTTTTATAATCTTTGCATGATTTTATTTGCTGTGTACTTATATCTGACCTCATTCATGAACATGAATATTGATTTTGATATGGTTTTATTTTTTCCCTGATTTATGTTTTTGGGCAAATTAACAAGTGTTCCCTTCTGTTTTGTAAACTTGGATTTCTAACAAGTGTGACATTGTTTGCAATAATTATAAGATATAATTGACAAAGAATTAGGTATTTGATGCTTTGAATTAATATGATGAATGCAAATAACTTGATAAATTGACATGATAAATTTTAAATACGTCAAAAAAATAATATTTTTTAGCAAATTTTAATGCATGCATTATAATTTCACTCAATTTCCAATTGTGGTAATACATTCTAGGAACCTCAACCTGCCCAAACTAAAGTGGAAGATGAGCCAATACAGGAAGAAGAGCCTGCTGTCGAACCTTCACAGCAGTCTGAACAAAAGGTTTCAACAGACGCATATCTCCCATCACTAGATGTATAAATCTATCATTAATTGCATGAGCATGGAGTTTGTAAATAATACGATTTATTTCATTTTTAATTTTGGAATAATAGAAGAAAGTTTTTTAGTTTGATTCTCAAATTCAATCTCCCGAATTCTCTAAAGTTGTGTGCCACTCTTTAAACTCTCTTCCCTAATTTAAAGTTAAAGCCTAAACAAACTCGTGTAAAGAATTGGTTGTTTTTAGAACAACGACACTACATTAGTTATCTCTTATGATGTTATGATTTATGTATCATAATCTTAAACTTTAAAACAATTTGCAGTCAAACTACATGCAAGAATAAGGAATTATTTGTATCGAGGTAAAGCTGCTTTCAGCTGCAACGTAACTTGGGCTTGATCATAATAAATTACATGTCTCAATTAGATAGAATTTAGTTTTTTCTATTGCATGCTGTATGGTGCATTGTTAAACATTGTAATATGTTGTAATATGGTAAATTCATCAGCTGATATTCATTATTCTGTTTCCACTTGGTACATGGGTGATGAGCTTATTTCGCATTGTGGGCCACTTGATCAGTTTCAACGTATTAAGTGGTACCTTAACCCCTTTGTGATTGCTAGCGAACTGCTAATAGTTTTGAGGCAATTTTATGGAAAAGCCCAATTTTGATTGTGTGAATTTATAAAAAGTAGTTCTACAAGTAGAATTAGTTTAAACTAATTTCTTTGGACGTCTGTAGTTACACTGCTACTTAGTATGGCATGGTGTTTCAAATTGTGATTTGAAATGTTTAATGTGAGCTTGCGTCGTCACAGTTCATCGGACTATTAAAGTTTTCCTGTGGCATTAGTTGTTTATCAATATTTTTTTTCGTATAGTTTTTTACAAGGAATATTTTATCCTCGTCAAACAGGACAAAGGGTAGTGTGTTAATAGATCAAGCATTTTCAAAATTTCAATTTTCCCATGCTATTTATTATTGAACTAGTTTATAGCGTACACTGGGGTGATGTAGAAAACTACCACATTTTGAACTCTTAATGAATTGATAAAATATAGGAGGTTCTCTTGTCTCACATGTACTTGGCATGCTGTTTTGATCCACCAGAGATATCATCCTCTTGCATGTGTGTGATGTTGATTGGAAATTGTGGGTGAATTTTTAAGCCAATTGTGTCCCCATTTCTTGCTTGAAATTTTATTATGAAAATATATGCATGATATGCTGGTGAAATGGGTACAATTCCCTTAATGATTTTCACCCCAAAATGGTTCCTTTTTATACTACTTTCCAATTTCTATTTCCTATGTCAAACAGGATCTGGACCTAGACATAGAAAACCTTGTTTTGGATGATGACATTGATACATCGGGCATTAACCTCGACGACGAGCTGCTGGAAGATTGATTTTAGATAAGGATTATCATAAAAAAAACTGATAATGATGTTATCAGCTCTGATGATGATAACATGTCACTGATTCTATACGATCGACTTTACGAATTGTTTTGGTGAATGCATTGTCATTACTAGAAAATTGGTGTTCATGATATTTCTAGCTCCGTTTTTAACTTTGTTAGTTAAAGTTATATAAAGAAATTATCCTGGCTTTCGCTCAGTTTAACGAATCTATGATAGCGTGTATATTCTTCTCTCCGTATAAAGCTTATTTTCGTTTTTGGCGTATTTCGATCCCATGTGGGATAATATGATTTACACTGGAGCTGGTATGTAAATTTTGCAATACTTGGTGCAATTGGAACACGTATACCCTGTTAAATGTCTGGTTGAGCATTCATGTTGTTTATCTTGCTAAGAAATGCTATGTTTATTGTTCCGCTAAATTATGTTATAGCTATTGAATGAAATAGAGTATTGTATACATTACCATTATGCTGTTATGTTGCAAATATGGTGGCAGTCTCGTTTTCGGGCACCGACGGCATTGCCAGAATCTTGAGGTTTTTTTTAGCTACTGTGTACCGAGATTTAAAGTTATCTTAATTTACCAGCAACACGGTTTCGAACGAATGTGCGACGATTCATTCAAAATAGGCTTCTGGTCCGAGATATGATGAATGCACATGCAAAATTTGGAGCAGATTCAACCTCGCTTTCGTGAGATATCGTGTGACATACGAAAGTGTCTAACAAACAAACAAAAAAACCAGACAAATACCTATCAACATACTTCGAGAACGATAAGTAATGAAAATAACGGATTAGTATTCAACAACCGAGAAAACACAATTGACAAAAAAAAAGTTACAAAAAATTAGCAGTAATTTAATGGCTTTGTCACTGAGATCAGGGTATTCTTTTCAAACGAAATCATAATCAAAACTGTGATAATGGAAAGTCTTTACGCTTCTCCATCAATTCGGTATCATAGGAAAGTTTGACTGGGTCTGATGTTTTCCGTTATGACGCCATATAGTCTATGCTAGAACATCCAGCCGCTCAGGGCTTGGAATAGGCGTAGGACCCCTGATCAAGTTTGGTTTACGCATCAATTGGAATTAAAACCAACAAAATAAATGAGGACAGTATGGTAACCTAAGCTGGTGATAAGATTCATGTGCGTTTTAAATGTCCTGTTAAGGACTCTTGAGTGTTAGTTGTGGAAAAATTGGTCATTTTGCCAAAATGTGTAAATCAAAGAACGGAAAAGCTGATAATAAAAGTATGGTAGCTTCTTTTCGACTTTGTTCTGCATTTACATCTGTTGCAGCCACAAGAAGTTTGAAAGCAGCTCTAGTTGAAGTGTTCATCAATAGTTCCAGGGCTGTTGCTCTTGTATACTCTGGAGAAACAGTTAGTCTCATAGATGCCAAATTGACAAGAAAACTTGGATTAAAGCTCAAATTAGAGCAATGTAAAATCTCAATGTCTTCTACAACTATGGCAGCTAAAATACGTGGAAAAGTTACCGCTGATATGAAGTTGGGCAAGAATTATTATTCATCCCTAAATTTCAAAGTGATGGAAAAATTGTGTTCAGACTTAATTCTTGGTCAAGATTTCATGAAGTTGCACAGTAGTGTGACTTTTGTTATGAAGGGTGGAAATGAACACCTTCGTATTCATGGAGAAAATAACTATAAAACTGCTCGCAATGTAGCCGCTGCAAATATAGAACCTCCTCGCTTGTTTAGACCAGACATCTCTCTGATGACTGGAAACCAATAGCAGCACCATAACGTCAATACAATAAAGACAAATTACTGTTGTCAGTACACAGGTAAGTTGAGAATACCAAAATATGCAATAATACAATATAAATTACCCCACACAGCAGAAGTTTTTTTCAACTTAGACCAAGGTAACCCAATTATTCAATTCTTCAGAAAACAAATTAAAAATGGAGAGCATGCGACTCAACTGTTGGTTGTGCAGAATGGAATCAAGGTACTCCAACTACAATCAGCTTGGCGATATCTTTTAACGAATACGTGGGGATAAGGTTTGTGTTTAATCAACAACGCCCATGCATTTGCAACAAGGCAAACAGATTTCTGTCGGTAACTGAACGAACGACCATGGTTTGTCATATGATTAATCCGTCTTATTACTCTACCCCTCCCCGGGATGTATATAACAAGAGAGCTATGCTCAAATATATGAACACCTAGCACCACATAGTGGAAAATATTGATGGCGTCATAGCACACAAAAACGATAAATAAAAGCGTAAATATGATAAAAGTAATAGCCTTGTAGCGAAAAATATAATCTTTACTCACTGAAACTTTCAAATCAATTGGTCCAGTAATCAAAGAAAAAAGCGATTTTTTTAAAACTATACGAAGAAGAAGACTAACAAGAACAAGATTACCAAAAATATGAAAACGATCCATAGGACCACTCACGTGCCCAAAAACCAAATCGTTAGTGGAGGGCAGGCCACCTGTTTGAATTGTAGAAAACAATTCCATCGAATCTATTTCATTATGAAGAAATATCAAAACTCCCAGTTTTACATATTTTAAAGAAAAGAATTTTATTTCAACTCAATGTAATTATAGTGACGAAGAATGTATAATCTCTTTGGCGCCACCGGAAACGCATACCTGTCCATTATAATAAGAGGTACCACTTATATTTTCGACTTTTCTCTGTGTACACTGCAAGTCTGTCAACTCTTGAATCGCTGAAAATAAAATAACCACAAATATTGCCCGTGGAACTTTACAAGAATGTAATTTTTGCCAATGACGCTGAAAGTTTAGTGATCATAAATGAAGTAGAACAAAAGCTTACAAATCAGCGACATTTGATGGCTTCGGGAAGATGAAATCGCATATTAAAAAATAACTGCTGAAGTGGTTACTGTAATCTATACAGGAATGAAATATATGAGAATTTATTTACTTTATCATGAATTTATTTTCACAACACTTGGTTATCGATAATCGTGCAGAAAAAAAGCGTTATAATTTTCACTACATTTAAAAAGTCAGGTATTTTTTTTTTCAAAACAAATGCCCCACAATAGAAATTTTAACGATAACAACGAAGAGCTCTGTGCACTTCACGTGAAACCAAGCTCCGCGACCGCCATAATGAATCCATCATGGACACCTTGGACCACCTACAAAAAGCATTATCCCCGTCTCTTTCGCCATTCTCCTCTCCAAATAATTTTACCTTTTCCCCACAGTTTCTCTCTTTCCTACATCAACAATTCTAAGCCATTCAATGTATCGACAATAAATTGGCTGTTTTTTACGAATGGTTTTTACTTGTAGATTTTATTTTCATTTGCTTTTTAAAAATTAATTTTACGATTTTGATACAATTATTTTCTCTGCCATAGTTTTTATGTTTGTTTTTTGGCGCTCTAGAAGTATGTGTACAAAATATGGAGGTAACTAATTTTTTCGCCTACTTTATATCAAGTTGTGTAAGGGGAGGGAAGCCTGTGGGCAGGGGGTATATTCACTTGGCTAACACAGACAGTCCCCGAACTCGTAATAGAACTAAAATAAGAAAAATCAGGATAAAATTATGGCCTTACCCTAACCTGGTACAGACATACTACGGGGGTACCTGTTTTCGGAGATGCAGAAACTGACGAAACATTTGAAGTGGATGGAAAATGTGGTGAAATACTTTTGGATATGGTATCTGCAGCGCTGGGATTTTCCCTGCCACACTTGGACATTTCAGTCAATGTTTATTTCCTAATAATTATAATCCCAAATATTATCGAAATGTTAGGTGTGTAAACCTGTAATTCGATCTGAAATGGTAGCCTGTGGAATTCCATATAGCTGCTTCCCTCTGGTCCCTGCGGTTAGGGTTGGTAATTACAGTTTCGACCACTTGTGGTGTTTTGCCCCACAAAATTCTTATTTTTCGTTGAAATTTGACGAGAAGCGGGCTGTGGATGGGGAAGTAAGTGTGGATCACGGATGTGGAGCGAGAGTTATTTTCGGTTTCCACTTTAGCCAAAACGGGGTAGAAGTGCTGCGAATGCGACGTGATCGCATAACGGGGAGGGGACACTACTAAACTGTTTTCCGATCAACTGTCTATTGCTTCGGAAGCTACACTGTCAACGACGTATTTCAGTTTATTTTTTGGTATATATTTAGGGAGTATTTCGCGGAAAGAGTGTTTTGTGAATGATTGCTTTTGTAATCAGCCGTAACTGTTATTTTACAGGACATATAGGCTACACATGTATGTTTCTTTAAGGTCAGTTCTAATTTGCTAAGTTATTAATTTCAATTGTTGTTTTTGTTGGCACATTGAGTGTTGTAAATAGGCTAATGTTTGTTTGTTTCTTTACAAAACCGCACTTTCGTCGTATACACATGTATCTTTCATCTTATCCTCGTACTTTCCTGATGTAGCCTACATTCTTTGTACATACAATAAAAGACGACGTCAACTACTTGTACGCGTCTTTTTGCATTTGATTTAAGTGACGAAATCAGCTTACAATAGTAGTTCAAGAGAAAAGAAGAATACAAGTAAATGGAAAAGAAGAGCAATGACAAAACGATCCTTATGTACATTTCGTGTCCAATAACGACATGGTCGAGCATGTATTAGCAAATGTAACAAGAGAGCGATGCTCAAATATATGAATACAAAGAACAAAGCGAAGCTGTACTTTACCTTTTACAGTCCCTCATCTTATCTAGTCTACTGTATGGTACTGTCAAAAAACTTCTGACTTTCGCGTTTCACGAAACAATCCATATGTACATTTCGTGTCCAATAACCACTATGTGAAAGGGAAGGAGAAAAATCAGACATGGATATTATCCATTTGTTTTCTTAGTAACCTATTTATTTGATTTTTTATTTAGTTATCGGTTTCTCGTTATCTATTTAGTTATTCATTTGTCGCTGTATGACTTCTAATTACTCTAGTTCAAATTACATATTACAGAAAAGACTCGACAAATTTTTGATTTCTAATGACCTAATTCGAATATATTGGTTACTAAATGATCGTGTGAATTTTAAAAATTTAATAATCATGAAATTCTCGAGTTTCAGAATGAATGTAAACTGAAATTAAAAACTAGGGCTATACAGATTTGTAGAATGTTGAAACTAGAGCAACAAGCTAAGAAATTCGAAAAACTAGAGCAAAATGATGAAGTTCCTACAGATTTGAACAATTGCGTAGATATGCATGCCAAAAGAGAGTTAGTAATAAATTTTAAAAATAAAATATATGTATACTAGAAATTCAATTCCTACTTTTTAAATTTTGAACAATCTAGGCCCTAGGGAAAGAAAAAATTATGGATAGAAAAAAAAAGAGAACGGTGGTTCAGTGTATGATTTCGAGAAATTTTGAAATAAATTGAAATTGTTTTGTACAACATTATATTAAAAAACTAGTGAAAAATGCAATTATAGTGAGC